GAAAACCAATTGAATTAGAAGAAATCTTTTTCATTCAAAGCAGCTGCTAATTAAGTTGGGAATGGTAACACTGGTGTTGAAGCTGAAGTGGACCAACTTGCTCGAACAAAAAAATCATGTTAACAAATTGTTCATCAGATTGAAAATGCAGTTCAATATTAATCAAATTATTCATGAGATGCCACTGAAGTGAGATCTTTGCTGAGATGCCTGGCCGTTAGTTTTGCTGCCGCTACAACTACTAACTCAAATTCCGCAGATTCAATGTCGAGAATTCTTTGTCAATCACAGCTTTAGGCAAGGCTTGATATAAATGCTGATCTGTGGGTGAAACTGCCACTTGAAAAGGACCTGTTAGCTGTCAGTGTGAATGTGCCATGAAGTCAGCACTAACTGGAGAGTTTGCTGAAGCAACACAAGCTGCCCAAGAGCTTTCAGGGTTTGCCGGTATTAACTATACAAAGCAATTTTCTCCTGTAATTAGATACGAAAATGTTACAGTCCCCCTTGCTGTTTGAGGATGGCACACAACCACGGCAAGTGACATTGCTTTCACAACTGAAGTTTGTCGTGCGGTGAGTGAGGCAAGAAAACATATCAAACACTCCCATTGATTTGCTAATGTTCAATATCCTCCAATTTAATAAAAGTTACCAATTCAATTTGTGGAATCAAACAGGTTCTTGTTGGCTCATACAAGAAGGCCCGAATGGGTATTCATCCTTTGGATTTCAACTAAACTCAGCTCAGCAATGTGTGCTACATCTCTCAACGAACAAACAGCACTAAGTGCTAGAACCGTATGACAACCATTTGAATTTTGCCGGATGATCTGATGCAATAGTAAGGTTGCACATCTGATACCTCTGTTTTTTGTTCACAACATATGACTCTCAACATATTGCGGTTGATCACTCGAGCTTGATGTTGCTCCGAATTATGAAGAAATTGTTTAGTCCTTCTTAACATACGACAGGTTGATATATCATCGTTTGATAAAAGATGTCTCCAATCTGCTGGCTACACTATTGCTGATAAACTTTTACAAAATCACTTATCAAACAGATAACTGTGAGATGGATCTTGATGAGTCAGCACTTCGCACATCAATTGATGCATGATTGCATTTCGCAGGAAACTCGATACCAAATGATGTTCACTTTCAGTTCGGCCCCTCAGTGGACACCTTGATCAACCTTGCGTGAATTGACTGAGTTGTGCCAAAAGAAACAACCATATTTGGACACTAATCCATTGACTGTTCTTTACAAAGCTTCCTCTTCAGTGGGGATTGTTGGAGAGTTAGACAATGAATCGGCTGGGGCCCTTCGCAATCGAAATGTGCTGGGGGATATATGATTATCAGTAGTCCAAAACCTGCGACATGTCTTCCAAAAATGAAGCACCCAGGGTCTTTGCTGCCATGTGAAGCAGCATAAGATTTGCGTACAGAAGCAGTCGAACAAAACAGTGTTCTTTATCAAAGTCCTATATTATCTCGGCCCCAAAGAAAAACATTAATCATCTACTGAAATCACAATTATGCAATCTTCTTTGCTATCCATCTTCCCAATCAAAAAAACTCCAAGAACATTTGAATGAGGTGCCATATTATAAGAGGGTTGTGAAACGTTGCTCCTCAATTCACCAGAGTTGACACAAAAGGTAATATTGCTGATTTGTTCACTATGGCCTTTAGGAAACCTGTGTTTAGGTTTCTCGGTTAATTTCTCCAAAAACGCAGTTATTTTTAGCTCGGCGTTTGTTGTTTACTTCGTCTTGGCTCTATCTGATTATCATTGTGTGGTTCATCTTTGTTGATGATGCTTGAGAGTTGTTGAGCAACTGCTTAAAAGAGTGTCCTAACAGAATTTTCTTTCTGATACTATTTGTTTGTGCTACTGGTCTTCATTACCATTTGCTAAATGATTATGTTCGGATAACAAGTAGTTCACTATAAATCTGATTTGAATAGTTTTGGATTTTTTGATGTTGAATTCTGTTCAGCATTTGATTTTATTTTGAAGTCAGCGCAAGTAGCCTGAACAGCAGTTTGCAAAAGTGGCTGCTTGCGAGCAACCGACCAGGCGAGCAAATAAACTGGTCGGGAAACTGACTCGACGCACGAGGGAATCAACTGCCTATGCCCACCGATGGAGGGGCCAGATTAGGGTTTCTGGTTTGAAGGAGATGCCAGAATTCCAGGAGGATGCACTTGTTTAACCAAAGAATGTTTCTACTTAGAAGGCCGTAGTAGGGATTCGAACTCAGTCCAAAGCTCCTGTGTGCAGACCACTCCAAAACATGTGTCTCACTGACTTCTGGTATCCGCTTACCCATCTCGATAGTTGGGTTCAAACCCTCTAAATAGTTTATCCTCCATGACCCGTTCTTCTTAGTTACGGATGGCAGTTAAGGGGGTGATGTTTTGAGCCTCCCGGACGTCACAATTTGGTGTTCCAATGAATGTCTTCGTTCTCCTGCAGCGACGCTCAGTGAGTTAACACTGATCTATATAAAAAGATGCAGCCAATTTGCACAAAATATTATGCAAACAGATGATTGCCTAATGAAGTACCTTGAACACATCGCCAGCCTTTTAATAATGGTGTAGATAGATTGAGGTGCGTCACTGAAGCAGAATGGAGAGAGAGCCGAGAACCGATATCTCGACGTCCAGAGGGCTGACAACAGCACCCCTTAGCCCGATAATGAACCTTCCAACAATGAGCTAAATACAGTTGATTATTTCAGAGAAGATGCAATTGACTTTTCGCGTTACCAGAGCAGTTGCCTGGTCCGAATGTGAGACATAGATTACCAAGCTTTTCTGGCGGCGCAGTGAAATGGGTTTTGATTCCAAACCCAGCTTTCAAAGGAAAGATCTTGAGGTGATGTCAGTGGATGTTTGGGAAATACTGGCCTGGGTGTTGCACCAGGATTGCTTCTCCAAACTTTGAAGTTAGGGGGCATGGCCAGATCATTTGCTATATGTGTCAAGAGCTTTTCCCGGCCACTTTATTAATTTGGTTGTCTTCCAAAGCAAGGTTTTCTTATCTACTGCTTTTCCTACAATCATCAAAGCGTATAAAACATTAAACTCTACTTAACAATAAATAATAGAGTCACTCAAAGGAAACCCAGATTGATTATACATGTAACCGCTTTTATATCCCAATTCTATTTTCATGCAAATGACAGCCAATACCTGTAAATCAATCAAGTTGAACTATTCCTTGAAATTATGCTGGCACTGTCAGTCAACCGAATGTATATCAATAGTGTTGCATAATTATCAATAATCGATACAAAGAATAATTATCATAAATGCTAAACAAGCCTTAAGCAGCAAAAGGACAACCATCAAAAGTAGAACCGTTAAAAACTTTCAATGAGATATGAAACCACGATTGCGCGACGAGCCTCAGAAAACATGTAACCAAAATTGGTTCAATACCAACTCGTCTAGGAGTGAAACCAGCATTGCTCAAATCACCTCTAAATTGATTCATCATTGAAAAATATCTGTTGTTCTGGTGATTAGGCGGTTGGTTAGCATTGATGAATGCCAAATTATTGTCACAAGAAATAATGTGAAATTCAACGTATGATTGAGTCCAATTGGAGACTGGCTTTAAAAACAAAGCGACTGTCACTGCTTCAGTGAGTGAAATGTATTCAGCCTCACCAGTCAGCAGTGGAACTAAAGTCTGCCTTTTTGAGGTCCTAGTAGCATGATTTGATTAGTCAGAGTCACATCACTCGTAGTTCATTTGCTATCAAGAAGGTGTCCAGACCAACCACAGTGGCGGAATATAGCTAGTTCATCCGAGCAAGCAGCATTGCAAATGGCAGATAATAGATTTGAGGTCAAATTGTTAACACCTTGATAGCAGATCTTAGAACGTCTTTGCATCGTGTCCCATCAAAAGGACTAAGTAGCTTAAAAGAAAAAATAATGGAATATCGCAAATCGTTTGCACCGCAAAGTAACTATTTAACAATTCAACTCCAAAGTGATGACTCTTCACCATTTAACGCAGATCTATCTGATTCAGCTAGAAGCTTCTTCTAGTACATAGCCATTGACTAGCCTGCAGATAAAGCCGATATAATCTAAGGTTCTGAACCTTCAGTCAGACGGAGGTTTCCACAGATACTGCAGTGCCTCCGTTACTATGAGCAACATCAATTCCAAGAAATGCACCAAACATTAGTGCGAGCTGTTCTATTTGGAACTCAGTACTAAATTACAGTTTGAGCAGCTTGTCCAGTGCATGTGATGATCGGGCAAGTGCACAACGATCCATATAAATTCAAACTGTCCAGCGTTGTCTGTTTCGTGAAAGACATTGCACACCAAGCCCATCTCACGGTCGTTGCAATCCTGATGATCGGAGAGCATTTTCCTTTGTTATTCACCAAAATGAAGTGATTATTCGAGTCAATAAATTGATTTGCCCACCTTCCAACCGTTTCCAGTTATTGATCATTAACAAATTCTGTACAATGTTCAATCAAAGATTTAACAACATATATCCATGAGAAACCGCTCTTCGCCGATTCATGAAACGAAGTTTGAATGAGTTTGATATTGGAACAGCAAACACCACGAAAACAGTTTCTTACGTAATTACTGGATTGGATGTTTCAGTATCACCTTTGCCTTCAAGCTGACAAAACAATTGAGAATCTACTCAGGGTTTTAGAAAAGTAGTAGTTGGAGCAGAGTAGAATGTATACACTCATTGACAACGAAATAATCTCTTTCGAAAAGAAACATGATCCAAAGTGTAATTATTGTTATTAACGGTGGTCTGATAGACTAATTGACAAACAACTGCACACAAGCGGACCGTAGTATTTGCACCAACGTTAGTTGTGTCAATTAATGCTGCAGCCAACATCCTCAGTGGAAACTTGTCTCTAGTGGTGTCACTTGAATCATTTGCAACCCATTTGACTACGTTGCCTTCGTCATCAAAATTTTTTTGACAAATTCATCCGCTTTCAACAAGTTGGTTTTCATCTGATTCAGCACCGGTGTTTTCATCGGCATCTGGATCAGGATCAACTGCAGTTTGAATAGAATTCTTTGAAGGCACATCATTGTCATCCGCAATGTCTTTTTCGCCATCAATAGAGCCTATCTCAATACAATTACGTTATACATTAAAGGTATCTCTTATTCATTGTCAAAAGCATTTCAGCGGCGTGCTCATTGTTGTTGACAGCAGCGAAGTGATTTCCGCCCCCCCCCCATATGGTTAAGAACACAGCTCTAACTCAAACGGCAGACGGAATGGTTGAGAAAAACCATGATATGAAGCATCAGCAAAAAAAAAATTCTTTTCATAAAGCCGCGAGAAGAACTGACAACCAGATAGCGCCCACCAACAATGTACACTCTGCAGGCACTTCTACTGATTCTTTAACGTAAGAATTCATTGAGAAGACTTGATTCACCGTTTTTGGTGTGCCTGATTTAATTAAAAATTAGGAGAGAAATAACAGATCAACCACGTTCCAGATGGCAGCATCATATTTTATTCCGTAAAATAAGTAAAAAGAAGCGGCCAGCGGAGCGCCGTCTACGGTAAGAGTCAAGTTCATCAACAACACTGTCTTCATGACAGCTTCATTGCACACGCAATGAAGATCATTGGTATAGATAGTCATTGTCTCGGCCTCTGCCACTGTTCTTCGCTGTCAACGTTCAGCGGTCCCATTTTCATGAGACTTATCAGCAACAAACATTTCATCTCTGGTTCCTTCAGATTGACAAAAAGATCTGAACAGCCTGAAAGCAAAATGGATAACTGATTCGATAGTATCAATGGATATTTGCAATATATGTTCAATGAACTTATACCGATATACAAACCTAGCAACAGCTGGTAATCCTATAGCATTTGAAACGACAACGACGTATTTTCATTGATCATGAACAATTGTGGAAACATAGCTACTGTCGTCATTCGCGAATCCTGGCATTGACCCAACACTATCATCATAGTGTCGTCTAACGGCCGCAGTAGCCTGCATTGTAGATATCTTATTAGCAATTTTAGTCCCATCTCTATTGTGACAAGACTCACATTATCAACCAGCAGCAGCAGAGATGCCGCTGCTTTTCCCAATATCCTCTGCCCAGACGCACCTAGATGAACTATACGTTTATTGCAGTAAGTAGCAATCGTCGCCGCAAAGAATGGCCGATCAAGACATTCATATGATCCTGAAGGAGATCTCCTACCAGTTACTACATCATTGGCATAATCTCATTCATTTTTGAAGGAGTACCAATCATCTTATCTTGTAGTAGTTGAATTTAAACTGAATAAGCTCCATGGGAGCGTAAACAGCAGTCTCGAATGATCCACTATTTTGAAGTACTACAATAAAAGTACGTTCCACATCGTCCAAAGTGTCAGCGATTGCAGTATCTTCACTTGAATGACAGGTGAAGTGGCGGATGGAATGAGGGCTCGCACAAGTATGTTGGAAGCACAAAAATCAAAATTGAATGTCTTTGAATTCAGCATAGGCTTGCCAGCAAATTTCAACAAACAAGAAAAAGCCGCTGATTAACATTGGGGGGATCCTGAGCAGCCACAGCACAGATGCATCAGCTGAATCTGATAATCCAACAATAGCTGGCTGCGCTGCTTAACATTCATTAGCCGTATGACAATATTTGTGACAACGTTCGGATGTTATTATTTATAATTTTTGGGCTCTTCAGTCAATCCTCAGCGAAAAAATTAAAAAAACTAAACCTCATCCACCAGCAAATGCATCATTTTCAAGCTGATTAGACAAGACTTTTCAATCAGCAAATGTTCTTTAGTCAGTGCCTGTACTATGTGTAACAACTGTTCTAGCATTGGTAGTGTCCCATTTGAAAGCAGCATAGGAATTCCAACAACTTCTCAGCATTATAAATTTGAACAATATTCAAACTAAATCAATTAAGAAGTTGCTTTTCATTGTTCATATTCAAAGGCGAATCTTCTCTTTTCCTGAAATGAGAGACGTGGTCATAATAATAGCTGTTTCAACACCAATAGTTCCGTAAAGCTTCTTCAAGCAAACTAATACTTGAGGGATTTACCACTCATTGTATACCACGACCTCCAATGGAGCAGAAACTGATCAGCCTGTTACGACTGTTTGGCTAGTGGAGTTCAATGGAACTTTAAGATTGCACGAATCTACATGATTAACAATAATAACTCATTGTTTGAAAAGAGTAGAATCAACGATCCTAATGGAGCGGTTTTCATCATCAAGACCGAGCCCCTCATAATTAACTGAGCTGCATCAATTACTTTCCTCAATGTTTTCAGCGAGCAGTGGCTATTTGGTTCTAAACCCGCTGTAGTGTTGTATCAAGTCCATAACTCACATTAAGGAAAAACAAAATCCGAAAAACAGCAGCTATGATAAAATGACCTTTCGCATAAAGCAAGAAATATATCACCAAGCCTAACTGGAGCAGACCGGCAACAGGAACTGAGGGACCGCCTCTCATCACCCGGAGACTCACAACAGCCTCTCCATTCCAGAAACAGCACTTTCGACAATTTAGTTAATGATGACTAACACCTTTGAGACTCTACAAAATCAGTTCCCCTTCCCCGAGCTGTTGACAGGAATGAATGTGAGACATGAGCATCAGGAATCCGCCCAACAGGCGCAGTGGAGAGGCTTCGTATTCTAATTAGAGCTGTCTAAAAAGAAACAAGATGCCCCGAGAGAACTCGGTGCTTTTGAAATACAACCATGAGCATTGGTCTACCAACGCTTTTATATCCATTCTAGCAATGGGGCAAAGAGAAATTTTTGAATTCTGCGACAAGCAAGTTACCCGCTTAGTTAGTTTGCTTGGTTGTTTGTTTGCTGCTGAGCACCAATATCGCAGAACGGCGCTTCAGGCTACAGTCAAGGACTCTGAAATAAAATCAAACTTTGAACAACAACGAAGAAGCTCAAACGCGCCGACTAAACACATCGAATGTTCTTGAAATTGTTCTATAACACCAACATCAACACTTGGTAAAGAAACAATACAGACCAGTAATAGAAGGATACGTTGACCGTCGAACAGGAACTGTCATCACCGTCAGTCAAACATTGCTATGACAATACATAGTGATATTTAGCTTGAGATGAGCCAAAAATTGCAAATTGGTTAAAATCGATCCCACATAAACTACAAATGAACAACCATCAACAATTGAATCATTGAAGCAATTTATTATAATATGTAGAAGCTGGAGCACTGAGTACTTTATTCAACATATCTGCATCAATTTCTATTGGGTCAACTCTTCCAATGCCAATGGAACATTCCTCAACCTCCGAGTAGATTGATAGTTGTTTGAAACATGGTTGGAGTTACTACTATGAATAAGATTGATAGCCAAGATGACTGCCGAATTGTTATCACAGCTGATAATTGGTTTAGCAAGAATTCCTACCAGAATATATGAAGATCTGCTTTAGGAGCAGAGCTTTCTTCATCTCTTAATTAAATGAAAATTTATTTAGCGTCACATGTCAGCGAGGCCATTCACGCCTGCTCTCTGCAGCTCCATCTTACTTGCTTTTACTGGATGAGCAACACGTATTGACCAACGGATCTTCCATCCCAAATATCACCAGCCCAATCACTTTTCGAGAATGGAGCTAGTTCAATTGAAGTTGCAACTTTGTAATTGACCGATCAAGGACTTGAGTTCAAGAATCTTGACACCCATTAGCACTATTGAGTTAAATCTTCCTCGGCAAACAGTGAAATTGATGCAGTGATTCAATCACATATTCAATTTATTTGCGTAAGCAATTTGCAGCTGACAACTGCGCTCCAAGAATTGATACGTAATCCGATAAATCTTCATCATCTGACCCAGAACCATCGGTTTCAAGCAGCTCGTTGTGGGGTTAATTACCATTGGTGTTGTCTGCGAATGAATCACACTCGTTTTAAACAGTTGAACAATAATTCTCACCTAGCTCACCATTGATACCGATATGCAGTCGATATTAAAAGCGATCTCAAACGGCGAAAGACGACTCAGAACACTTCCAAGACTTTTTATTTTGATGGGTGAACTGAGATAAGATTTTAGCAGCTTCACCATTAGAACTGATAATCCGCAAATAGTAAAAAGATCCACAAATCAGCGAAGCATGGAGTGATTATTGAACTGGAGTGCTAAAGCACTCCATGATCAGCTGAGGGTCCTTATGATGCAAGCAAATGCGGAGCACTTATCTTTCTTGAGTAGATATGAAAAGCAGATTGTTTGAGTCGATAGAATCAGTTGCGTAACGTCCAGCCTTTCGTGCAATATTAAGCACTGACAGACGCCCCAAACTGCTTTAATTAACTTTTTCGGACGATATGCCTTTAAAAAAATGCAGTTCGCACATCCTTTTGATGAATCCGAAACGACCTTGATGCTGCAACTTCAAGGAGGACACTAACATTTTCATACCCGTTTAGTAGAGTAGACCTTGCAGAAAAATTAGTACCTTCGAGGTCAGAAATCGTTTTGGCATCTATTCTGGGCTTAGCAAAATCACCAATTAATGGGGTTGTTGTTGTAAACATGTACCACAGCCAAAGGGGCTTTTCTTCGATGAGAGCTCAACCAACAGGTATCAATGAAAATCAACCATTATCTGAAGCACTGACTGACAAAAAATGTTTCAAAGTGGTTCAGAAGTGTTTCGTTTACCAGCAGCGGCGGCAATAACAGCAGCGGCCAAATATTTCAAAAAATATGTTTAAATGGAGGTGTCTCATATACATTTGAAGACCATTAAAATACATCTTCAATGTCATAAAGATCAACTTCTCAAACTTAGTTGGTTACACTTGTTGGTCCATGGTACATTGAGCAACAGTGGTGGCTCTAGCAACTTCAACAGCATCAACAGTACATTGAACGGATTCCCTTCAATCCAATTTTTGTCATCGACACCATCTCTTTTGTGATCATCAGTGCGGATGTCAATATATTCATCATAGTCATCGAAGTAAATATTAGATACATCATCTGGTCCGACTGCAATTGTGTTTTCTTTTTTAGTGGCTGCGGCGGCCGGATTTGTTTCATAAGTCCAGCAGCAAAGAGTGCAATTTTTACAGCAAGTGGAATTGTTGGCTTAATGCAGCAAATGATGCATCAAACAAGAGAAACTTTGTTTCATGAACGTGGCAAGATGAGCGGTAAAAACAAATAAGATTTGAGGATTGAATTCTTTGTAGGGCATTCTAGTCATGCTGTCGTGAACGAAACCCCAGAAGACTCTTGTATTACCTATCTTGGTGTGTCTGATGTATTTGCGAATTATTCCAGAATCACACATCAAGCAACACTTAACATAGCGGCAGCTAGATTTCTTACTTAGATCAACCGAAAGGACGTGGACACCAGGGCTCCTTAATTTGTAGGAATCAAACTGATCAAAAGCTCCGCACAAATGAGAGCTTTATTCCACAAATATTCAGGAGCTTTGGCTTTAATTGACATTGACGTGGCGTTCGTAATAATTGGTTTATGACAACATTCGACCACCCCAATTTGGTGAAACTATAACTTTCCGAAATTCCAAGTTTAATTTTTTCTGCTTTGCAAAAGCCGTTGAGCAGCATAGGTGCAAGCTACACACCAGATCTGACAGTATCAACTGTGTTATCCAATCATTGTTGAATAAATTTCACCTAATATTGCAACTATGCAACAGCAAATGATTATGCAGCAATTGCAACTTCAGCATCATGTTTCGAGTAGTTATCAACAAAGGAGAGAAAATAGCCGGTCAGATCAGCAGCAACAAGTGCCGTTGGGCCAACAATAGCATCACCAAGCAGACGAAGGGCAGCGGCGGTATGACTTATACAAGACTTGACAATAATTTCTGCACTATTATGCGTTAAAACAGAAGTCACATCTTGAACCAGCAGCAGCCAAAACTCAAAGAATGTTGGATATATCATTTGCGGCTGTCTCACATGGATGTCCTAATTGTTGATGCCCATTTGCAGTAATTAAAGCAGCAGCCGATGGGTCACCGAGACATTAAAATACTTTTAAAAGTTTTCCCTCAACAGGTAATGCACCATTCAAATACTCAAAACCTTTTGTTAATGAAATGCAAGCACTTTATCCAGTAGCAGCCATGATTAAAATTAATGTTGCACCACGCAAGCTTAAAGAAACGATTCTACTGATCCACCTTTAAGAAGGGGCACAGTGTCAATACTATTGACATCAACGATAGCGTCACCAATGCTACTAATTAGACACGAATGAAGACCTAAGTAGTTCAACCAGCCATCGTAAGCTCAAATTTGTTTCGAAATACCAGAATCAAAATAGAGCTGTTTCTAATTCATCATGACCTTGCCACTTGTATTTAACCACCAAACAAACAGCGGCTGGTCAATTTCGCAGGAGTCCCAACTACGACAGCAGCGGAAACATCGGGTAAATCTGATGATCCAGCAAGAACTGGCCGTGATGCCGATCACCCATTAGTCAAATGAAAATATTTGTTCTAACGATAGAACGTCATTAGTTCCTGTATTGACTCATGTCATGATTCACTATCAACAGAGACTAACGCAGTTATGCTTGAGATACCAGCAGATCAATTGATTTGCAGATGAGTGGCCAATTTCGTTGCATCACAAAATGAAATATTGTCAGGGTCTGTAAATTGAGTATGAACCTTTTCAGCATAGCTGGTGTCAGAAACCGAAGCATCCCAGAGATAGGCGGCATCGTGATCATCGTTGTGGACTGCAAAAATATTGCAATTGATTTCCTTAAAATCCATATTGTATTCCCTTGGAAATCAATAACGTACTTTGCCACTAGCCAGAAAATTGACCCCGTTCAGAATAATGGCAGCCTCTACACCAACAAACCCTACAATCATTTCAACCAGGCTATTACTTGACAGCCATTCCACCTATTTAATCGCACCTCTTGCAAAAAAGAATGAACTAATCTGCCGGTAACAAACGTACGGCAAATGAAATCCAAAGGATCCTTAACATTGTCTCATTCAACTTGACCAGCGATCGCAAGACGTTCCTTCATGAAGACTGGAACGAATGGACCAAACACCACAGCTTTGTGATCCAAGACCAAAACGCAAATAGTGAAGTGAGCAGCATCAATTACTTTCTCTGTTTCTTGCCAGCAAACAATCGCAATTCAATCCTTATCCAGTTCTATCAAATCCATATTTTATAATGAAAAGAATTTGATTAAAAAAAAAATAGCAGGATAGGGACGGCGGGGCCTTTCAATAATGAGCGGCATTCGATGACTGAGCGCCTCGGAAAAGACGTGGCACATAAACCGAGGGACCCATTGTGAACAGTCGGGCGGCCCACAACAGCCCAAGAACCACATTAACTTCAGAGCCGACAATCCTGGCAATGATCTCAATCAATTTAACACCATGCAAGCGATCGCTCGCGTTAGCTGAGCTCTTACCAGGTGTGAGTGCCAGACATGGTTTCCAGCAATCCGCTCAGGAGCGCAGTGTAATAACGCTCGAATCAAATAGACGCCCTTCTAAGAGAAAACATCATGGGCTGAAAGACATTTATGATTTCAAATTGTGAGATGTGCAATATACAACGAGAGCTGTTTAAACGATTCAAGCAATAAGCACAGGGGTCTTTGTTTGCTTTCCGTCTCAAGAGCGATTCCCAGCCGGTTGATTAGTGTTCCTCATCAATTGATGGGCAACACTCATAGTTCTGGACAAGTGTTTGGGCTACATTCATGGACTTATAGATGAAATCAAAAAACGAAAGAATTAAAATAATAAAAAAGAAGCAAAAAATATACATATCACCTTCAAAAGAAAGTCCTTTTTAATACGCAGATAAACATTTTGTAAATGAGAAGGAACACCCAATACTACAATCAAACTCAGGCCGTGGCAAAAGTATAATTGCCACAGTGACTCAAACAAATGAAGAAAACAACTCTGCAGCATATTCAACCAGAAAGCAAACGATAATAATAATGATGGAATACCAAACCGTGGTAATCAACAAAGGCGCACCAATTCACAATTGATTCATTGAGACTATTAATTGGCGAACGTCAACAGTGGAGCACTGAACGGTTTTAACAACATATCAGCAAAATTTCGTCTTAGTATCAACTCTGGCTAGAGAAAATTTCATCGTGCCCAACCCTCGAATAAATTGATACCTGATTGAAATGTGCTTGGTGTTTCGGTCGTAGCAGAGGGGGTCAGCCCAGTCGATGGCACAAATGATAGCACAATAAGTAATTGGATTTGCAACATCTCTACCAATGTAGTTAAGGACTTCTTTCAAGAACACAACTATTTGACTGTTTAGGTGAGTCAAAAGCATTCTGCTGCACAAGTCAGCATGGCCACTGAAGCCTGCTGCCTTCAGATCCAAGTAACTGCTTTATGACTGATGAAAATCATACACCCACCAACTGATGTTTGATGACCAACGTCTCCAGCTCAACCATTGTCTAGGTATCCAGCTAGTTCATCAGTAGTAGCAACATTGTATCGAACAGTAAATTAGTTTGAGTTCAAATATATCGACACTCCTTTATCCAACTTTGATTGATCTTCTATGGTCATCAAAGGTATCGAAGAAATCCCATAGAAGGAAAATACATATCGTACAGTAAATATTTCGAAGCAAGAGAGGACGATCCATCAATTGATCTGAACGTGATGACTTTTGAACAAGCAACACCAAGTAATCTGTTTTAAGTAGCATCCTGTTTGGGTTGCTCACATTAGTGTAGCATGCAAATGAAACTCATCCATTCAGATTTATTGAACCATCAGTGTCGCGCAGGTCCCCGTAGATTCCAAAATACTTTTGTTGCTTCGAGTGACTTGAAGTAAAAGCCATATACGCGGAATTTCTCCAAGCCCTTTTGCTTTCAACAACTGACTGACGTATAACAGGAGTACGTTCTCCATTGAATCTGATGATGCGGAAGTAGCAAGATCATCCACATGTAACACTAAAATGCAATGGCAGTTACGTTTTGAAAGGTAATACACTGCAAGCACAAAAGAAACTTCTTGAAGCCCAAGAGACTGCAGACCATTTACAATGTTTTGTAGCTACAAATATAAACTGATTGCATAAATAAATTGATTTGTGTAGCTGCCAAATTTGCAAAAGACCCACAGGATTTTCAAGTGAGCCAGGGTGGGCGCTGTAATATTGAGCGTCGATATCTTCATGAAAAAATTTTGTTTCGACATTCATTTGCTGATCTTCGAATGACTTTGAAGCTGCAACAACATGAAGGGCTGTAATACTGTCATATCTTCCAGCTTTGATCGACAAGCAGTGTTGCATATTGCGTCTGCTGAATTTCGTTTAACACTGGCAGCGGCAATAAAAAGACCGGCCAAACATTTCAGAGAAGTCTTGCCTTTAGTGGGCTCACTTGATTCATCGTTAGAAAAATTAGCTACATTTTCAATGACATGAAGATCCTCATGGCAGACGTTTCATTCAGTAGCAAACCTTTCCTACTCAGATTCAGCGGCTCTCTTAGCATCGAATTGTTGACTACCATGCAGCGCAGATTGATCCCATTAATCTCAATTCTACTGAGTGTCATCGAGACGTTCGTTCAGTTGATCATTTGATCTGATATCAATTTATTCATCAAACGCACTGGATTTATTTTCTCATGTATTCTCTGAACCAGTTGGGGTTGCCATATCATTCTTAGTAGCCCCAGTGGACAGAATCGGTTCTATAACTTCAGCAGCAGTGGGTCTAACGTCAATCTCAAACGGAATTTATTGTTCAATGGCAGCTTATCAATAATTTTTCAACGGAAATTAATTTTTATCAAAGAAACAAGAGGAACGGACATCAGCACAGCTGTCATGATGATTGTACAGTTAGTTTGCATTCCTTACTCATATCGTGCCCAACAAACGCCCAGATGACATTTCTGTCACCTTACTCGGTTTGTTTGATATGTTTGCCAATCATGCAATAAGCAGCACTTCCAAAACACCTTCACCATAGATGAAGTTGATTTTCATTCAAAATTTAGTTTAATAGCGTAGTGAACAGAGTGCGATGCATGAAATGAGTAAAGTTCAGCAAAACCTCTGAATCCATGACAGTACCATTCCACATGCAATCACGAACGTTACCTTTAATAAACATTGTCTTGGCCTTTGTGAGAAATGATTTTTGCCAACGTCCAGCGACGGGATATTGGTAAGAGTAATAGAAAACTGACAAATCTAGATTTATTTGCTGAGATTGACAAAATTTTTTGATCCACTTAGATTCACAGTACGAGTCAAATCGGACAGCATGAGCGGTTTTATACAATAGTCGTTGAGTAAATCGAATATAATACACCAACCTGGCGACAGCAAATCCTCCTGTAACAATCAGAGGAATACCAGCCTATCTACAGTTATCATCAACAATCAGATAAAAATAACGGCTAACATCAGCAGCAACAAGTGTGACGGGCCTCAATTGATTAACAAGAAAAGCCCACGAGCAGCCGTGGTCTGTCTTCTAGACGACTTAACCATAATTTGGCACATTTGTTCTTTCAGTGAAGACAGATATTTTTATCCACCAGCAGCGGAAGTGACCTAAATCATGAATAAATCTCTTACGAGTTCTTCTCTTGGATACCATATTTGTTCAGGCCAATTTCGAGTAATTAACGCAACAGCAGATGAGGAACGAGACATTCATATAATTAAGATGCTGCTCTGTTACTAGTTAAAGCACCATTCAAATCACCTGAATGATGTTCGAGTGAGAACGGGGACTGGTTGATTCTAGCAGAGGAGATTGGAAATACGCTTGCACCTTAGAGAACTTAAAAGAGACTTTGAGTTGATTTACAATTCAGAAGCATGGCCGCGTTTAAAATCTTGGCATTAACGATAGTGTCACCAGTTCCAAGAAAATAATAAGAATTAGGAATAAATGGCTAAACCAACCAGCGTTCGGACAGATATGTTCGAAAGCACCACGGTTGAAATACAACCATCTGGAGTTCAACAAAATGTTACTAGCTAATCTCAAAGACTGAGCAAACAGCTTTTTGTCATCTTTGCAGTCATCCAGAAGAGCGACAGCAGCAAAGATATCGGCTGCAACTAATAATCCTGCAGGGTCTGGCCGTCCTGCGACCCACTCACTGGCAGAATGGTTTTTTGTGCCACAACGATAGCATGTTCTTTGGTTCGTTCTGGCATCTTGAATGGCTTTCAACTAACAGAGACTAACGCAGTTGTACTTGAGCACCCAGTAAATCCATCATTGCAAACACTATTGGCCAAAACTTTTGCAACACGATAAGAAATTGAGTCACTCACCGTAAAATGACTAAGAATCTGTTGAGCATAGCCAAGATCCAAAACTGTCGCAGCAAAAGAAATGGCAGCCGTTGGTTCAGCATTGTTAATCTTGACTAGATTGCAATATATTTATTGAAGACATTCTGATAATATCACATATTGGATTATCTATTTCCCCACTTACTGGATATAATTGGGCTGGTCATAACGATACCAGCTTTAACACTAAATCTATCATGATGCTTCTCGAGGTAACGTAATCGATGACTGAAATACCACTCAATCAATAGACTTCTTCCAAAATACCAGAACCAATCCACCAGCAAGAAGCGGATGCCAAATGGAATTCAATCCAATCTTAATTTTGACTGAACACACATGAAGTCCAGGAATAACAATTTTCTGATAAAGAGTTCAACCAACAAACTAACCAGAGCGTCTTCAAAATTCAACACCGAAACACAAAATTAAATTAGCAGCACTAATTAGCGTCACTGATTCTTGGCAGTGAGAATTCTCAATTCGGCTAATAATTCGTTGTGGCGAATCAGTGATTTATATCAAGGTAAAGACATATATTGAAAAAATGAAGTAGAACAGACTGCCAGCTACTTAAATCGAGAACTGAGTAACATCACAGAGCGTCACGGGAGGAAAACTGTCACAGACTCTGAGAGACCGAATGAAAACATTCGCGCAGCTCACCACAGAATGCTGGATAGCAAGAGTCACAGAACGCAATTGGTGAAGCTAAGATCACTATTTGGCTATTGGTGTTTAATAGAGAAGCCGCTCACTTTGGTCCGTTACTTCAAGGCATTAAGAAAAAAAGTGTTGTTTTTCGTGATGTTGCTGATTCGAGCGACAAAAAAGTTGCTTTGAATCTCATTTGCCATTTGTTTGATACCGGCGGATTACTGTGTGCTGCTTTGGAAGAGGACGAATAATATGGATGATATGGCCGTAAAGTATTAGTTTAGCTGGGAGTGCTTAATGTCTCCATTGGCATAGAAGCTGCTGTTGAGATGACCCGGTCACTTATGGCTGGGAGGTAGAGAAATACATTATCCAATTAAAAGAGTTGGAATGAAGTGCTTAACCCATCCTATTTCAATAATCTCAAGTTCTACAATGCTGATCAAGATGCTGCTAATCTTCACACTGATTTGGCTTCGGTCAGCAAGTACGGTGAAACGATTCTTACGCAATTTACGAATCTTCACAAATCTGCATTTTCAGATGTGAAACTTTAGGCCAATCATCTGCGGATTGATTGACGTACTGGCGGCCCAGATTCAGTACCGTTAGTCTCAGCTGCTAAGGCACCCATCAAGAAACCAAAATGAAAATAACTGTCGTACAATTTTTGTCACCAAGAAGGACATTTGGTAGGGCCTGGTTAGCAGCACGGCAAGTTCCAACTAGATAATCAATGGTAGGCAATGCTTCTGCCGCTCCAGCTGTTTTGCATGACCTCAAAGTTGATCAGTCGCTGCTTGCTTGGTGGTTGAAAATAAGTAGCAACGTGATGTTGAGCGTCAAATAGCTTCATGTTAACTACGGTGATTTCCCACATACATGTCAAACGTTGATTGGCTCAGCGACTTAAAAATTCATTCAGCGCCAAATGCTGGTATTCGTGATACCATCTTGCTTGTCAAAGGTATTGGCACCGTCATGCTTCTGATTGGAAAACCATTGATGAATGTTCTGCGTACATTCACGGTGCAAATCTAATCTCACGGTCCGCTGCTGGAGATGAACTGGCTAGGCTTTCAATCAAAGATCATTCTGTTCATTTGCATTGCGCACTAGCCGGTTAAAATCCAGCCTCATGGTTATACGAATATTTCGTTTCCACAACTGATTTGGGATTAATTACTGCAAATTTGAATCAGCTTTCCGTTCATGGAGGTCAAGCTGTTGCAAGTGGTTTATTTAAAATGTAGGACATTTCTGCTGCTCCTGGCTCAAAATGTCAGTCTTCTGGGATAGGAAATGCGACCAAACCCTTTAATGAGTGGTCAACAAGACAGGCAACCGCTGCTCTTGCTCTTCTTCATCTTGATATTGTTGAGGCAAAGCCATTTGTGTCTGTTCATCTCAGTCATAATTAGTTCATCATTGTTGATAATTACTGACGATATCTTTTTGTTGCTCCAAATGCTGCAGGATCATTAGCTGTTGCCAAGTTGCTTGATTAAATTAAATCTATTCGATGAATATCCAATAAAACAGTTAATAGGGTCAGATCTAATAAGGTGTTTGCATTCATGCTCATTAACCACTTGCTTTGATTTCCAGAATTCGAACATGCAATTTCAGTCTTTAGAAGTGTCACGAAAATGGGCTGGCCAAAAGTTGGCAAAATCCAATCATTTCCAAATCCATAAAAAAAGTAGTTAATTTCAGTTTTCAACATTATCGGTGAAATGAAGCTGGATTATACGCACTGCGTTCGATGGATTTCATTGCTACTCAACTTCGGCATTTTTGGCTACGTCTTTCAAGTTAATTAATGAAAGAATCTCGACCGCTGCCAATGTGAAGGTGCTTAGATGTTCTGTTGATGGCTCAATTCCCAAACAAATCAGCACAACAAGGCTAGGTGAAGCAAGTGTCGTCTATGGTTCTGTCGGCTATGAAATGAGTAAAAAAACAGGGAGAGCGTACAATCCTCATTACTGCTGTGGTCTCAGTTCCACCTGCCGCTGTCAACAAATCAAATTTCGATTTGAAACACAATCTGTTGCTGCCACTAAACCAAAAATTTTGCAGCGGTTTCAGATGCACCTAATGCAGCTTGTGCTATGGGGCCAAGCAGCCGACCGCATCCAATGACTTAACAACAATTAGTTCACACAATATTTCAATGCATCACAACAAGAAGGAGGATGCATATATCGACATCTCCTCAGATGATGACGCAAAAAAAGGAGTCGATGACAATGATTTAGATTCAAAGACATTAGTTGAAATCTCAAATGATGCTGATCTTCCTGCGGATGGTGAGACGGGTGCCGAATCAGATATGGGCCAAGTTGCTGCAGCCAAATGACTTAATCAAAACATTCTTGATGCCATCAAAAATGTCTTTAAATGGTTTTCAAATAATGCTCATGATACCATGAAAAGCGACTTTTTCGGACTTATCTGGCCGCTGCCCATGATGCTACTATTATTGATACACTAAATCCTGCACATTCAATGTGGCTAGATGCTTGTCAATAAGTCCTTCAGGCATTGCTCAAAAGTGCAGTTACTGCTGGTTGATGGTCCATATCAAAAATCTACGGTTTGTAGTCTTCGGTTATTTACAACAGACTCAGCACCAGCAAGTGATTTAACCAAAACTCCACTATTTGCTCAGCAATTTGGCAGCTTAAGGCATTGAGTACTCTGAAGAACTAGGCCCAATAATTAAGTATGAATGTGTTTGAGTCCTTCTTTCAGTTGCAGTATCAATGTCATTTATGGATTCACCAATCGATGTCACAACTTCAATTTATCATGGTGATATCCACGGCGAATTTTCTAAGAATGATCCACCTGGATTAGTTAATGGTGAACATCCACTTCAAATTTGAAGAATAAAAATTTAATTTCAGTGGAACACCAATGGATCGGTTGAAGGTACAAAAAATTGTTCAGTGCTCTCTAATTGTTAAGGATCTAGAAACATTCAAGTAAACATGGACCGCTTTATCGTTCAAAATCAAACCATTGCTGCTTTCCTACAAATAAATGTATTATATCATTACTGGAAGCTCATCTGATGAAAAGCTGAAGCTGGTCAAATCATATTTCTCTTCATTGTTGCAAAGGAAAGACCTTGAATTAATTGCGGCTGGTCTTTTTGGACTCAATGTAGGTCACAATTGGCAGGGAATTTCGGTATCTACGGAGATCTACCTCGCGCTGATGGTTCACAAGAGTAAATTTGATGACTGTCATATGCATCGAACACCAATGACCGTTAACCCACACAAGATTCTACTTGAAACAGAAGGCTCGGAGTTCGAAGCTCAAAGACCATCATTATGAAGCTCAATAGCTGGACCATTGCTATTTGCTGCAAATCGGTTACAGTATGATATCGCTTTCGCTGGTCGGTTACTCAGTCAATATCTTGGTGCTCTACGCAAGAGCGGTTTGGGTTGCGCTATAATAGTGACTAAATATTTAATCTCAAACCCATTGCAAGTCACTACAATATCCGTCATCATATTAGCTGCTTAGAACCTTTCACAATGATTGGGCTAGAGTCATTGGCGTCACAATTTAGTTGTTGGATCTAAGCTGCTCCATAATCGAAAGCCAGTTACTTGCACCACCAAAAACAAGACTTTGCTGTCCTTTCCCAGCTGCGGAGCAGAATATATTTCACTCGCTGTGGCAGTCAAAAATCCTGTACTCATATTAGAGGCTTTCAAGTTCATTGCAGCAACTGCTGATAAACCATATTTCCACTGTGTGAACAAATTTTCAATTAACCTGGTTCACATCCCACCAACAAAAGAGAGTACGAGCATATTTCGATCAATAATTATTTTATTGCTGCGTAGTCCAATGTTGCAATTATTCATGCAAGAACTGATCTTGAAAGTAATGATGCTACTATGTTGGTTAAGGCGAGAAACGTACTAGTGTTGAAATCTGTCTATATTTTGTTTCAATGATTGAATTGCAATAGTTCTGGTTTGGAATTCATGTAGTTTTGCATATATCTGATGACTATTGTTTGCTTGATTTTCTGTTGATTACTCAACAGAATTGTTATCCAACTGATTGTCTGACGCTAATGATACTATTCCTACAACATATCTGAGTTGCTTGTACTACTTGTATTCATTTTCCGGCACAAAATGCTTAAGCTTGAACTACAAAGAATTTCCATTAGCTTTTAACTTGTTTGCTTTTTGATTTTCTTTGTTTTTTATGTTTTGTGAGCGACTAACTTACTTAAAATGTCCGTGATTGACGCCTGAACAGTCCCTACAGGAATTGGATGTTCGCAATCAAAGAACTTAACGAAATGGCCAGGGAACGGACCTCCGCTCAAAATAAAGGAGCTCCCTTTGCCTCGTTGCTTGACCGCCTAAAAAAGCCTTTTTAGTGCAACGCACATGCAAGCATTTCAAAATGACTTATTTGATTTCTCCCAGAATGTTTTCTTTTGGAGAGCAGATGATTAGATTCGAACTCAGTCTACTGCACCCCCGATCAAATTGACGCAGGCCATGCTTCGTACTCACAAGCAGTATCCGCTCGGCCAGCACAATCGGTGGTTTGCCAGATCTCTAATCTGCTTCACTAAATTGGCCTGATCATTTATGAACCAGTAATTCGGCTAAGGGGAGAAATTGAATATATCCCGATTTCCTAAATTTGTCCATCTGTGTCTGTCATTTGTCAGCTCCCGTAACAATTTCAGACTCAAGGCAGGTCCCTAGAAGGGGCCGGCGGTGTCTCTTACGTTCTCCTTTCAGAGATGATTCCTTTCAACGCAATACTATCATGGACTTGCGAAAACAACGAACAAACATAAAGAACCAGAAATTGCGGTAGGTAGACCCATCAAATCTAAAGAAACGAATTTTTCACTAACTACATAATCATTAGTGGAACATTAAAAACCATGTAATACAATCAAACTTTTAGAGTTGTCGATGAAATATGAACACCGTCAAGCAATTAAGTCCGTATTATTACTGTATCATAACCAAGAAAAGAATATGACCATCAATAATAATTACAAAAGGTCAAAAGGCCAAAGTGACAAAACCGAAGGCATGACCAATGGAGAGATTGAATCAATCTATTGGCAATGTTGAACACAGGTGCATTACGCGCCCCAATCAACATATTAAAAACATTACTCTTAGTATCGGCTCTTCCTAAAGTAAAAGCAACATTGCTGGTTTTCTCATAAGCAATACGATATCAAAATGAGGTTGACGTTTCAACCATTGCAAGACGCTTAGCCAAGTTGATAGCACCTCTGCTATCACAATAAATAATTGGGTTCTCAACATCTGCACCAACGTATTTGATGGCTTGCTGTAGACAGTGATTACATTTGAGCGCTTCATTCAGTGAGTTGTCCTCTGTTTCATAATGCAGCACAGACAGTAAAGCCTGCTTTCTTCAGCTCCAAATGACCGAAATGCCATTGATGCCAAATAAATACTCACCAAATGATGCCGATTCACCAATGACTCTAGCCCAATCACTCTCAGAGTATACCGACAACTCAAATGATAACGCAGCTATGTCATGTGAAGGTCTAAATTAAACTTCAATTATCATCATCCAGTTAGCCCTACGTCTAAAACATTTGTGCGGTGCACCATGTTATCAACCGAGTACCCGAAAAGCAAAAACAATATCTTACTGTAATCGATTTGGAGTGAATAACAGCAATTCAGCAATTGATCGCCAAAATGATAAATTGTCAACTGCGAGCTCCTAGCCATCTGGTCCCAGAACAGTATTTTCCTGGTTTATGATCATTTGAGTAGTCAGCAAATATGAGTCAGCAGTTTTGAACTGCTGATGCATCATCGCAAGGAAGCATCCCGTAAAGTCCAAAAAGCTTTTTCAACTTTGAGCATCATGAAGTTCAACAATCGGACCCACAATTACTATAAGGTCTTTCAGATTGAACAACGAAATGAGATATGATTTGACCACTTTCTCCCTTGCATCAAAGCATCCGTCAGTAATCAAGTCTTCCATTTATATCGCTAGGATGCTGTGGCATCTTTTCCCTCAGCAAGAAAACCTCCGTGTTCTCCAGATGTTTCTCCGAATTTAATCGACTGCAAGATAATTAGCATTTGCTTGTAACAACTAAAAAGAAATCATTTGAAGCCGACTATTGTCTTACTTATCTTTCAATTATTCAAGGAAAAGCTGCCATTATCAAACATAAACCGTTGTTGTATGTAGCAATTGGCCTCCATATCACCATGAACTGACGCAGTTGCCACATCCGCTTGATCATGGTTCGATGACTTAGATGCGGCAAACAACAGCAGCTCAATGGTCGTCAAAATTAATTACTCAAGAGAATATTCAAGTATATTCAATACCATCAAGCCGCAATGCAGTTGAGAATAAAATGAGCAACTTCTAGCTTCACGAGTTGGTGCTAGGTTATTGAATGATCAAACGGCAGCCCAGGAGCTCCGTTCCCGAGAATTCAAGGACCAGCAGCTGGGATTTGCCTTCCTAGCATTCGCTGATGTTTTGATTGACAAACAACATACCAAACTTAACCGGCCAATTTTTCTTCAACGGCGTTAGCGCCAATCAAGGTAATGTCACAATCTCATAAGAGAGTCCTCTCTTTCATGGTGTGTGTTCATTCATTTGCAAGCCATCCATATCAGAATGCAATGGTAAAAGGGGCATTATCGCAATTGCCTTTTCATCAACCAAATTAGTGCACATCAGTTTCAGCACTACTTTCAGCACCGGCAACTGATTCATGACATCAGTCACTGAGAATTAGCTGTGGTGATTGTATCACGTTGCTTTCAACCTCAGCTATTGGCTCAGCACCTTACCAATTGCCAAATAGTACTTCAACCTGAAAGGTGATGCCTTTCGATGTATTACATCGGCAAAATGAAATTCTGCTCCTACTGCTATCGGCTCCAACTGAAAAGTTTAGTGCTATCACACCAACAGCAATAGCTGTGATTCAAGCCGCAGATGATGTTGCTTTTTCAATGAGTGCGAATGATAGCGTTCAAATAGATAATTTGATTTTATCATATCTACAAATTGACCGCACACCACCACCACTAATAACAAGACTGAACACTATTTAGGCATCTATACTCAAATCGTAACCAGCAAACGCACAACCTACTTTAGATTCATGTCAATTGATTGCCTGAATTGTTCGCGAACGGGGCATATCCAGCATAATCAAGCACATTCATAGTACTAGCCGTGAAAATAATCCATAGGATGATTTGAAAGAACTGGTCAACCGAGGGCAGTGTATCGTGCAAAGCTGATCCATCAATAGCCGTGGATATGTTCCACATACGCTCCACAAATACTCAAAATCATTTCGTGTCAGGAACGTTGTCCTGGCACTTGATACAATTTTATCTGCTGAAAGATTGACGAACACCTTATATAAAAGTTGATAGCAAGCAAAACGGAGCATGCTTTATTTGGCCTTATCGGCAAACGCTACTAAGCATCTTAATAACAAAACTGTAGCAGCTCAAATCGCGTCAGCTGATCCATGCTTAGTACCAAATAGATTCCAACGTGGAAAAATTACTTAGCAGATCGATTTAAGTATCAGCGAATCGCAAGAGCAACAAAATATTTTCAGCAATGCGGATTGCTAACACTACAATAGCAACATCTGTCAACAGCAGCATCAAGTATGGGGGTGTCAATGCTCACAAAAGGTAAGCCAACAGCAACGGTTGCCTGTTCATTAAAGAACGAGTTAATAATTTTTGCTGAAATGGCTTGTGAAGCACCTGACATATGGAACTGACAGCGGCACAAGCGCAGCAAATTCTGCCTATACTCTACAAGACAGTCTGACCTGCGCCAACACTGCATTCCCGCCCGAATTTAGTAAATAACGCAGCAACCGTTGAAACACTGTTCCAGTAAAATAATCAAAATCATGCCATTTATCTGCTAACCGACCAACCAATAGACGCTAATTTTTATCGAATCCCATTGCCTGCTAATTTGCCGCTCCAACCAAAATCGACAACGGGTTGCGCTCATCAGAACAACCGACGCTGCTGACTGACAACGAACATTCAGCAAATTCAAATGACGATTCCGTATTCAATGACCGATTTTGTCGTTATTACCACCAACGTAGATTCAGTCATTGGTTTTACTGCCAAACCAATGGCTCGTCTCAGCACTGTTGCAACAAGTCTATATCAAGATAATGCCGCTCTACAATAGGCAAACATCTGCAAGCATCTTCCAGAGACTAAACAGACAGGGCTGATCAGTTGGCGGAGCATTCACAGAAGGCACTGCGGATCGCCAACCCGGTCGTACGGGAGACGCATCGCAACAAGGTTGAGCTGCTAAAGGGTGCAGTCCATATGACGTTCATTTGGTCGGCGATGACATTTCAGTGCAATGAAATTTGTGACCCATTTCTTGCAATAATATAGTATGGTAGTGGCCCGCACAACAGAAAGCAACCCACGCAATAGCGGGTCTACTGCTAATGGTAACGCAAAGCGCTTGCAAGGCAGCGAATGACTAGTCCCCTATGAGGTCTACTGAATGGAGCGTCTGCTGGCCTAGCAACAATGACTTTCCTGGTACGAATCGTGACAAATTGAATTCATAGTAACTTTCAGAGTGAGGGAATCAGCCTCATCAGCAAAAATATTCTAATTTTTTTAAAAGAATCAATTGACGGAGCAAATCAAAAGCTTTGAGATTCAAAACCTAAGCCCAAATAATAAAGTTTGCAGAATCTTTCTTTTTCTTTGATTGTTGCCGACGATCAATCGCAATTTGGTGCATAGCCTGCTGTAGCAAATTCATGGTAGTGCATTAAGATTTATAGTATATTGAAAGAAGAGCGTGTTGCGAGATTCCCGCATTTTCATATTCTGTTTCTTGATGTCTGACACGGGTCCGCTCGCGTGACGCTTTGCGGTATAACCCAGTTACCAATAAAAGCGGCTGTCGATCTCATCCACGTTTTTTTTTCTAATATACTTTTTCACCTTGCCATATTATAATGGATTCGCTACAACATTGAAGCGATCGTCTGAGGTCTGGTTACTGGGTCAAGGGGGCTGTTGTGAGCCGCCCGCATGTGTACATTCGGTCTTTCGGCTTCTGTCACCAGTCTGCTCAATCATTTGCTTTCAGTTTTTTTTTGAGAATTTGTGTTTGGTTGGCTTACTATTAACGTGTTTTGTGCAATTAGTCAACTTTGTTGCAAAATTGTAATGATTGTATTGGTTGAAAATAACTGTTGAGACAATAATCACTGTATTTCTTGATGAAGCGCTGGTGATTGCAATATCATGGGATATTTTGCTGTCATAAATGTTTAACGGTGGCTCGGCTGTGACGTCAAATCTTTGTGATACTCTTCTGGTTTGAAAACTCATGATAGATTTTACATCGAATTTTCGTCCGTTATGTTTTCCGCAAACGTGAGGAGAAAAGCAACGATTTGTTGAACCACTGATCACTCTTCAATTCTTTTGATTCCCTATATCTATTGTTGCACATCTATATTTTAGAACAATACTTTAAAACAATGTCTACCAGTGATTTTTTATTACTTGATTTATTAAATCAAGAATATAACCGTTTTTCGATTCATTCTCCTTTAAATTCCTCTTCGGCAGATACCAAGGAGTTGATATCCTACCTTAAAAACATCAAGCAGCATCTCCAAAGTTCCCTGATACTGCTTCATGAAAATCAAACTTTTAATGTTCAGGTTGAAGAATATGATAAATTGATTCAATCCAAGTTGTCAATATGGCAAGATAGTATGAATTTCAATTTAAAAAAATCTCATAATTCAACTAATAAATTTTCCAAATTCTTGGACAACAGGGTTTTTAATTTCAATCTCAAACTTGAGTTGAATAAGTTTAACATGCAGATTTTGAATGGTTCTGGTGATTTTTATAAAAAGGCAAAGAAATCAAGAACCACTCTCAATGATATTGGAAACCATTTCAACTTATCTAATTCAACTTTGAATCTATCCAATGAAAAAAAGAAATTGGTGAACCAAATCATTTTAAATCATCTTGTTTTAGAAAACAACTCTAACTGCTTTAGCCTTCACAAAAGTAATCAACCCAAAAATCAAACTACTACTTTGGATAACAGTCTTCAATTGCAGGGCACTGATTGTCACCAAAGTAGTTTTATGCCTACTATTAGCTACACGTCGTCACATTCTTGCAGTGATTATTTAATTTCTTTATTGGAGTCCCAATTCAATTATAAAATCAGTCATGATTTCAAGTCAAAGTTGGTTCATTTAAAGCAGTTGATAAACCCTATATTGAATCCTCTTCCTGGTCAAGGACCAAATTTGAACTATGTTTTACATTGGTGTCAGGCCAATCACTCATCTCTATCAAATATGAATTCAGATTTGGTTTTTAATTTGCAGATACTAAAGTTTTCTTTCCTTTATAATGGTATATTAGGCTTTCATGATATTTCAAATGAAATTATGCCTAATGCTTCAAAGAATACTAAATACCAGTTTAGCGATAAAAGTATTGATGAGATTGGTCAGAATCATAAATCCAACCCCACTATACAAAACAATCATTTTAATGCCTATCTATACTGCAAGAACAACTTATCTCATTATTTTTCAAATAAATTAGTACTAAGTCCTGAAAATAATCAGAAATTGTTGATTATATCCAACTTGTTCGCTAAAACTTTTATAAACGATGAAATTGATATTGATTATTTTTCAAAAGACTATAAAGAACAGGAAAGTTTGCCTACTAACTATATAAATCAGTTTCCCTTGACAATTAATCAATTTATTGAAACTTATTTCTTGGTAAACAATTTGAACTTGAACTCAAATTTGTACTCAATATTAATATCTTCTTTTATTTCCCTTCCATCTCTATTCAAATTTAACTCAATTAACTCTAAATTGATGGGTCAAAAGAATAAAAATGTCAAAAAGTCTGCTTCCAAAAGTTTTTCTGCTGCTCAAAGAGACTTCTATTTCCCAATTCTTAATACTCGTGACACGTTTGTTCCTCGAAATAGAAGCTACTCAGAACATATTTTGCCATATCTAAATCGATACACAAATGATCTTAATAATGATAACGAAGATCATCATGACTTACCCTCTGACCAGAACGATTTTATTGCCAATTTTGAAAGTGAAAAACATTGGACTTCAAAGGATGAATTACCAATTGAAATTGAATTACCAAAATTTCTAAATCATAACCATCCCATCTTTATCTGTCCGGTCTCTAAACAAGAAGTAACGAAGAAAAATCCACCAATTTTATTACCTTGCAAGCACATCATATCTGAAGAGGCCTTAATTCAGTTGTCTTCATTAAAAAGTTCCAGAGGCTATAACAGTGCTTTTGACAACGACGATGATAATGATGATGATGAGAATTATGATGATTATGAACCTGGTCTTACTACTTTCCAAAGCATAATTGTAAATGATACTACAAACCGTGACATTTATTCACGTCAGAACTTCAATCGTGGAAATCACTCAAGTGAATCTTTAAACAGCTATGATTCTAACTCGAATGACGAGTTGGATGATGACAGTCAAAACTCAGACCTCGGTGCATTAGATGATCTGCCCAATCATGAACATTCGGATGCATTTGACTCCGGTTATAATGATGATACTGACAGCGACTTTGTGTTTGATTCTGATAGTATTGATGCGGATGAAGATTATGAAGTTGATGGTGACGAGGATGAAGAGTATGGTGATAATGATAACTATGAAGACAATGATGATGAGGCTGATTATAATAATTATCGAAATGAGGATGATGTTGCCAACATATTTGGGGCAACAAGTTCTCATGATCCTTTAGGTATTGGTGGTTCTAGGTACTTGAACCTGGTTAATCAGTCATTGCTGGTGGAACATACGAATATTAGAGATCAGAGATATATTCCTAGCAATGCTATGCTATTAAGACGAATGGCAGAGAGTACTTATCGTGCTACCCGTGAAAATCCAGGGAACCCTTCCAGTTTGGCGGATCCATTAGTTTTAAATCAAAACTTCAATTTATTTTCTCAGCTTAACTTTGATAGAAATGAAGAATGGGCTCGTATCAGGATCAGCGGTGGTAGTAGAAATAGAAACGGAAATAGAGCAAGAAATAGAAATAGAAATCAAAATCAAAATCAAAATCAAAATAGAAATCGAAATGTTTCTAACAATTTAAACAATCCCCGAAACATCAATATGAGTATCGAGAGAGATAGAGACCGATTTGGTAACATCACAATTAGAATCGATAATCAAAATAGTCATAGAAGACGCAAAAGAGAAAACTATATGCCATTTAAATGTCCATATTGCCCTACGATGTGTCGCAAAGAGAACACCACTCCTGTCTATTTTTGTTGAATGCTACCCTATGTGAGGATGATTTCTGGTATTAAAATTTTATAGGTGTTTGAATTTATGATTTCTGGTTTTGGTGTCTTTTGAGTTGAATTTGATGTTTTTTTTTCAAGATTTATTTATTTCAGGAGAAAGTACTTTTTTGGTTTTCATATCTATATGTACCTATTTCAGTGCGTTTTAAGTTTTTAATCCAATATTTCAGAGAAATTGCAGATTGAAAACACATCAAATGAATTAAGTTATTCACCAGGCAATTATCATAAAAGAAGATTGTTTGATTAAAGATACATAAAAAAATTAGAATGAAAATTTTATTGAAACAATGAGATTGGTAGGGAATTTGTAAAATTGGGTAAAAGAAAACCTTTCAAGCACACTTATAAGTCAAAATCGATTCCTTTTTCTTTTTTGGATTCACCGTATTTTTTGATTCTAATGGATTGAACAGCAATGAAACCAGTTGCATCTTGAGGAGAGAAACCAGTTAGTTCATCCATTGAGGATTCAGTTTCATCATATAATTTTTCAGTCGCAGAGAATCTGCCTCTGACTATAAAGGAGCCTTTGTACAATGAAGCCTTTACAACCCCATTGACAGTTACTTGAGAGGGGGCAATCATTGATTTGACATATTCAAATTCTGGAGTAAAGTACATTCCATTGTATAATAATTTGGAGTAAGTTGGAGTGACAAAAAGATCTCTAATAGATCTAACTTCTCTGTCTAAAGTTAAACCTTCCAAGTCAATATGGGCAGACCTCAAGATAGTTAAACCTGGGGTTTCGTAGCAGCCTCTTGATTTGATTCCAATGAATCTGTTTTCGACAATGTCAATTCTTCCAACACCATTTCTTCTGGCCAATTTATTTGCAGTGGTAAAAAGATCAACAGGATCAGTAACTTCCACTGTTGCGTTGTTTTCAGTGTAGACTAACTTTTCAGGCACACCTTGTTTATAGTGGATTTCGATGTCCTCAGGTACATCGGGAGCATCTACAGGATCAACAGTTAGCTTCCACATGTCTTTGGGAGGAGTTGTATTTGGATCTTCTAGAATACCAGCTTCAAAAGAAATGTGAGCCAAATTTTCATCGGTTGACCATGGTTTGGCAGCGGTTTGTTCGACATGAATGTTTTTCTGACCAGCATAGTTTAGCAAATCTTTTCTGCCAGAGAATCTTTTGATGAACTCAGGGTCTCTCCATGGAGCAATAACTTTAACATTGGGGTTTAAAGCATAGAAGGACAATTCGAACCTGACTTGATCGTTTCCCTTACCAGTGCAACCATGACTCACAGCAAAACAGTTTTCTTGTTTGGCCACTTTCATTTGGGCTTTTGCAATGACAGGTCTAGCAAGGGAGGTACCCAAAAGATAGACATTTTCGTAGATTCCATTAACTTGAATAGCAGGATACAAGATTTTTTCAATGAATTCCTTTCTGACATCGACCAAGACGTACTTGGAAGCACCAATTTTCAAGGCTTTGGCTCTAGCAGCTTCAAAGTCTTCTTCCTGGCCAATGTTGGCCATGAAGGCAATGACTTCGTAGCCTTGCTCCAACAACCAGGCCAATATAACAGAGGTATCCAAACCTCCAGAGTAGGCAAGACAGACTTTTCCTTTAGACATGAGGAGAGGGAGATGGGATTGTGCAACAGTCAATTAGTCGAAGCTAGTATCAATGGAGTGAGCAATTGAAATATTTGGAACAAGCAACAAGAAAAAAGCCACAGAAGATCAGGGAGTATTTATATTCTTTTTCCAGAGCTTTTGAGGAGTGAAATTTCAAGAGAAAAATCTCGAATTTTGGAAATTTTCAATGAGTCACGATCGGCTCGAGTGGACCGCGGGGCGATAAGGTCCAGTATTTGAGAGAGAAATGCTACCGAATGACACCAGGCTGTAAACCGCTAGATAAGCACCGCCTGCTGATGTGGCTGGTGTGATGACTGGCTGTGGCTCACTCAAAACTGCAACTTCTACGTCTTCCATATTTTTATGTTTTTATATTTTTATTCTTTTAGTGTTTTTATATTATTATATCCTTCTGTTTTTTTGTATTTACAAAGCCCTAGAAAGCTGCCTCGTCGTCATCACCATCGTCATTTTCCTCTTCTCCCCCATCGAAGTATTTTTCAGCATTGTAGTCGTTGTCGTCGTCCTCCTCAAACCCATCGTCGTAGTCCTCCTCCTCGTCTTCCTCATGTTCTGCGTTCATTCTAGTCACTTTGTTGATGTCAATGGCGTCGTCTTCCTCCACCATGTTCTTGATTTGCTCCAATATGTTCATCGCCTGGACCTCATCATCAATCTCTTCGTTGGGACCACCACTGCTGGTGACCTCTTCAGTTTCTTTGGAGCCAGTACTATTTGTGGATTTTGCATCCTTTTTGATTTGCTTGTTATTTGTATTGTAGTGCGTGAGCGAAATCATCTTTCCTTCACTGCCCATGATGCTGTACAACTCGCTGGGAAAAAAGTCATAATTGTATGGAAAGTCCTCGATGCTTTTGCTGATTTTTCTCTTCTTCAAGTACTTGTCGGAATATCGTTTGATGCCATCGCTGAACCCTTGTTGCTCCTCCTCATTCAATGCTCCTTTGCTGCCCCTGCTGCTGATTTGACCAGAGTAGAATGGACCATCTTTCATCATCTCCAAAAACGTTGTGAACTGCTCTGCTATTTCTCTGTCGATCTCATTCAAGGGCCCATTCACAGGAATCACAAACTCTTTGCTCACTTCTCCAACTCGAATCGCATGAAAGTCAAAGTCGAGTCCAAATGGCAAAGACAAACCATTTCTCCCAAACTTTCTGCCACTCATATCACTGCTCACTGCTCACTCCTCAATTTCAATTCCCTTGCTTTGCTCTGTTGTTCTTGCCTCTTTGAATCACTTTCTTTTCAACCCATCCAAGTAATTCTCTGGAACTTGAAAAAGTGGCCGCTAAAAGAAAATCCCTGAAAAATATCACAGAAAAACTGAAAAAAGTAAAAAAAATATCTGGAATCTCTCCTCAAATGTTTCCATCAACTCTTTAATTGACATATTCCATTTTCAATCTTTACTTATCCCTTTACAATTATTACCAAAAGAGCAGAATATTACCGGATATATAGATTATTGTTTACTGCTTTCTATATACTGCACTGTTTGACTTGAAATAGCCTTATAATTCTCATTATCAGTGGTTTCTACTTCTGTTAACAATCTCCAACTTCAACCTACTCCATTAAATATCCTCTTTGTTCTGTTTTGATTTATGCTCAACTGTAGTGACAAAATACATCTTTAATAAGCACTGTTTGGTACTAGAACTCATACCCACATATTTCCACTCAATCAACCAACTTCACCACCAATGGATCAATCAAAGGCTGTATTGCCTTTTACTTTCACTGGAAAATATGAACAAAACCCAACTGATGTCTCCTCCTACTTATCTTCTGTTAGAATAGAAAGCGACTATGGTACTCAAGTCCATTTCGTTAAATCAAATATCCACAATAATAATCACCTTCTTGATAAGAAATCCCCCAAAGCTAATCTCATTTCTAATGATAATGACTCCACTCTAGATGATAACTTGAAAAAGGGTATTAACAATTACCTCCAAAAAAAATCACAAGATAACTCTTTAACGCTACTCATTACTTCCTCCAATTATAAACAATGGAAAACCAAGATCTTGAAGAAATTCCAAAACGATAAAGCACAACTAAACTTTTGTCTAGAAAACCATCAATCCAACGACCAGCTCGATACTGAAATCGATATACCCACTAACTTTACCCAATGGAGATCCTTTCTTATCACCACTATTCCAACACCATATATAATCTCTATTTTATCATTCACTGAATTCATCACTCTAATTACTTACTATAAAAAATTTATATCCAAAAAAAATAAAGGTCACTTGAACAACTGGCTTATATCAATTCTTTTGAGATTACCTGAAATTTTAACTTATAATGACTTGAACGAACTAAGGGAGTTGGGTAAGAAAATTAAATTCCTTCGTCTAAAAAGCTTCTCATCCCCTGAAGATTTTGACACTGACACATTAATGACTTATGATATGTCTTTAGCTATAATCTCTGATCTTTATGGTCAAAAAGATTTATTAAATGACTAACAGTTTCAACATAAACTTCATTAAATACTTGAAATACTTTCCACTCCAAAAAATTTATCTTGCTAGTATAAATTAATTAACATTTTTATCATTTACAAAAATCCTCAATATTTTGCAAAACCACCATTTACACTTGTGACAATTAACAAATTGAGATGTCTTTTTTGAGCAAGTCAGTCTTGTTTTCTTTTTCCAATTGGTATTTACTCACGATCTGCAATCCATTTTTCTTATACTATTATCTTTGAACTGCCATCATAAACCCGAGTTGTGTTTGATATCATTATCAAAAAGCGAGTTTCTCCAGAAATGCAATTGCTTTTGAGTTAATACTCTCCCATTGAAATGGCCGAATTAGGAAAGTGTGAACTAAAGTATAAAATCGGATTTGAGTTGAGTAAGGCATTTATTACAAATTGTTTGAAAAGCATTTAACAAAAAGTAAAAAATTAAATAAATTGAAACTTCAATTTTGGTTTGTATGGTTGTTATTACTATACTCAATAAAGATCAAACAAACTCAAACAAACCATTGTAAACTACAACTGAATCTTTCTACTCGCAAAATGATATAAATAGAGGCACTTTTGGTTCATATTTTGTTCCTCTGTCTCATACTATTTACAATTACACAATCATCTTATTTTCAAATATCTTTTAAACCATAGTCAATTAATCATTAAACATGCAACCTTCTCACAACAGCTCCAAATCTGAAAACAAAGACAATAATGATCCACCGGGAACATACTTTCCAAATATCTGTGTCATTGCCTAAGTCCTCCTTAGCTTTGAAAACCTAAATAATTGGAATAAAAAACCAATTACACCTTAAACGACGTTGAAAACCAAATCGCCTTGGTAATACTAAATTGTTGCTGTTTTCTGTTATGTTGAATTCATGATTGGTTTTATCGATTTTCTATCAACCAAGTGTTAATGTTTGGAAGGTGTCAATCAGATGAGTTTTGGTTTTATTTTCTCCTTGTTTATTTTCAACTGTTCTTCCTTTTTTACTATAGGATTATATTTTTAATGATTTCTTGTTCCTTTGTTTTCTCGTTAAGCTGTTAGTTTTTAACAAATACACAACCTGATCAGATTACTTACCTTATTAAAAGAACAATTTTGTAAAACAATACTGAACTTCAATTTAGAGCCCTAATCGTAGGGCTCTTCCCATAATATTTTCCCAAATCTGTGATAATCTCTACTTCCAAAATACACCTTCCTCTGGAGACACCACTTTCTTATCATTTGGCTATCATTAATTTTGAAGAGTTTCACTTCAAAAACCTTGCCCAGGTAATGTCCTAGAGATAATGGTTTTACTTCCATCACTTAACTATACTATCTGCTTTATAAAATATAAGGGGCTCTTAAGAGTGTCTGGTTTCCGATATAGTGTAATGGCTATCATGGCACGCTTTCACCGTGCAGATCCGGGTTCGATTCCCGGTATCGGAATTTTTAAATATAATATTTTTGTATTTTAGATTTCTGGCTGTTTGAATTATTCTTTTTCCTTCTGCATTCACTGGTTTTTGGCCTATATTTAATTTCTAACATCAAATAATGATTCAGGAAAAGTGGAACGAATCTGTCAAGGGTTTAGTAAGGCTAACTGAGGCTGGTTCAGCAGGCGATGCTTCAACAGAATTACTTGATCTAATGCCTTCTCCAGGTTTTGTTGTGAAGACGTTAATCGAATCGTCTGATGAGATTCCTTACAATACTAAGCTTTTCATTAATATTGCCAAAAACAAAGAGATTCCATTGCCTAATATGTTTGAAAACGAGTTTATACCAGAAAAGGTCTTTCCAGCTATTTTAAATAACGAATGGGAGATTCCAATTCTTTTATCTCCAAAATTATTTCAGGTAAAAGACAAAAAAAATAACCTCTCCTATGTAGTAGATTGTTTAATTAACAACAAATGCTTCAACTGGATTTTGATAAATGAATCATTAAAGGGCATTCTAATAGACTGGTGTATTGATTCGATTGAGTTGAAATTTCATTTGCAAAATATTAAAATAAAGAGAAATAATTTGAAATTTCCTAAAATGAGCTATAAAGGTGATCCTCATTCAAATCAAATTACAGTCCTGAAACAAAGTCTATCAGACAATAAGAACTTTGACTTGATAAATGAAAAAAAAAAATTAAATAATTATATCAAAGAAAACGAACATTTGTTGATGGTAAGTGAAATTAATGATCTAAAGTCTTCAAATGATCAGAGCAACAACCATCTCAATGAATCAGAGGCAGGACTGTTGACCAAACCGTTAATAAAGAAAAATTTAATACAAGAAATTGATTCAAAAGAAAAATCGAAATTTATATCCCAAAATAAAAAACCTAAAAAGCCACTCATATCAGAAATATCTACAGCATCAATTCAAAAGAATAACCCCAAAAATTATCAATTAAATTACATAAATTTGAAAGGAAGGGATACCAATTATGAGCTACTAATTGAAGTTCAATTCCAAGGGTTGGCAAGAACTGATATTGATACTAAGAATCAAAATTTTAATAAATTATCTTATAACAAGTCCAAGCAATTGATTTCATTAAACAAGAATTTTGATATTCTATTGCCAGAGTACCTATTTCAAAATAATAAAAAACTATTGTTTGAGTCATTCTTTTGTAAAGACACAAATAAGTTAATGGTTTTTATTAGATAATCGATAAAAATTTTATTGTTGTTTTTTTCTAATTATATCTATAATGATAATGCTACTTTTAATGCTAATGCTACTTTTAATGTTGTTGTTAATAAAACTATTTGTAATTCTAATTTTTAATTAATATTCTAGTTCTAGTTCTCGTTCTAGTTCTTAAGTTGATTTTCGCTGCTATATCACCCTCGGCTTAATGGTGAGGAAATGCTAGATTTTCCCTATGTGCGATGTATTCCGAATCTGCATATCCTAGAACCTTTTCAATTTCATTACTTTGTAATCCTTTGATTTTAGATATTTCAGAGGAAGTGTAATTCACTCTGGCTTTACCAACTTCAACTAGCTTTTCACTCATATCTAGTTTGCCGGTTTTTTTATCTCTTTTACCTAACTTTAATGTGACGCATTGAGCTTCATGAAATGATCCTTCAATATCAATTACTCCTACGGGTAGTAAGCCAGCTTTGTTTTTTCTGGTTAGTGCATTATAAGCACCAATATCAATAATTATGGATCCATATGATTTCAAACCATGCAATAACCAGAATTGTTTATCTTTAACTTTCTGGCTGTCACCTATAAATCTGGTGTGCAAGGGAACATCATTAATCTTCAAGTTTTGTAACTCTGCTAATATTTGGTGTTCGATATCGGTATCACTTTCATTCTCATGATGATGTTCACTCATTTGATGAATTTCACGAAGATTCTTGGGTGTATCGTGATTTTCAAGATCACTCTTTAGTGATTCAGACTGAATATGTTTAACAATTTTCATTATATTTTCAGGTGTTGTGCTTTTATTAATAATTGTTGTTACTCCAGCACTCATTGCCAATTCTGCTGCAATTAATTTAGTTGTCATCCCCCCTGTTCCAATCCCAGAACCAGATCCACTAGATGTGTCAACATTTAAAGAAGATATATCCTCAACTACCAAAATTGGTTTTGCGTTTGGATTGGTTCTTGGGTTATCCGTGTAAAGACACTCAACATCGGTTAATAAAAATAAATAATCAGCATTAATCATTCCTGCAGTTATCGCAGACAATGTGTCGTTATCACCAAATCGAATTTCTTGCACAGATAAGGTATCGTTTTCATTAACAATAGGAATAATGTTCATATCAAGTAATTCATTCATAGTATTTTTAGCATTTTGGAATTGGGTCCAGTCAATTATATCATTTCTCGTTAATAATATTTGAGCAATGGTTTGATTTAAATGAGTAAATAAGTCATCCCATAAGGCAATTAGTCTGCCTTGGCCAATGGAGGCTAGAGCTTGAACTTTCGATAGCTTTTTGGGTTTTGAGGTCAATCCAACTCTTTTAAGACCTACCGCAATGGCACCAGAAGAAACAATTACAATTCGATGGCCCTGTCTTCGAAGTTTCACCAAAGTCTCGACAATACGAGACATGTTGGCAATCCTTGGTTCTCTAGTAATCTCATCGACAATTGACGAACTCCCAAGTTTGACCACAATAGTATATGTTTGTGGTTTATTTATCTTTGGTTTGGCCATTGTTATTCAGTAATAAAAATCAAGAGATATAGCAAAAGTGAATGAGAAATACAATTATCTCACATTTTGGTCTTCTTTCAACCATCCAAAAAAATCCTCCAATAACTGTTCTTTATGACTCACGAAGATTTTTCCGTCCAAGATTTGTTACCCTCTAAGACACGCGTCTTCTCGCGTTTACTTGCTCCAAATAGCATCAAGAAGCATGTGCACCAAAGCAGCATCTAAAGCTGAAAGCTGGAGAAAAGAGGTTTTTAGTTTCCATCAGAGCATTGAACCAGATGTTGGTGGAGTTGTTGTTGAGTCAAGTTGAGACCAGATGGGCCTCTGTCGACTAGAAAGTGAAGGGAGTATGGATTGTGCCTCTTTCTTTTGATTTTGAAGGTTGTTGGAAGGGTTATCAGAAATCATCTCTTGCTTCATTGCTGCAGCTTTATTTTGGCTGACTTTTCCGAAAGTTGCAATGTATAATGAGTTAATAGTAGTGTTTTTAAAAGTTGCATTTATGGTTCCATTTTTCCTTCTGAATCTATTTAAATCATTGTAAATATCCTTCGGAATTAGTTTGACCTTAAATTTGGAATCCACCAACCCAATTATGATTGAGGGTGATATGATGCCCTTTTCGAAATTAGATTCAATGAATTCAGATACTTCTGTTGTTCTTCGTCTTAGCAACGATTGGGAGGTTATATCTGTAATTCTATCATGATTAGTATGAGTAGACACAAGTCTGCTCATTATCCAACACATTTCCGTTCTCAGGTAGCAGTAAGTTATATTAAATATGCATCCAAACTTGTACGAAGGCGTTTTTCTAATCTTATTGTTATTGTGATGTTTATTATAACGGCCACTATATTGACAATGAAATGACATTCTAGTTTTGCAGCTAGCTTTCAACACCAATCCTAATTTGGCTTCTCTTCCATATGTCTTTTGAACATACTCCTTGACTTTTTCTTTAGTATTAAATTTCAAGTTTTTGTCTGGCAATATTTCTTGTTCATACCTAAAAGACATATGTTCCATGGCAGTTACAAATATAATTGGAGAAACAGCAATAAGGAAAAACAAAATGAAAAAATAAAAATAAGTGATAACCTCAAGAAGGCACCATCACTATTTTTTTGGTGCTACTGCTGGGACACAGCAATTCACATTCATGTGCTATTGAACCATTTTTCCATCCACTCTTTTCAGAAAAGAGTATGAGAAATTATCTGCTGTTGCCCAAAGCTGTTCTCTAAAGTTTGTTATTCACCACGACCTAAGAAAATATAACTATTTTCATAAAAGAGTGGTTTCCTTCACCTTCGATCTTCTTGGTTCTATACTAAAGAAGCCATCCACCCTTATGGATCTACTGCGGCTACTGCATTACATCCCTTTCTCTGGTTATTTTCCTCAACTTGAAATACTTTGAATTTTAACTAAAGATCAACTTCTTTTGCATTCGATCAATGCTTTATCCTGAAAATGTTTCAAAGGCCTTCTTTTTTATTACTTCGCAGCAACATTAGGTTGTTTTTTTCGAGGAAAACACACTTTTATTCTCTGCGATTCGTCTTTAAATACTCTAGTCTATCTGATGATCCCAAGAATTCTTTTTTCATTCCAAGTATATGTATTGATGTTCGAAATTTTTCAACTAGCCATGGCATCCGAAAATCTCTTAACACCAATGAACTGGAAGATCAGAAAGTCCATCAGACAGATAACAACCATGACCAAGACAATTACGAGCCATTGAGCATTGCTTATTTTGGTACTGGAGATTTTGCTGTTAATCCATTGAAGTCGTTGTTGGATCTTAAAAATTCGAATCCAAACTTGATCTCAAATCTTGTTCTTTTCACTAAATCAGATAAACCGATTGGTAGAAATCGCCATAAAACAAACATAAAATCAGTCAACAATGCTCAAATTTTGGCTTTGGAAAACAATCTTCCAATTCATTATGTTGATGCCAAAAATGATTTCGATCATGTACTAAACTACACCAGTTTCAATATGGCAATTGCTTGCTCTTTTGGTTTGCTAATTCCTTCAGATTTCATCAGGTCTTTGAAATTTGGTGGTTTAAATATTCATCCCTCATTACTACCAAAACACTCTGGCTCCTCGCCTTTACAATACACTCTCTTAAACAACGATAGCGTTACAGGTGTGACTGTTCAGACTTTACATCCAACAAAATTCGACCATGGTCAAATAGTTTATCAATCAGACGAATACCCACAGATCTATAACTCAATTACTGATTTGTCAGATTTTTTATCAAAATCTGGCTCAGATTTACTAATTCATGTTCTTAAAAATCATCTTTATTTATCTTCAGATCGTTATATAAAACCTCTTAAATCTTATAAAAAAAACTTTACCAAAAAAGTCCAATCGATAGACAAAAGAATTTACTTAAACTCAACAGAATCTATTCCAAATTATCTATTGATTAGAAAATTTCAAGTTTTCAATTCTCTTTATTGCTTTCAAAAAGTTCTGAAAAAGAAGCTGAAAAAAATTATTATTATTAATAAGAATAACAGTGACAACGAAAGTAATCACATAAACATAAATAACACCCTAACTAATCTTGAAAAAAAAAGAGTAATCTTGAAGGATATTTCGATTATCAATAATCTTGAAACCAAAAATGCTTTGTACTTTAATGAAATCTCAAAACCATCAATGGATAATTCCCCAATAGGTCATTTCCAGCTATCTAATGATTCAAACGCTATTTTAATTAAAGTTCACAGTTCTCCCAACATCAATGAAAATTTTATAGCGGTTGAGAACTTAACTTTTGAAAATTTCAAGCAAGAATCAGCTATGGAATTTTTCAATTCATTAAAAAAGAAAACAAATTTAGAAAATGATTTTTGTTTTACTTAGCGAGTGTCTCAAAAGAGCAACTTATAGAACAAAAGAATGAAAGAAAAAAAAATGAATAAGAGATGAGTTAATGAAAGTTATTATGAAAGTTTTAATGTATATACGCCTAACCTGTTTATGATTTATTTTGGAAATGCCTGTATTATCGACTCATCTTCAATTTTTAGTTTTGCAGGAGTATCTGTGGGCAACACAATAGCACCTTCATAAACGAAAACCACCTCAGTATTTACCTTCGCATTTCTCAAATAATATAAAAATAATTTTTTGAATTTGGTTGTAGTTTTCATTCTAAAAATTAGCTCTAACGAAGAATCAAATCGAACAACCTTAACTGTAATAAAACTTTTAGTCTTAGATATTTTGGAAGATTTGATTTTTTTATTTTGTGGAACCAGATCATTAACAAAATCATTATCATCACTATTTATACGACTAAATTCATTTTCAATATCATTATTTACAATATCACTAGATATAATGTCAGATTTATCAAAGGTATTACTTTCCTCGTTCATCATTGAACTAGTTCTTTTTTTTTCTGAAATAGAATTATCAAAAACAGGGTCAAGTGAAGACCGAGAATTAGGTGGAGTTTCTAATTCCTTGACATGATTTGAATTCAAAGATACACTGTTGCTATCACTTGCAATATTATTTCTAACAGACGAAGAGTTACTTTGACCATCATTTAAAGTGTCTTGATTATGTTTCTGTGGGTTCTGTGAATCATCCAACACATTAGGTATAGGTTTTGGAGCAGCATAACGATTTTCAATAGTGTTTTCTTTGTTCTCAGAAATGCTTTCATTTTCATTAGTACTGATATTATTATTTATTTTGTCTTGAGTTTCAATTACAAATGGTTTAGGTGTATAACTCTCATCAGTAGTAATATTTTTTTTCAATATTTTGTTAAGCTTGTTCTCAGAGAAGATGTTTTTCTGATTTTCATCCAGGGTTTTGGTTAATAAGCTGTCTTCAATTTCTTGCTGCTTATTTTCAGTTAGAATACTTCTAGGTTTTTCAGCTTCAGTAAAACTCAAGTTTTCATTATTATTTTCAGTTTCAGTTTCATTTTTGGCAATAGTTTGTTTTTCTGACTCAATTGTTTCGGTTTCATTATAATTTATGATGATATTAGACAGTTTATCCTCTGTAATAATAGGATTTTCAATTGTAATTTCAGCTTTTTCATTTTTTTCATCACTTTCATTACTTTGATTGATTTGATTGCTTTTATCTTTATTAATTTTATTGTTTTGATTTTTATTATCCAGATCTTCATCATTCTGATTTCCATTATTTTTATCATCCTTATTATCGCCATCCCGGTTTTCATATTCATTATTTGCACTTGTTACAAGTTTAATATTTCCATTTTCAATGTTGGTATCATCTTCATTATCGTCAGTGTGCGGTTTTTCTACGGCATCCTTATTATTGCTATTGGGATCAGTTATCTCCTTCATAGAGCGATCATCTAAGAAATCATTTTGCAACGATTTGGTTGGCACTAGGCTTTCATTTGAAATGAACGAGCTATTAAAAAAACCCCAAATAATTTTAGACTCATTCATTTTTTCAATTATCGAATTATTAATAGTTTTCCATTGTTCCAACTTGAACAATATTGCCTGTTGGTGAGACTTGGTATTCGTAATTGAATCATTGTATTTTTCCCTTAGTGTTTGATTAGATTTCCTCAAGATGTCAATTTCCTTAAGTAGAGAGAGATTTTGCACCTTCAATTGATTTTTCTCAACAATAGCGAAATCCAACTGTTTCGAGATTTCGTTTAGTCTAGTTTCTGAGGTCAAGAGCTTCTCCTGAGCCAATTTCAATTCGTTGTCATAGTTTTCTTTCAATTTGTTCAAACTCGTTAATGAACTTTCGTAGAAGGCTTGTATAGGATCCATTATCGCCAATGCACAAGCACTTTCATTCCACTAAAGCCTCTTGTTTCTTCTTTATTATATCTGTGGTTAAAGCGAAAAAACACGAAAAAAGACAAAACACGAAAAAAACCAACAAAACAATTCAGTCATGTGTACAAATGTGCTCGTGTTCGAATGCCGAAAAAGTCGATGTACCGGCCGAAATCGAACTGTGCTTCTTCTGCTTCTTCATCTTGTGCTTTGGATGATGGTGACAGGTTTCCGCTGTATCCTTTAGATGCTTCCAAAAGTCGTTTGTTGGTGCTTTCATATTCTTCTTCAAGGATTTGTCTTAATGCCAAATCACTTAGACGTTTCTTTGTTGTTCCATTGATTTCGCTGAATTTGCTGAAATCATCTTCCACATTAGCCAAACTGATGCATTTGCTGGGACTCAGGGTCTCTTTGATGAAGGTAATGTTTTTGTTTAAGTATGTGATTGTAAGTTTGCTGTAGTGCTTCAAATTTTCATACTCATATAAATCGTTGAATCTGAACTTGATCATCTCGTTGCATTTGTTTAATTTCAGATTGGGATAATAGGCTTTTTCAATAATTTTTTTTTTCATTTGTTTTAAGATGCCATTGAATGGTTTTAAACTTTTATCCAATATCGCTAAAAAATTTTTGAATTTGTTTAAAATTAATTGCAAATTATTTATATTATTCAAGTTATCAGTGACATTATCATTCAATTTTTTAAACTTCAAATTCATATCATATAAATTCTCTAAATAATTAATGATGATTAAATTTTGATATTTGGCTAATATTTCTTTTACTTTTGAATTATAATCAATTTGTTCTTTGATTAGTAATTGCCATTTATTTTTGATTTGGAATTTTTGAAAATTATTTTGAGTTTGATAATAATTAACACTAGTATGTTTATTGATAAACTGGAAGGCTTTTAATTTGAATCGAATTTCATCAATATTAGAAAATAATTGAAAAGACAAATTAGCTAAATCTCTTTTTTTATCATTGAGATAAATTCTATCAAATTCAACTTCTTTTAATATCTTGATTTCATTGAAATTTTCAATCAATTTTTCATATTTATTATAAACTATTGATTTATTATTATTATTATTATTATTTTGATTTATGGTAAACTGTTTTAAAAACTCTTCATACTCTCTAAAATTTGTTGAGTTCCAGATTTTGATTTGATCATCAATGTTATTGTTTAATTTCTTGACATTTTCTTCGTATTTTTTTTCCAATTCAATAATCTCAATTGATTTGACAAGAAATAATTTTAGTAAACTGGAATCAAAATTGTCTTTATATTTATAATTATTATTTAACGTATTGGTTAGTTTACTCTTATTGAAATAACGATATAATGATGCTATATATATAATTATAGATTTTTCATCAGGATTTTTGTTATTTATATCATCTAAATCAATCAACTTGGGTATCTTCAATACATTTGTTGTTACACTTAAAAATAAATTGATATTTTCTTCTATATTCTTAGGATTCAAATCACCAAAATTGATTAATTCTGGTCTAAAATAATGTAGAATTGCACAAAATATTAATCCATTATTCCAATTTGTTGAAAAATTATCTATTGAATTGACCTTTTTAGTATAAAGTGTATTATGAGATATAATTCTTTGACACCATTTCAATAAGAATTTTTTTTCATTTATTATTGTTTTGAGTTTGTTACTATTAGTTATAGTAGTATTATCGCGATTTTTGATGACATTATTTTCATATTTGTCAAGATCACTGGACGAAAAATTTAATGTAAAATTAGATATTAGGATCCATATTAATGCTAGGATCAATTTTAAATTTCCTTCTAGAATATCTTCAGCCGATATGTTATTCAAGAAAATTTTATCATTGAATTTTAGAAAATCAAAAAAAAGATTTAAATTCTCAATAGAATGTAATTTATGAATAGGTTTTAAATGAATCGGATGGATTATTCTAAATTTTTGATTTAAAGGTGTGTGGGTTGGTTTATCAATAGCAAAATTATTGATATACAAAGTTTTCAACAAGAATATTAATTTCACTCCATTGCATAAATCCTTTGATAAATTTTTAACAAAAATTAGACTAGGGTTTGTTTTAATCAAATTTACTATGATTGGATCATCAGTTTGTTGAAATTGGTTATTTATCCAGCGAATAAAGACCTTATATTGAGTATTGATCCAATTCAAATTGCTTGAATTAAACTTTTTATTTGACATTTTCTATTTTTTATAAATTAGTTTAGCAAAAAAAATATTAAATCAAGGAAAATAAAAATATTAATAATTCTAAAATACCTGGAAATTATCATTTATAAATATTGATGGTTATACCAGATTCTCAAATGTTTCAAAATAATCTGCATTAAGTTTGAACAATCAAAAAATGTTTAAACAAGATAAAATACTACACATAATATAAATTAAAGCAAAACTCCAAAGCAAAAGAAAAAAAAGAAAAAAAAGAAAAAAAGGAAAACTGATAAGTGTTTTACTATCATCGATGCCTTCCTGATTTGGATGTTTCATGTTGAATGCACTGCATGTGCATGCGTCATATGCACAGAAAACAAGAAAACCAAAGGGATGGGTCTCGCGTCTTTGTTGACGTTTTTTTGATTCGTTTAAAAATTGTAGGTTTCGGAGCCATCTGAGAAGTTGGAGATGATTGTGGAGTTTTGTGCTTTGGTTGTTTGTGTTTACTTGTATTTGTTTAAGGCTAAAGAAAGCAAATGGAGACGATAAACGACTACGACACTGAGGAGCCTTTGACGTCGACTGTTCGACCTGGTATGTGTTAATGGAGGTTGCGTGTTTGAGTAAGAGGTGTTATTCGAGTGCATTACTAACAGATGTATGTAAATATATACATGGTTATTAAATTGAATCAGCTACTAGGTCTACGATAACTGTTAGAGTAATAAAATCATTTGCCTATAGAAATGTGAAGAGTTGGGTGTTTCATGACATAGATTTGACTAAAACGACCATCAGGGAGTTGATGGAATTGATGAATCAAGTAATCTTGAGCAACTCACTATTTCGACCTTTCAAAACAAGCAAGTTTGATACATTGAAGTTGTACACTAAAGCTCATGGGGCCAAAACAATGAATTTGACAATAAACATGGAAGACGATCAATTGCTAATATTGAAAGAGTTGGATAAGACATTGTACGAATATGGGGTTGAGAATGAGACTGAAATATCGTATTTTAAGATGGCAGACTACTTGGAATTCAAGGCAAATCCAGCTGAAAAATGGTAAGGCAAATTTGTGAAGGGTCTTTATCTCTGATCTCTTTGAATTATAGTGAGTATTAAACATGTTTTATCAGTGAATTGCCGGTGGATACGTAAGTTTGTAAGTTCGTAAGTTCATAAGTTTGGAGACACAAGACCATGCGAAGTGTGATCCGACGTCGAAACGTATAGCCGTGTAAGTCTCGGCATATCGGCTGATTCTCAATCGGATTCAAACCGTAGATAAAATTTAGCGTTTCTGTTTTTATCTCCTATCTTTTGAACAACAATAACAAAGCACCATCCATTGCTATTGGAACAGTAGATATTTCAACGACAAATCAAAGGTTATTGGATTGATAAATTAGCATTTTTAGTATCTTTAGTATCTTGGTACCTATTACTTATAATCAGTAGAGTAGATTAGTATTCCAACATGATGAGAGTTTATTCTGTGTCTAAAGTGTATGCAAATGCTTGTGAAGATAGACCAAGAGAATACTGGGATTATGAAGATCATAAAATATTTTGGAGCAACATATCGAATTATGAGATTATAAGCAAAATAGGGAGAGGAAAATATTCAGAGGTGTTTGATGGAATCAATATTTTGAATCAACAGCCATGTGCCATTAAAGTGTTAAAACCAGTGAAGTTGAAAAAAATTTTCAGAGAAGTTAAAATTTTACAAAACTTAACAGGTGGAAAAAATATCGTTGGATTGTTGGATATAGTTCATGATCCTAATTCAAAGATTCCTGCGTTAATATTTGAACATGTCAACAATATTGATTTTAGAGTGTTGTATCCTAAATTTCAAATCATTGATATTAAATATTATTTTACACAGCTATTAATTGGGTTGGATTATTGTCATTCGATGGGGATAATCCATAGAGATGTCAAGCCGCAAAATGTTATGATCGATCCAATCAAAAGAAAATTGAGGTTAATTGATTGGGGGTTGGCAGAGTTTTATCATCCTGGAACCAATTATAATGTTAGGGTGGCTTCTAGGTATCATAAAGGACCAGAATTGTTGGTTAATTTACAACAGTATGATTACTCGTTAGATCTATGGTCAGTTGGGGCAATGTTGGCGGCTATAATATTCAAAATCGAGCCCTTTTTCAGGGGAAATTCCAATCCTGATCAGTTAGTTAAAATCACCAGAGTATTGGGTACAAACAAACTAGAATTGTATTTGAACAAGTACGGAATCGACTTGGATCAGGAAACGTCGAGATTGATAAGTCCCTGCAATGAAAGAAGCTGGCAAAGTTTTATCAATGACAACAATCGAAAATTTACTACAAACACAGTGATCGACCTCATCGACAATTTATTGAGATACGACCACCAAGAGAGATTGACAGCCAAAGAAGCCATGGAGCATCCCTTTTTCGAGGGCACACCCACATTCTAGGAGCCAGGGTATATAGCAAGACAATGTAGCAAGAATGGAATATATATTCAGCAATTGTGAGGCGAGTGTAGAGGATGAGCTGAACATCACAGCAATCGCAGTCCTTTGGAGTGGTGGAAAAGGAAAACTGTTGTGCTTACGTTCTGTCAGGTGACGAAAAGGAGAATGAAGCAAGATAAGAGGAAGAAGAGGAAGGAGAGGAAGGAGAAGAGTCGACACAACAAGCAGAGTGGAATAGAACACAAACATGGGGTTAACGTCTTCAAAGCTTGTGGAAGATCTTTTGGATGGCACCAACTGTACGTATGACGAGCTGTAGAACGAGGGTGCAAAGCACCAGCCTGAAGCATGGGAACTAACACTGTGTCTAGTTGATCTTGATGATATAGAAAGGTTGCGTAAGCGATTCATGAAGTTGGACAGCAATGGCGATGGAACAATTGATAAAGACGAGTTTCTTACCATCCCCGGTGTCTCCTCCAACCCACTAGCAACAAGATTGATGGAAGTGATCGACGTGGATTCCTCAGGGTCGATAGATTTCCAGGAGTTTATCAGTGCCTTGTCTATTTTCTCCAACAAGACCTCGAAAGAGGAAAAATTGAGGTTTGCCTTCAGTGTTTATGATATCGACAAGGATGGGGTAATATCAAATGGAGAATTATTCATAGTGTTGAAGGTGATGGTGGGAAAGAACTTGACTGACGAGCAGTTACAGCAAATTGTGGACAAAACCATAATGGAAAACGACCTAGATGGCGATGGAACGTTGGATTTCGAAGAGTTCAAAAAAGCTGTGGAACACACTGAGATTGCAAACTCGTTGACATTGCATTCTTTTTAAAGCACCTAAATATATAGCAACAAGCACCAGTTGTGCTCAAGACATGACATTATCACATTACCACATTTACACTTTAGCACTGTAATTCTTAGACACATTGATGGCAAAGACTCCCATGCCAGAGCCCTTCGCAAGAGCCTGGCAATGCAAGAATAACCAGAGTAGTTTAATAAACCTCCTTCCAACAGTAGCTTCAGTCGAACGTTTAATGGTGATATATCATTTATATCATTTATATCTCGTCTGCTGTCCCGATTGGGAAATGTCTTTTTCCCTTCGTCTACATCCAAAATAAACACTTTTTCCATTCCATCTAGAGGAAATACTCAGTTATGTTGGGTTATATTGGGTTGTATCGCATTGTTTCAGCAATTAACATGTAATTTGCATATAATTTGCATGTACCTTTGGCTCCAATTGAATTTGGTTGGTTAGTGGTTGTATGGACAGGGAAAAAACAGTTGTTATCCTCTGGATAGTTGATTTCATTACATTAGATTAAATTTAATAAAATTGGATTGAACTACATTAGATTATTATTTTCTTATTTTACTATTTTACTATTTTATTATGATTTTATTCGTCTATTCACTCCCAGATGAGATTTAATTCCCTTCCTTTTGCTATTTCACTAGATTTCAATAAGCATGTCATTTTATTTCAAGGTATCCAATTATTTATCATCAAGCAATATAAGATCTTGTAATTGAGAGTGATTTATTATTTTTATTTAAATTGTACAAATTTAGTTTTCTTCTTTTATATTAAATTGCAATTTATCGTATTGTAATTTATTTCTTTTATATTGGCTTTTCATCACCATAATTTCATTTAATACTTTTATTATTTTCTACACACATCGTAAACCAAAATTCTATTTCAAACTTTGATTATATTTTTACCAGTATAAATATAAATATAAATACAAGAATAAGAATATATTATATTATATTATATTATATTATATTATATACCATATATAATATATAATATGAATAAGCCCTCATTAACTTAGAAAAAAGATAATCATTACTCTAATCCCTCACTTCGTGGTTAAACAATAGAACAAACACACAATGTCATTAGAAATATACAATAACAACACTCATAACTTCAATAATATAATAAATGAGTTAAAAAAATATAATGAAATCGAGATAAATGAAAAGACCAATCTATTCACCCAGATTCACGAACTACAGTCAAAGATAAAGTTCTATGAAAACAATATAAACAATCACTACCATATTATAAGCAGTCCTACCAAAGAAAAGGAGACTGCTGTTGAGCAAGAAACTCACACTACAGATAATGAAATCATCGATAGATTAATAAAGGATAAAGAAAACTATAAGAAAAAGTATAACGAGTTGAAATTGGATAATTTTAACAAGATAACCGAGATTAAAAACCTAAGAATCAGACTAAATAATGATAGCGAGAATGATAAGACTAATAGTGACCACAACAATAATATAAGCGACATTAACAATAAGTTGAAAATGAAATTACGAGACTCGATACTCAATTTAAACAAGTTGACAATGGAAAATGAAATTCTAAGAAAGAAAATATTCAACTACAACCAAATCAATAATAAACACGATTTGAATTTTTTTAACATAAATGATTTTAATAAAAACGAAAGCAAATTTCCATATAACCAGACCTTTAAACCGCTAAACGAGTTGAATGACGAGCTATCTGATAAGGAAAATGCAAATGCAAATGCAAATGGAGCTCAGAAAGATCTCAATAAAGAACTAGATAAAGAAATCAAAGATGAAATGATCAAAAAACCCTTGCCTAGAAAAAAATCAATTTTGAAGAAAAACAATTTGAACTTTGTGCAAATTCAAATCATTGGAAAGCTGAACATGTTGAAGCCATGCTATTTCAAGATTCCAGCAAAAGAAATGGACAAAAACACCAACAACATCAAGCTATTGAGAAAGATCTTTATCAAATACTCAAGCAAAATAAATAACAATGTGAATAGCTTGATCTTCAAGAACTACAAGGGGAAGACCATTGATCTAGAAAGGGGATACGATTTCCAGCATGGCGAGATTCTCTATGCCTATTACAAGTGATGCTCACCAGTTTTGCTTTGCCACAACAACTTGATCTAATTATCAGGTTCAACCATCTCATTCAACCATCGACTCCATGGTCAGCAAAAGACTACTCAAGATTGTCAGTGGTTTGCAGTTTATTTCGTTAGTTTTTGCATGTTTACGTTTATGCTCATTTTTTCTGTTCTATTCTTTCTGTTCTTTCTGTTCTTTCTGTTCTTTCTGTTCTTTCTGTTCTTTCTGTTCTTTCTGTTTTAGTTTGTTCTGTTTTATTCTGTTTTTGTTGAACTGTTCACTCTTCTATTCTTCTATTCTTCTTCCATAGATTTAAACACAAATAAACACTTTGTTTTGCGCTGTTGCCCATTACGGAAACTGTCCAATGCGGCAATTACAGAACAGGCATTGCCCCATTTACACTGATGTTTATTTTGGATCGCGTTGTTGTTTATTTATATTTACTGTTTTGGTTTCTTCACTTTGCTTCTTCTCGGTTCAGGCTCTTTCCTCCAGACTTTGTTCAGATTTACTTCGTCGACTCCAGATTCCACTGAACAACCAACTGCTGCTACTGCTGCTCTGTCGTACCACACTGCTCCTTTGCCACCATGAACACCACCTCTACTGCCCCCAGTCGTGATCACTCTCCCTCTGTCACTAATCCAAGCGACAGATCCACCAGATCCACCCAAGACAGAAACGAAAAAATCAAAATCAAGTTGAGAATGCAAGACAACTCTTTGGAATTAATCTACCAAATCAAAATGCACACCAGATTCAAGAAGTTGTTTGACAACTACTGCACCAAAAACGAACTAGATCCTGAATCCATCAGATTCATGTTCGATGGAACTAGAGTGACTCCCAACGACTCCCCTTTGAAGTTCGAAATGATTGATGGTGATGTGATTGAAGTTGTTCGTTACCAAAATGGGGGAGGTTTTTAACCAGTGCAAAACTGCTAAAGTAATTCCTTGGTCTCTCATCTAAATAAAAAAAAAAATTAATGGCTATCATTTTTTATAATCTGGTTTATCTCTAATTGTTTCACTCAATTGTTCAGCTCGTAAGTAATTAATATACGTAATTTGATAATTCATTCAAAATAATTTTTTTATTCGGTCCTCCTCTTTTGTTTTATATCAATTAATAAATTACTTGAGTTCAGTCGTTTGTTTGTTTTTTTCCAATTTTTCCCTATATAAATTTTTTTTTACAAAAAAAATCAATAAACAATTAATAGAACAACAATTAACTGTAATAAACCAGTAATTGAACAACCAAAACCACTGTGATCTTTGTAGAAACAATAAAATTTATCGAATTCCTTTAATTGCTCTCAACAATCTCACTGCTACTATTACTATTCACCTATTTGAATTGTTTATTCTGCTCCATTTTTACTTCTCTTCTCCTAATTCTCTACTTTCTCCACTCCCTCTGTTGCCCATTTTTATCTCTTGTACTCTTACTCTACTTTTATCACTTATCTCTTTATTATCTGTTTATTACCTCTTCTTCTTCTCTTCAATTGAACGAGCAATTGCTCTCAGTCTCTCTAATACCACTTCTACTCTCTCTTTTTTTTCAGTTGTGAAATCTTCGTTTGGTGTGGTGATTTCGTCAACTCTATTCTTTCCTACTGCTTTCTTCAGCGATAGCCAAATAATTATCAACTCTCTTCTGAATCCACAAATATCACCAGATTATCTTTATTCGAATCTTTCTTAGAGATGTCCTCTTCTTCTTCACCCTCTTCTTCTTCACCTCCTTCATCCACTCCATCGACACAATTTTCAGAAATCTCTTCATCCAAAAATCAACCCCCAGTTTCTTCTACTACTACTACCACCATTCTTTCTTCCAAAATTACCTCTGATATCAGAGATATCAATAAAAAACTACCTACTAATGACAAAAATACTTTTGTTATCCCATCATCAAGGTATGGTATCAATGCTGTCCAAATAAACTCAGCTAGAGAGATGTTTCTAATGTCCACAAGATCTCGCCAAAATCCAAACAAAATTATGCCAAATAAATATAAAATATCCAATCCACCCTATAATAATAATAATAAAAATAATAATAATAATAATAATAATAATAATGACACTGATACCAATACTAATTTATTTTCTTCTTATCCATCTTCGCCTCCACCTCCTCCTCTTGCACTTCCACTTTCACTTCCATCCTCTAACTACAATCATACCCACAACTTTAACCATGAACTCGATATTAAAATCCCAATTAACACCTCAAATGTAATGATACCAGCAACTTCTCACGATGGGCCTTGCAATAACCCCAAATGCTCCCATTGTGGTGCTGTTATAATACCTGCCCCTGCTTCCTCCTTCCCAATTAAAGACTCCCCTTCAATATCAATCAATAACTGGGAAGTCTTTACAACAAGAAAACCCATTTTCAATGCACAAGAAATTGATTACTACGAAAAAAAATTAAACCTACCTCTTCCTGAAATGATCTTTGGCAATAATCACATTAAAATTATCAATTCTGCTAAAAATTTTGAAATCAACTTTAACACCATAGATGCCCTTGATTTAGTGTTGAAATATGGTTGCGATGAAAAAAAATTACTAAAAGTTGCTCATTCAGATCATTGGCGTTCTGTAAGAAAAAATAACAATATTAATAATAACAACAACAATAATAACAATTTAAATACATTTAATTCCTCAAATATCTCGAATTCCTCTGATGATGGTTTGACAAAAATTTTAAAACCTTTTGATTGGACTTATACAACTCACTATAAAGGCACTTTAATCAAAAATAACTGCATTGATGATGATAATAATAAGCCAATAGAATTTAAACCAACAAATGAAAAAATCCCTCTAAATAAGTTAAAAAGAGAAGACCCCATTTTATTCTTTGATGAAATGATTCTTTATGAAGACGAATTGGCCGATAATGGTATATCCATTTTACAAATCAAAATTAGAGTGATGGCAGAGAGACTATTGCTATTGTCAAGATTCTTTCTCAGAGTCGATAATGTGATTTTCAAAATAAAAGATACAAGATTATTTATCGAATTTAATGATAATTTTGTTCTAAGAGAGTATAAAGAACTAGAGGATACATATGACAATGTGTTACACAAAGCAAAACAGTATAGCTCTTTTTATTCCTCAAATGATCCAAGGGCTTTATTAAGGGATAGCAATTGGGTTAGTGGTCGTTTAAAACATATCAAAACTGAAACAGAAGAAATTAGATTGTAATTTATATAATTTTCGTCGTTTATATATATATAGATATATATAGATAGATAGATATTTATGTATTTTTATTTTTGTAAAGTTAACTATACAAGCAGACTAAAATTATATTTTTCAATTTTTTCTAATAAATTAATATTTATTATATTTAGTTTAGATAGATATAACACACTGCTCAAGTATTTAAATACAAAACTCAAAAAGAAGAGAAAAGAAAAAAAAAAAGAAAAGAAAAGAAAAGAATTATCATTTAACATTAGGGGAAAAATAATAAAGTAAAAATAAAAATAGCCAAGACATAACAAATAAATACTAAATTAGATAACCCTTGAATTGAAAAAAAAAGTACAATAGCAAGATTTTCATTAACAAAGAAATAAATTGAAAAAAGAAATAAAAGCTCATTGAATAATAAAGCTAGTAACCATAAGTTTAATTGGTAATTAAAAAAGAAGTTAAGAAATAACTTTTCTGACCTCTAAAGTTATAAATCCTTTGTGAGTATTGAATTGATCAAGATCTCTTAGTCGTACATCAAAGTATTTTATTGGTTTACCATTAAAAATGTAATCAAATTTATTTGTGTTATTACTGTTGATAGAAAATGACAAGGAATTCTCATATATTTCAATGACATCAGATAAATTGTCGTTTCTATTAAAACTTTGAACAAAACTATTCAAACGTTTATTATTGTTAAGTTTTTTGAAAGTTGAAGCTGGCACTATTTTGACAGAGATAACATCATTTAAATTTTTCAAATGAGATAAAGAAAGCAAGTTAGAGGCTTGATTTAGATTAACACTTGGGGTAGGAGTTGAAGTATTTGATCTATTATAGATAGAAGAAAGTGAGGCGGAAGTGATTGAAGAAGGATTTGGCAGGTTGGAGAACAATGAGGAAGTATTTGTTAAATTTGTAGATGATAGGGTAGGAGAAAATGTGTTTGATGATTGAGCAAAATGTGAAGGATTTGCGGGCAAAAACTGATTGTTATTATTTTTAATATTTTTATTACTACTATTAACAGTATTATATTCCGAATTACTATATGGGTTTGGAATTGGAATTGGAATCGGATTTGGATTTGAATTTGAATTTAAATTTAAATTTAAAGTTGAAGTTGAAGTAGAAGCTGGGTTTAAATTTGATTTCTGGTTGATATTTGTATTTTGAGTAATGTTCTTTTTATTAAAATTGTTTTGTGTGTCAAATACAGTGGGTTTATTAACAAACTTATTTCGGACAATTTTTGGACTATTAATCTTCGAAAGAGTTGGCAGATTTAATAAAACAGATGATGTTGTTGAAGTAGATAATCTATGATTATTATCATCAATTGAAAGATTAAAACTTGAATTTAATTGGGACTTGTCGTTTTCTATATTATTATTACTATTATTATTAACGTTTCTAATCTCTTCGTCAATGTTTTTGTTGATATTTTTAGCAATCATGTTATCACTTAGTTTATTTTCATTAGAATGGGAGATAAAGTTGATATTAGACTTGGATTTAGAATGAAATACATTTGATGATTCAAAATCTAAATCTTTATTAATGCTAGAAGTGGAATTATGATTTAACGATCTATGAAGATTTTTTGTCAAATTATTATTCAGATTATTATGAAAATTTGTTTTACGGTTTTCAAAGTTCAAGTTTGTATTATTTATAAATTGATTAGGTTCTGTATCACTGAAATCCTCATTACTATTGCGATTATGATTATAATTCTCATTATAATTGAGATAAATGTTATTTTGTTGCTGGTTGTTATCAATGATGCCGTTTTTGGTATTTTCGCTAAAGTGATTCATATCTTCATTAGAAGAATTGGATGGAGAAGTTTTATGATTTAAATCGATATCTTTTATAAATAGCCAATTGTTGTTAACTTGAATTTTATCTTTGTTTTTATTTTCGTTAGTTTGATATAGATTTAGATTTATATCATTATGTTTTTTAGAAATATCGTATAATTGCAATCTCAATTTTTGATAGTTTGATTCACTTATATGAAAATTTTTTGAAAATAAAGTTACCTTTTCATTTAATTTTTTATTTTTATCTTTCAAGTGATTAATATTTTGGATCAAATTAGAAGCATTGGAGGTATTATTGTGTAATTTACTCTTTAAAAGTAAGTTTTCATTTTTTAGTATAGCATTTTCATTTTTTAGATTATTTAGATAATTATTCAAGTTTTTGATTTCATTTAAATACAAAGAATTTTGAGTGATTAATTCATCAATTGTTTTGGCACCATTCTCCCAATATGAGGCAGCTTCTCTTAAAAAGCTAGATACATTGTTATATTTTTTGGAATCTAGCAGCTCATTGCCAGCTGAAGAATTGGCAGAAGCATTTTTTATGTTCTCAGTGTTATCGTTATTGTTATTATGATTAAGAGAGATGTCGTTCTGATTCAAAAATGAATCAGAGCTCAAAGAATTCATAGAGCCAATCGATTGATTTGAAATGGATGCAGGCATTTTTTATATGAAAAAGTTGCAATTGAAATAAACCAGGCTCACCAAGCTGCAGTAAACCTTCTACTCTAATTTTGCTTCATAGGCAGGTTGAACATCAGCTTCATTCATACCTCAGCAACTTCAGATCAATTTCAGATGAGGTAAAACAAACATTGAAACAAAACTCAAAATAAAAAAAACCAAGAAATTGGTTTATGTAAGCACACGCGCTGTTAGTCATCTTTCAAATCACATGCCATTATGTAGTATGAGAATTATATATAAATACAGTTGCTGTGGACCGGATTGAAAATGTCTTTGAGATGGCGCAGCGGGATAAGATGTTTGAATCTGCATGCTACTCCAAAGCAAGAAAAAAAGCATGTCTCGTGTTCGAGTCCTAATGAAGAATCTCTGTAACTAGTCTGGTGAGGTGTGAATAGTCAAAGATATACTGATATACTAGTAATTCACACCCATTCTATGTAAGTCTTTCTTCTTTGTGCTAAACTGTTTAGCATAAAACATTTCTGTCAGTCACTGCTTTAAATTGTCTCTTTCAGAGCTCTGTGGACTTTTTCGTTGAAGATTTTTTGGTTCAAGGATTATTCTTAGCTGAGCATTACGTAATCATCTCTTTTTTCAGTTTCAAAGATTTTGAAACTGAAAAAAAAAATTGAAAAAAACGAAAAAAATTCAATTCAAGATAAAATCGCTATTTTAATTGTATTGCCTCTGAATTAAATCATTCTTTTGATTATCTGGTTAAATCAGCAGACTGAATATTGTGATTTTCAAAGATGGCTTCTAAAGTTGAAGAATTTATGATAAAACCTGAAAATGTTTCTCCCACAAATGATTCATCCAAATGGCCTTTATTATTGAAAAATTACGATAAATTGAATGTTAGATGTGGTCATTATACTCCAATTCCCTTTGGTACTTCTCCCTTGAAAAGAGATTTAAAGAATTATATTGCAACTGGTATAATAAACTTAGATAAACCCTCAAATCCATCTTCTCATGAAGTTGTCGCATGGATCAAAAGAATCTTGAGAGTTGACAAAACTGGTCATTCAGGTACTTTGGATCCAAAAGTCACTGGTTGTTTAATTGTCTGTATTGATAGAGCAACCAGATTAGTCAAATCTCAACAGGGTGCTGGTAAGGAATATGTTTGTGTTGCTAGATTGCACAACGAATTGCCTGATGAGAAACAAATGGCCAAAACTTTGGAAAACTTAACTGGTGCTTTATTCCAAAGACCCCCATTGATCTCTGCTGTTAAAAGACAATTAAGAGTTAGAACAATTTATGACTCAAAATTAATTGAATTTGATAATAAAAGAAACTTGGCTGTCTTTTGGGCTTCATGTGAAGCTGGTACTTATATGAGAACTTTATGTGTTCATCTAGGTATGTTATTAGGTGTTGGTGGTCATATGCAAGAGTTGAGAAGAGTTCGTTCTGGTGCTCTATCCGAAAATGATAATTTGGTCACTTTACATGATGTTCTAGATGCCCAATGGGTTTATGATAACACCAGAGATGAGTCCTATCTAAGAAGAATTATACAACCTCTAGAAACTTTATTACTTGGTTATAAAAGAATAGTTGTCAAGGACTCTGCTGTCAATTCAGTCTGCTATGGTGCTAAATTGATGATGCCAGGTTTATTGAGATACGAAGATGGTATTGAATTATTTGATGAAGTTGTCTTGATCACCACAAAGGGTGAAGGTATAGCAATTGCTATTGCTCAGATGTCCACTGTTGATATTGCTTCCTGTGATCATGGTGTGGTAGCCAAAGTCAAAAGATGTATCATGGAAAGAGATAGCTATCCAAGAAAATGGGGTTTAGGTCCTGTTGCTTCAAAGAAAAAACAATTGAAAAAAGAAGGAAAATTAGATAAATATGGTCGTACTAACGAAAATACCCCAGATTTCTGGAAATCTGGTTACAAATCTTTTGATCCAGCTGAATCTTCAACCACTCCTATTATTTCAGAGGTCAAATCAGAGCCCAACACTAAAACCGAAGATATTGAAATGAAAACTGTTCCTGCAGTTACTGCTGAACCAGTTGTGGAAACCCCAGCTGTTTCGAAGCCTGTGTTCCAGGAAGATAGCCCTCTGAATAGTTCAACAGCAGCTGAATTTTCTAAAAAAGTGAAAAAGGAAGTAAAAGAGAAAAAAGAAAAGAAAGAGAAGAAGGACAAGAAAGAGAAGAAGGATAAAAAGGAAAAAAAGGATAAGAAAGACAAGAAATCCAAAAAGAGAAAATCCGAAGAAGAGGATGGAGAGAAGAAAAAGAAAAAAAAGAAAGAATAACTCAACAAAAATTCACATAGCCATAAATTGAATTAAATTAAAATTATAAAGAATATATTTTATTGATTTTTTTATAAATTTCACCTTTTTTTTAAGTCCCACCTTTTATTTATGTAGTTAATGTAATATATAAAAATTTCTCCCAAACCATTAATTATTAACACAAAAAGTCAAAATCATATACCAAAACTATAAAAACTAAATATATAAAAAAAAAATTTATTACCTAAAACTCTGATTAAAACCCTGGAATAAATAAATATCAATTATCTAATTTTGGGAGCAAAACCGCACTCATTCCTTTCAACTCCTAACTCAGTTAACTTGAAAAATGCATTTGAAAAATCTTCAAAAAACTTATCTTGATCATTAGCATAAACTTCAACCCATTTTTTAAAGCTTGAATCTTTAACAAGCTCTAAATCCGTTGGCAACATCATCAATTCTGGGTTCTTTTCATTGAAATATTGCTTTTTACCAGTCGACTCAACTTTTCCAAAAACCCAATTATCATTCAACAAAATTTTATAAAACTCATTATCAAATTTGATAGGATTTGAAGTCCATTTCCCATCCCAACCAGAATATTTGGCATGAGTTCTGCCTAAACCATGAGCACCTAATAAAGCAACAATCTCTTGATCATTCATTTCTAATCTTGAAAATATTTCTCTGATGTGCTGTGAATCTTTAAACCCTAGTGGTAATCTGCCATTTGGAGGTATTAAAGCTAAATCATTCGGACCACAGTCAGTTCTGCCAGGTTTAAAAGGAATTTTTGGACCATCCATCTCTTCTATTGCGACTAAACCTGCCAATATCCATAAATCTGCATAAGAAATCCAAGGAAATTTCGATTTAACGGGTTCTAAAAGGTCTCTTGCAGTATTTAAACCAGTGTTTGCAGAATCTGTTAATTCAGGTGGAAATCTAAACCAAATAAAATTAACAATATTAAATTGAAAATAAAATTCGAGTAATTAAAAATGTTAGAAATTGTTAAAAAGTGAAAAAAAGTGAAAAAAAGCTGAAAAAAATTATCAAAGCAAAAATAAAAAAAATAATATAGCAAATAATTGGGATAAGCAAAACATAGAACAAAAATATTACAACAAAGACAAGAAAAATATAAAAAAAAATTGTGATAAATAAGAAAAGTTAAGAAACAAGTAAAAGTGAAATATTACCTCATAGTTGCACCATTAGAGCCTCCAGTTTTAGTATATTTATCATAGGTAGCGGAAGAGTGCCAGGCTAATCTTAGTAAGTTTGGAGCATAAGAACCATCATCAAAGTCTGGACATTTCATTATTTCTCGGATATTGTTTTGTACTGACTCATAATCATGATCAGAAGAATTGGTATTCTCATTGGAAACGTCATTAAAATCATTTGAAATTAATTTTTCATTTGAAAGTGGAACAAAACTAGAGGCATATAAAATTTCTGGATGAGTATTATTGTTGTTATTGTTATTAACCTTTTGTTTTGAGCGAGATCTCGATTTGGATAATTTTTTTGAGAAATTTAATTTAAAATGTTTATCAGATGATACAATTGAATTGGAACTTTTAATAGTTGAGTTTTTATTATTTGTACTTTTAGGAGATGATGGAGTAAAAGGAGAATCTAAAAGAAAATTTTCTTTCGATTGATCACTTTGATTTTTATTCTCACTATTTTCCTTATCATTAATATCAATACTGTCATTGATAAAATCATTTAAAGATTGATGGTTGTTGTTAAATTCTAGAATATTGATTTTATTTGAATCGTTAATATCATTTTGATAATCAGAATCAATAAATAATTGAGAAGCAGTTAAAGTTTGGAAACCCGAATTTTTATGAGAATGGGAAGAATTTAATTTTTTGGGACTATTTTTATTTTCTTGAGCCATTTTTAAAGTCCTATTGATTGGTTTTAGTTGAATGGTGTTATCTAAAACTGAATTATTATTAATGGTGTTATTATCAGTTGAAAAAGAAAAATCATGAGTTATCTCCAAATCGTTTGGAATATTATCTTTAAGACTCTTTTCCAAATCCAAGTTTTTTGTGTTTAAAGGAGTAAAAGCTTTTTTGTTGACTGGTTTATTATTAGAATTAGATTTCGCTGATAACGAGGTATATTTTCTTTTTAAGTTTTTTTTTAATTTTTTTTTATTGATTTTTTTGTTGATATTGGAGTTAGTATTTGAGGATTTAAATGATTGATCAAATGATTGATCAATTGATCGATCAATTGATTGATTGGCGGTTAAATTAAGAGTGTCTAAACAATGTGCATCTCGTAAACTGTCAATATTATCAGTGTTTTGGGTTTTTTTAGTGTCGAAATTCTGATTGTTCTTTTTATTTTTTGTTTTTGTTTTTGTTTTGTTCGTATTATCGTTTCCAAAATTGGACTTGTGTGGTTTGGTATCATTAGTGTGGGAATCGGTAAAAAGAAGTTTTAAACAAAACGATTGCAACTTCCGTTGCAAATTAGTCGAGTAAAACCAGATATTAAGCAATTGATTCAATCTCTTGCTCAAGATGTGGAATTCATTGAATATAACATCGACAATGGCGTAAGTATCGACTTTGATAATGTGAAAAGTTCTCCTGTATTTTTCTTGAATTCTGTAATAAAACCTCGAATATAATGGATGGCTTTTGTTTCTAAAAAGATCAGAATCAACAAAGGGATTGTCTTTATTTAGGTTGTTTAGATTTTTGTAGTTGACCAAACCCAATTGAGCCAATACACAGGGGAAGATGTGTTTCAACTCTTTCAAGCACCATTTGAAGCCATTTCTGTAACGAACCAAGTCAATTTTGATCCAGGAGCAAACCAAAATAGCAACTGATAAAGGAGTCAAAAAGATCCTGAACAAAACAGAAGGGATCAAGAGATAGTAGTCGATGTTTTCGAAGATGATTCGTAATAAGGGCATCTTGAGCAGCGGAAGAGAAAACAAACAGTGTTGAACAAAAACCACCAGCGCTTAAGCATTGAAGAAACAGCAAAAAAAAGAGGAAGAAATAGCAAAAGAAAGACTATTTATATGCCCAGCAGTCTCTGGGCGCTAGCCACAAAGAGTCTTTGTTTTGGTTTGTCATCCCTGCAAATCCTCGACTCGAAGATATAATCAGAAAAAACAGGCAAAACGAGAGCATCAAAGACCAAAACAATGGAAGCAGCAGCTGCATGCAATGCAGCTGCATACCCTCTAAACTAACATACTAGACTGGCAAAAGCGATCTGTGACTTCGTGGCCAAGCTGGTTAAGGCGTGAGACTGTTAATCTCAAGATCGAGAGTTCGATCCTCTCCGAGGTCGTAGCTATTACTTTTTTGGACGGCTTTTTTCCAATTTGTTGGTGTTGGTGCTTCTTGAGCTGCATGAGAGTAGCACTTCAATTTTGATTGCTGATAGAAAAGCTATAGTATATAATCTGCAAAGTCTATGTAAGCCTGGCCCTACGATGACTCATTGATCCACTGGTTTCTCAACTTCTTGCTTTCCACTTTGGGTTTCAACCCCAAGTACACTATTACCAAGATGGCTAACGTGAATATCAATTTGTTCTTACCAAATGACGAATTCAACAAATCAAACTGTAGCGACGGATATATTCTGGTGCAGAAAAAATCATTTTTGAATGAGCAAGTAATGATGGTTGATTCCAAATTTGTTGGAATAGATACCAACCCATTTAGCTGTTCATCATTAAATCCAGCATTCAATAACTGTCTTTTGTGAGTAATAACGGATCTATCATTAATCAATAGATTCGATTCCGATATTTTATTCTTATTATTACTATTCTGACTATCAACATTTTTGTTATTGATAATATTGCTGCTCTTCTTATCCTGTATATTATTATTAAGGAAATCAGGTCCTTTGCTCAATAAAAATTTTGGCGCATAAAATATTTCTCCATTATTCATCTCGATTATAATAGACTTTGTTGTAACTCCAAATTGAGATCTAGATACAGAAAGATCTTGAATTTTCCCATTCAAGTTAAACGTCTTCTCACCAAAAATGGGTATCAACCTCTCCTCATCTTTGAAAAATTCAACTGTAAATATCTTATTACCGATACTTGGTTTCAAGCTAAAATATGAATAAATTAGAAAGTTCTCATCAATTACCATTGAAATCTTATTTTTATCATTTAATATTATATCATTTTTGTGAATATTTGAGTAAATTAAATCCCCATTTTCATAATCAAATACATTAACCATTAATGTATTTTCAATCTTATTGGTAACACTAACCAATATTATTTTGTAATTCAAATATTTATAGACAATTCGTTTATCTTTCAAAAAATATTTATCCGATCCAACCACATTTAAATTATTAACTTTAACTGAATAAATTTCATTGCCATTATAATATCTTTGGCACCAACTTTTATTCTCATTATCAAGCCCACAAATTTCATTTTTTTCTTCACTGATAGTAAACTTATTATCATGGTCTATATCAAAATATCCTTCATTACGAAACACCTGATAAAATCTTTTATCAATTTCATTTTTCTTTGTTAAATCTTTGTAATTGTATGATTTATCTAAAACTTTCCCATTTTCCAAATCAATCAAAAAAAATTGTCCAATTTTAGTTGATACTATAACTAACTTTTCAAATCCAAAATAGTTATTCAAATGCTTAAAATTTTCATATTGATGAGTATTAAAATTGATCAAATTACGATGAACAAATTCACTGATCAATTTTTTAAATCTAACTAATCGGTTATAATAAATATGCATCAAAGTTTTATAATTATTGTAGTCCGCATTATAATTGTGATTGTAAAAGTCTTTATAATTGCTATTATCAGTGATATCAAGATTATTTGATAATTTATTCAAAATTTGATACCCGTTTATCATACTTAATGATTGATATTTTTTCCAAATCAAAGTATCATTTATAAATTTCAAAATCTCCAAATCATTTGTCAAAACTAAATAATTTAAACAGTTTTTTTCACTATCAAACTTGAAATCAATTGATTTAATTAAGTTTAATGACGGTAAGTCAGGATTATAGATGTTAAATATCTTTTTTAGTTTATTGTCAAAAGTGATACTCAAAAAATCAATCGAATATTCATTTAAAGTTATAATATACTTATTGTTTTTGATAAAATAAACTTTGGAACCAGAAACCGAACCAGAAAATGAACTGGAAATTGAATTAAAATTAGATATTTCATTCAATTCTAATGATGAAGAATTTAATTTTGATAAATCGTTATCAACTGATAAAATGAAAAGTTCGTTTTTCGAGTTTATAATAGAGTACTGATTTTTAAAGATTAATTTTTCATCAATTATTGAATTCTCATTAACATCAACTGATAAAATCAAATAATAATTGGCATTTTGGAAAATTAATAAATTATTCAAAATTTTATAAAGCAAATAATCATCTTTTAATAACTTTGATTCTATTTCAATTTGAGAAACATTTTTACTAATAGAACTGTTAATAATAACGTTGTTTAGATTTTTATAGTAAATTAAAACATCTCCAGCATTATTTATTGGCGAGACTGAAATTGAATCATCAAATTTTAATTGAATATCTGATAATAGCACTGAGGATTCAAAAATCTCTGAACTGGAATTATAACTATACTCAATAACGCAATTGGATGATGAATCGAATATTAAAAATTTATTCTCATTAACTTTAAAAACTTTGTTCCTATCTGATTCAGAAGTGAAAAGAATATGATCTATTAAGAATCCCTTTTTCAAATTCCAAATAAAGATATTAGAGTTGACCAACGTTAATAAATAATTATCATCATTGAGAGTAAAAATAGGAAAATTTGGATTTTCTTGATCTCCAATCACCTCAAATTTTCCATTGGAAGAACTGAAAAATTCATTTAAATTATATCTCCATTTGATATTTCCAGTTTGAAAATCAACAACAGATAAAACTTTGTCATCTGAAATCAATGAAACTAAATCAATTGATTGAGACAAGTGATGGTTGTTGACTTCACCAACGGAAGCAATCTGCCAGTCGACTTTGAATGCTTCATCATCATAAACACATTGCACTAATGAGACGTAAAAAAGAAGAAACCAAATAAATAAAGATGGCTTTCTCACTGAACAAGAAAACATCCCCGGAGTTCTGAAGACTATTCTAATCAGCAATGTCGTCTATTTTGTTTCTAACAGATTTTTTTTTTAAAAAATAACTGCTAAGAACACACCTATTGTGGTTCTTGCACGGTGCTGTTTAGTCGGTATATAAACTACAAAAACTGTCCCTGTAATTTTACCATGGATGTGGGAAAACCTTAGAGGGAAGAAAACTCACATCAAGGACGAATGAATTTAAATAAGAAATAGATGTTATCGTGTTTATTGTTTCTAACAGAAGCTCAATCTTTTTTTATTTTTTTTGTTTTAAAAATAGTTGCTAAGAGCCCACTTTGTTGGGGTTCTTGCACGGTGTTATTTATTATATCTATATATTAGAGTAAATGCTGTCTTTGTAATTTTGCCGTAGATGTGAGGAAACCTTGTAATTAGGAAGAAAACTCACATCAAAGACAGGAGTGTGAAATCTAAGAAAATATGTGCTGGTGTCATATTACTTTATGAGTTGCCATGCGTGGGAAATAAATATAATGAGTTTGCTTATGCCCCATTTCGTCCCTAGATATGTGTAAATGATTTCTGGGTCCACTTCGTCAGTGAGAATCGTTGGGATCTCTGAACGGACTCTAGCCTGTAAGTTTATTGGACATTGGAAGATATAATGAGTTATTGTCGGTTCTGAGAGGGAACATTTGCATTGGTTACTGCTCATATACCCAGCCCTCCACTGAGTATCTTCACCAAAGAAGCTCAATTCAACACCAATAGGTAAAAACTGACAAGTACTATATTTTATTTAAATATATTGCTTTTACTCATTCGATGGTCAGCAGCTCATCCCCATTAGCTCAGTCGGTAGAGCGTTCGGCTTTTAGGGATTCTTCTAGTTTCGCAAGAAACCGAAATGTCCAGGGTTCGAGCCCCTGATGAGGAGTTGTTTTTTTTTGCACTGTTTTGCTTTGCATAGTATTTTTTAAAGATTGGTTTTGTGGAAATTCGAACTGCGGAGCTGCTTCTGGTTAATGCATTATAAATAAAGTATAAAGATATGTAAATAGATATGGGAAAAATCGTTTTCCCCGACACTCAGAAATGATATAATAAAGAAATATAGAAGCAACCACCAAAGAATAACTACTCCAACAAAACACAATTACAGAATCACAGTCATACGTTCAATACGTCTTTGAGTAATGTGATTTGGTCATGAGTCAACCCATTTTCAAATATCTCCTTGTACTTATTTTCATCTTTATTTCTCAATCCAATCAAACTGGTTTTGAAAACTTCAAAAATGTTGATATTATCCAATGGATTACATGATAAGGGGTCTTCAAATAAGTCGTCATCTTCATCTATCTCAAATAGCAAATTGTCTTTGTTGTCATCGTTATTTTCATCGTTTTGTGCACCGTCATTTTCGTTAAAACCACCTTTGCTTGATTCATTTACACTTTCAACATCAACAAATTCATCTGCCCCAAACTCATTGGAATAGAAATCAGACTGAGATAAGTCTGCAGCATAGCTTTTCTTTTTCGTTTCCAAGTCATTGATAGCTTTTGGTAATTTTCCAAGAACTAAAACAATGTTATCTCTAATATCTTTCATAATCAAGTTCAAGTTAAATTTCAAAATATCGTGATTATCTAAATTGACTAGACTTAATAATCCAATCAAAGTGATTTTTAAATCATAAACTCTTCTCACTGTCCCTTTTGAAATACTTTTAAACCAAAGTTTTTGGAAAAAAAATTCAATAAATTGAAACTCTGTTAATATTTCCAACGTCAATACGGTATCAAACATAAATCCAGCTAAAATCAAGTTAAGAAAGTTAATAGAAAATTTCCTATTAGCTAAATAGCTCTTGAAAAGCTTGTTCACTTTTGAATCTAGTTTTATATAACTTGATATGGAATTAATAATTTGAACTTCATCAAAAGTATCTTGATCATTAATGTACTCATTCTTTAATTTTCTTTGCAATGTTAAAAAAAATGAAACCAAAATATCCTTAATAAATTGTCTGCAATCATTACCTAATGAAATCATAAACTTGGATGCAAATTCACATGCAATTGATATTCCGTTAATATTGAGATGTCTTGTATCTTGAATATCATTAATCTGTTTGTTATAATTAGCCAAATTTCCCACAATATTCTCCTCATAACCATTATTTAAAATAATGAAATATAAAAGATAAAATTTATTAATTGTTTCAAAATTCTTATTATCGACTAGTTCTTTAAACCCATAAACGAAATAATTATTTAATGAGGGCATTATCTCATCTAAATATAATAATGATGTATTGGAGTCTTTATCAATCTGAAAAATCATAATTATAATATCAAAAATTTCCCATAATTCTGAAAAGATTTTTCTAGATAAAAATGAAGTGTTCTCGATTAAATCAAAACACTCTGCAAAGTAATCATCAATTCCATTAATCAAAATAATTTTAATAACTGGCGAGTAATATTTTAGTAAATTTTCAATAGAATCTTGAGAGTTTTCAAATGATAATAAAATCGTAACCATTGTATTTAATAAACCCAATGCAACCATCTGTTTATCCGAGCTGCTTTCATTTAAATATTCTGGGCTGATTTCAAAATCATGCAAATTTTTGGAATCTTGTAAATAGTTTAAATCAACATTATTGTTTCCAACAATAATTCCAATAAATTGCTCCGATAATCTATTAACTAATTGGGCACCAAATGGTTGTAATTGTTCAAAAAATTGCTCAACTAATTCTTGCATTACTGCTGAAATTGAGTCAGTATCGATTTTATCAGATAAAATTAATAACCTTTGAACAATTAAAATTACATCCTTTTCAAGTAAAATTTTAAAGGATTCATTTTGGATAAATGCTTGCATTGCTAATGAGGATTCTAGTTGAATTACTAATGTGCCTTCATCAGAGTCATCATTCTGATTAAGGCCGTTATTATTAGGATTATTTTGTGATAACGAGTTTTGTCTTAATTTATCTAAATTGAAATCTTTAATGATGCCCTGATAAATCAATTCAATTATAGAACTATCAGTAAATTCAATTGACGAAAACGACGATAAAACCTTTAAGGTTCTTGCTTTTAAAAAACCAAATTCAGAATTCAAATTGTGCAACACTAATTGATTGAAAAATGATTCCATTTGTGAAAGATATTCGGAATTTTCGTTTGTTAAAATAAAAGATATAGAACTCAAAATTCGTAGTAAACCCTCTCTGTTTTTAGCAATGTCAAGAGTCTCAATCCCATTGTTAGACTGTTGCTGGTGTTGTAAATCAATTAAATTATTATAAATAAACTCCAAAATTAAATTCAAAGAAGATTTAGGCCTCTTTGAAGCTAATGTGACCAAAAAAGAAGCTGCAGCAAAATCAGGTGAATCTGAAGTTTCTTCAAAGATATCCAATCTCATATGAATATATTCATTAGGATCCGTTTCAAAAATGTTAATAACTTCATCCGTGGGAATCACTAAAGGGTAGATGAAATTTGCAATTAAATCTTGCAAATTTGCAGAAATTAATTTCCAGGTATTTGGATAGACAATTGAAGTATCAACTAAATTGATTAAATAATAAAGACAGCTGTTTGACATAAAACTCGAAACAGGGTCTTGGCACCAATCAGAGATTAATTTGAAATATATTTTGATGATTTCAGGTAGGATCAATGCAACAAAATTTTTTTTGAAAGTAGGATAATCATGGCTTTTAAATTTAGATGATGAACAAAATCTTATCAATAAATTAAATAAGTTAGCAAAAGACCATTTTTGAGATTTCACCCACGGATTTGAAATTTTGGCTTCATTTGAGAGATTAACGATAAATAATGGTAATTTTTTTGAAATTACGGTCAATTGTAAATTAATCCAAGGAAAAATTAAACTGGAATTTACATTTTCAATATTTTGAAATGGTTCAGGTAAATCAGTAAAAGTGACAAATTTAAACGTTTTTATTATTAGCCTTATTAATTCCCCATTTTGGTTGAATTTGTTAATCAAGTTTATATTATTGACATCATTTGGAATTGAGTTGGTAGAATTCAAAATTGTATTGGCCAAGTCTATTAGTATGGGAAAAACGTTGTGTATAATTGGATCTAAAGACTCTGATCTAGTGGAGTTGCCTTTCCATCTATAATGTCTCATAATCTCTTTGAAACAGTAAAGACCAATGAATAGTTTATTTTGTTCATCCAAGGAATTGTTAAGTAGTGATACTGCGTCGTTTAGTAAATTTGGCCAGTCATTAGGATACTCTAAAGAGATAATGTGCAGAAGGCATACTAATATTTGGGCTTTGATATGATTATTAGAAGAAGAATTATAATCTATTGAAAACTGATCGCTTAATAGTAGATTTAGCAAATTTGACTTGATTAATTGTTTTTCCTCACTTGGAATTATAATCGATGATTTGCTTGATTTTGAAGGAGGATTTGAATCAGTGTACTCCCAGTTTTTCTTGATTTGATTTTTCAAATAAATTGATGTGGAGTGTTTAATAAATTCATTGATTTGGTTATCCGAAAGAGCAATTAAACTTATACAAGATGATAAAAAATTTGGTTGAGTTGTTAAAAAATTTTTCAATGATCTTTCAGCCTGATCTCTAATTGACTCATCAGGTTGCAAAGTTCCAGCAAAACAATCATGTAAAACTTTTAAATCCATTTTAGGCCAGCAGTATATATTGCTCTAGGCGTCTATGGCAGTTTAGTGTCGTTTATTTTGGTATTCAATGTATTGCTTTGAGCTCCAAGGATTTGATTCAGCAAGAATATACAATTCTTTGTGTTGATGCTTCTGGGCAAGATTTAAAAACAGTAGAAGTACTTTATAAAATTTGTTCAAAAAATTTTTCTGAAAACGATCAGAAACAAAAAAATATTAAGAGAATGTTCGCCAAACAGCAAACGGCTTGTGAACGCGGTGGTGTGTTGGAAAAAATTGCTTTAACGAGCGTTTGTTTGTTGAAAAAGGTCACAAATCAGAAACAGCTCTTTTCGGAAAGTTGGTGTTTTTGTTGAAGATGAGGAAAACCCATATATATTAGAGGAGAGAGGTATATAGAAAAATAAATAATGAATACTAACATCTAAAAGTAAATATAAACCAATGAAAACACTAAAATAATAAAAACATTCATGAAGGCAATGAGTTATCGATGAAGTTAGAGTATGAAGATGATGAAATAACGACGATAATTAATGAGAAACGGTAATTAATGAAATCAATAGTTGCTAAAATGAGTATAGTTGGAAAGAAAATAAAAAAAATAAAAAAACGAAAAAAACGAAAATTAACAAACTTAACTAAATTAACAAAATTAACTAAATTAACAAGATTAAAAAGATAACAGAAAAATAAGAATGGAAAGAGATTTAACAAAATAAAAATTAATCTGTAAACAAATAAATGAATGAAAGTAATGTTAAAAATATTCATCTGCTGATGATTTTCACTTTTTTCCTTTTTTTTTCTTTTTTTTTTTATTCGGTTTTTTGAATTATATGAACTGAAGTTAAATATAAGTATAAATATAAATATAAATATAAAAATGAAAGTAAAGATAGAGCCATGGATTCAATTTTCATCTTTCTCTTTTCCTTGGATATATTTTCAATTTTCAAAAAAAAAACAAAAAAAAATATAATCAAAAACTTAGTTTAAAAAAAATGCAGAAAAATTTTGATTTTTCCATTTTATTATAAGGCCTTATTATGCTCTATTTAATTTTTCTTTTCTGATTTTTTCTCTTCGTTCAACTCTTTTGGTAATGTACTTTGCCATTTCAACAGGTATTAAACCATTATCTTTGCTGTAGTCTGGATCGTCAACATCCATATAGGTATTCAACCACTTATGCTTTAATAAATCATTATATGTTGGTCTTAATTTTGGATCTCTTTTCAAACATTTCAGGATAAAATCTTTTGCATCTTCGCTAATGTTAGGGTTCTTGAATTTAGGAGGATCGCCATCTATAATTTGAGCAATAACATTAAATATATTCGTGGATTCAATTTTGTAAGGATATTGACCATCGCTAATTTCAACAATAGAAATTCCCAATGACCAAACATCTGATTGGATGGTGTATTCGTTTTTGTTTTTGATTCTTTCGGGTGCCATGTAGCTTTGACAACCAACATTAGTTTTAGCCAAAGAAGCAACCAAATTCCCCGAAACACCGAAATCACATAGTTTGACTTTTCCTTTGGTATTTACCAAAATATTTGTGGGTTTAACATCTCTGTGAATGATATTATGATCATCTTTTAGTTGTTTTAGCCCCAATACAACACTCTTGGTTACAATGGCTAAATATGGTTCATCAAAGCCTTCAAAATAGACCTGATCAATGGATCCACCATCCATATATTCAATACACATACAAACATTTCCCTCAACGAAAAAGGCACCAAAAAAGTCGACTATGAACCGAGAATTGCAGTTGTGTAGGACTTCTAGTTCCATTATAATTTGTTTAATTCGGGCTTCATCCAATTCTAGATGGACTTCTTTGATGGCCATTGTAACATTAGAAGTTGTGTGTAAAACCTTCTTAACTGTCCCATAATTACCACTGCCTAACTCAGATATCATTTTGAAGTCACTTAGAGATACATTGAAAGAAGTACCAGAAGAAAACTCAATACCATCTGAATGCAAAGAGGCTTTTCCAGAAAAATTAAGAGAGCCACTTTTATCTAAATAATTTGAATAATCTTGAAATTGACCGCTGAAAATGGAATTGGTGTTATTATTATTGTTGCTGTTGTTGATGTTGTTGTTAAAAGAATTTGGTCTTTTGATGGTGTAGTTGCTGTTGTTGTTGTTGTTTTCACCTTTTGGAATTCTATTGGAATTAATTGTCGAAGAAATATTTGAGTTGAAATTACCATCAGAGGATAAATCCAATTTTGTGTTGTAAAGTTTTTGAAATTTATTGTTCTTTTTAGGAAAATTCCTCAAGGAATTAGGAATTGGAGGACTGATATTCATCCTTGGCATATTATTACTAACCTTTATGCTGTTCTGAGAATTGGGACTAAAATTGTTAAAATTATTAAAATTGTTTGAATAATTTAAATTGGTAGTGGAATTATTATTGAAATTATTATTGGAATCATTATTGGAATTATTATTGAAATTGGTATTGGAATTTGTGTTGAAATTATTGTTGGAATTAACATTGGAATCACTGAATGGAAGTTTGAAATGTAAGTTTCTTCGTTCGGACAATGTTTTTTTGTTTTTTATGGATGGGGGAAAGTGATTGTTTGAAGAGAGCAATGGTTGAGAAGAGTTTGTATTATTTCTTGGGCCAGCTGGAGGAGACATTGAAGAATATCTTTGTAATTGTGGGTTTTTGTTATTTAAAAGGTTTTGTGAAGGAACACCTGGCATTCCTGAAATGTTTGGGTGACTGTTTGACAGTCTATTTAGAAGATTGGGTGGTATACTATTGGGAGATCTATTTGCAATACTGTTTGAGGAATTGTTTTGCAGTCTTGTTAGGAAATTATGAGGAATGCTGCTGGGGGATCTATTTGAGAGATTTTGAGTAGAATTGTTAGGAGAGTTATTAGAAGTGGTGATATTGACTCTATAAGGATTGTTGATGCTATTGGGATTGTTTGAAGAAGGAAAATTACCATGAATATTAAAGTGATTGGAGCCGATAGAATTACTTCGATTTGATCTAGTCTGGCTGTTTGTTGAGGCAATAGAGCCATTCAGATGAGTTCGAAGTTGAGGAGGAATAGGAGGCCCACCCGATGGAGACAATCCGATGATAGTATTGCTGGTTTTGATGGCTGTTGAGGAATCAGTTGGTTTCCTTAAAAAGCTAGTGTATTTAAGTTCATCATCAGCTTTTTCTGAGTGATCATGATCATTATCATGATTATCATTGTCAAAGTCACTAGCAATTTTTGCTTGAACAAAGTAGTTGGGAGATGAAATGTGATTGATTTTGTTATCAGGTTTGATATCGGGGACAGGAGAAGAAGAGGACGAAGAAGATATTGGAGCAGGATCCTTGATAGACAAATTCAAAAGAGAAGAAGAGGTGGATTCCGTATCCAAAGATTGCTGGAAAGATGGATTCTTTATCATGGTTAGCAGATTCAGAACAAGATGGATGAAGATGGGCAAGCTGATTAGAAATGCTAAGAGCGTAGAAAAGGAAAAAAAGAGTTGTGAAGAGGAAGTGTTGCTATTCCAGAGTGGTGGTTCCCTCCAGCCGCTACCCGGCTTATGCTCCGTCGCACTGGTTATTTATGGATTGGCCACTGTTATGGGTGTTATGCATTAACGCGCAGATACATGTTAAGTACCACTATACTGGATGTGGTGCATGCGTGGTTGGTTTTTTTTTGTTTGTAGCTGGGGGTAAGATTCTTTGTGGAGTCTTATCATGATAAGATGAGTAGTAACTACTATGATATTGACGATATAATAGCTGATGGAGAGGTATGATTTACTGATTGGATATTTGAGCGTGTGCATTCACATACTACTACAGATTGTGCTTTTTGAAATCAAATATTAATCTGGCTGTTAATTTTAGAAAATACCATGTAAATTCACGATAACAGTTCCTGGGTTGGGATTTTTGGAAGGAAATGAGTCCTTGGGTGCAATTAAAGAAGGGACCAGATTGGAGTTGCCGTTGTGGTTAGCTGAGATTCTTGCGACGTGTGCAATTTCTCCAAGCGAGGAAGATGTCAAAGACGAAGAAGATGTAATGGGAGAATCGAACGAAGAAAAGACATTTGTTGAACTAATTCAACCTGAATGCTTCAATTTGAAAGTTATAAATGCTATAAAGACAAACCCGGTTAATTGCGATTTGCATTCTATCTGTTCGAACTATTACAAGTTGACTGAAAAACTTGGTGATGAGGAGCTAATTAAAATTGTTCAGGAAATGTTGAAAGAACGGTGTATATTGATTAACGATTATGCGACGAGCTCAAAGGGGAATAATTTTAATAACGATGCAGTTTTCAATTTTCTCCATGGTCTAGATGAGGCTGAGAAAAGGATATATAAAGCGACTTATGAGAGCCATAAAGACACGAAAAAATGGTTTGCAAGTGATTCGTAAAATCGAATATATACCCCATTATGTAATTGTTTTTTTCTTTCTGTTTTTTCATTTCTTTCAAAAATCCTATCCATTTAATGTATTGAATAATTGATATATTGTTGAATTTTCTAGAAGTATGCTGTAATTGAAAATTTTCATTTCAAAACAATAGATTTGCATTTAATTGAGCACTTGGTTGCGAATTAGTTTTTTTGTGGTTACTCAGTTTTCTCTTTGTTAAGACAAAATACATAATCGAAACAAAATGTACACCCTTATTTTGAAATTATAGAATTGAAACAGATTAAATTTATTGGAATATTCAGTTATTGCAGATATCGTCCATGCTAAGAAATCAGTAGCATTTCATAAGGCTTTCAGAGACTTAAATTAAAACATTTCCTTTTTGAGGAAGTCCGCGAAGAGAGTGAGTTTGGATGCCACTGGTATGGTTCTCTGTAAATAGTTGCCGAATTGGGGTTCTTCCGCCCTGAGCTGCTAGAGGCGTGATATTTTTGAAATAGAGTGTAGGAGAAAAAGACGGCAGAATACAAGGGTTCTGGAAAGATGAAAATTGCGCGCGTTCTTTTTGTTGCGCAGGATCTATGCACTCAAGCAAGTGCGCAAATAGTCTTTCTTGGTATTTTAAACACAAATCCAACACAACATAAATATGTATTTGAAAAGCTCTTAGCGTGCAGCAAATGCCCCATAAGAAAAAAGTCGAGCGGTTGACAGCGGGTTTCTATTTTTTAGAAAAAGAAGAAATGAATCAGTGCTTTTAGGTTACTTTAAAAGAGCTTGTGAGAGTCAGCGAAATAAATAAGTTGCACCTACGGTGATTTGAACCAACGTTCTTTTGTTGTCTGAAATTCGTTGCTTTCTGCGAATTCTATTTTGTTTTTAGAAGCTGAGTCAAATGTATGGGACTTTTTTTCATTCCACCGCAAACTTAACACCACGTTCAGTGAGGATTTCCATTATTGCTAATTGATGATCCAATGAGAGAAACTATAATTAATAGACGAGACAACAAGGGGACCGACACATTTGTTTATTAGTTGGAGTTGCGTATTAGGTGTGTAAAGTCAGAATATATATGGGAGAAGAAACCAATTGAAAAGAAAGGCAGAGTATCATGATTTCAGTGTGGATTGTAACCAATTATCTTTTTTGAAGTAAAAGCAGGTCTTTTTTTAGATTGAAATGAGTTGAAAATGGCTACAATTGCTCTTGAAAAGCAATTCAACGAAGGAAAATGCTCAGCTGGATTGAATAGGTGAGCAATTCATTTGTTGGATGAATTGGGTGTTTTGCTTTTTTACCTCCCCCTATTGTAATATAAATAAAAATTAATATCGCTTGTAATTTGGTAGTTAGCAGTTGAATTTTGAATCAGTAATTGAAGTTGAATATTTATTTCAGTTAACAACAAGTAATATAAGAAATTGTGATACTAAAAACAGCAACAAGAATCTACAGTTCCTATAATCCCCATAATCCCTATAATCCTTATAATCCTTATAATCCTTATAATCCCTAATAAACCTAATCAAAATGAAGCTCACACTTGTTTTATCAACTATGTTATCAATTGCCTCAGTCAGAGCTGCTTTAGTTAAAAGACAGACTGAAGATGATGTGGAAATTGTAACAGTTGTTGAATCACTTTCAACAACTGCTGCCAGTATTACTGAATCGTTAGCATCCTCGCTCTCCTCAATTGCATCTGATGCCAGTGAATCATTGTCCTCTCTTGCTTCGGATAACAGTGAATCGTCAGAATCGTCAGAATCGTCAGTTTCTTCTGAATCATCCGAATCATCTGCTGTATCTGAAGCCTCTGAGGCATCAGAATCGTCAGAATCCTCCAGATCGTCTGCTATTTCTTCGTTCAGTTCATCAATATCATCAGTTGCTTCTGATTTCTCTGAATCGTTGGATTCTGAATCTGCAGTAGCTGCTACAGGAACAGAAACATCATCCAACTTGGCCCCAGGTGTTTTTAATCCCTCGTTGAAAGTTGCATTATCGACATCTTTCGTCGGTGCATTAGCTTTAATATTTCTTTAATTTGTTTTCTTTCAGTACAATTAAAAAGCTAAAATTTCTTTATCTTTTTATCTAATGGTGACTGCAACCTAAATTGTGGTTAGTTTTCTCTTTTATTGTTCTATTTCTATTTCTATTACTATTTGTTTCTATTTGTGTTTCTATTTCTATTGGTACTTTTCTGACTCTCTTTACTATACAATCGCTCAATAACCAATTACTGCAGGCCACTCGCAGCTCGGCTTTTTTAATTTGGTATTAATGTTCTTAATTGTTAATAAACTCTCTATTACTACTATTTTTCGTCAAGTGCTTTTTTCTTTTCTTTTCCCTTTGATTATCTACACTAGTATTATCAATAAATAACAATGTAGCGGTTTATACAAAAAGAAGATATCACTCCCAAAACGTAGTATCCATGCTATCACAGCTTCAGCAGATATTCTGTAATAGGACGAGCCCTCACTATCTGCCTGAGCAAAAAATTAGCTTTGGATAACAGCAGAGAGCGAGCCTCACCAAATTACCACCACAGTGCTGTTTCGCAGGCAGGTGACCAAACCCTGATTTCTGCAAAGCCAGCCCAGTTCTGCGGGTGTTACCCTGCAGCGGGTTTAACATGGTGGAACGACAATACGCTCGCGCAGGGTAGCGTTTTCCACCGCACTCACCTGTGCTGTCGGAGCTTAGCACGCAACAGATGTATGTCACTGAGGGACGTTGCTACGCTGCTATCTTTTGCTGTTATCGCCCGGCCTGTGGCTGGACGCGCCTCTTATCAAGATTGATCTAAGATACTACCGCTGAAGCTGCAGAATCTGCTGGAGACGATCGCACGACTTGAGCACCGGAATAGAGTTCGGATACTAAAACCGCGAAATAGAGTTTGCAGACACCGAAAATCAGAAAGGCTACACTGCATTTAGAGTTCCAACTCTAATTTTTTTTGTCACTTTTCCAAATCAAATAAGAGTGTTCTGCCAGTAACATGGAAACTAAGTTGCTTGGTGATGTTTTCTTTTTTTGCATTTTCCATAGGCTCAAATCCAGAGCGGTTAGATAGTAAATAATCTGGCTCACATTTGCACAGATTGCACTGATTCTCAGGGAAAAAGAAAGCTTTTTCACGATATTGACTGTTTTTTTTTAGTGCACTTTCTAATCCAAAAATCTTGATCTGAAAAAGAAAGCCTTTATGGTTTTAGCTTAATATTGATTTGCATTTACCTTTTTTTCATAATTTTCCCAACAGTTTAATCAACAGAAATTCTAAAAATTCTAAAAATGTTAAAAATTATCTTTCCTTCCTTAGAGTATATTTTGTTTTTGTTTAGGAAACAAGATTGATGAGTTCATTTAACTCACCGACTCAAAAAAAAATATTATAAATTATTTCATTTTTCTCCAATTTTATTGAATTCTGAATTTTGTTTTTTATTTATCTTTTCTCTATTCCAATTACATTATCTAACAAAAGAATAAATACATTGAATATATTGAATATATTTAATTTCGCTGAGATTGTCTTCCCCAAACAAACTTATTCAAAAAATTAATACAAATTTTATTCTCTAAAGCTCAATTGTATTCTTAATCCAAGATGGCTAATTCAATTAGTGATCTAGAAAAACAAGGCAAATTCTCCTCAGGAGAAGCTGAAGTTGAGGTTGAAGCTGGCATCGACGATGTCAAAACCAATGGTCTTGACAGAGAAGAATACGATCCTCATACTGGTGTTAAAAGAGGTTTAAAGACTCGTCATATCTCTATGATGGCCATTGCAGGAATTATTGGTCCTGGTTTGTTTATTGGAATTGGTCGTGGTCTTGCTCTTTGTGGTCCTGCTGCTTTAATTATCGGTTTTTTCATTGTTGGTTGTATGGGTTTGATTATGATGTTCAGTATCGGAGAATTAAACACTCTTTACGATTTCAATTTCAATACTCACGCTGAAAAATGGGTTGATCCTGCTTTTGGTGCCACTGTTGGTTGGTACTATGTCATCTTATGGATTTGCAACGTTATTCAGGAATACGTCTCCTTCACAAATATTCTCACCTTCTACACCGACGTTGTTCCTATCTGGGGCTGGTTTTTAATCTTCTGGTTTGTCTTTACTCTATATCAACAATTGGGTGTTGAAGCCTTTGGTGAAGCTGAATATGTTCTTGCTTTAACAAAATTGGTCTTCATTACTGCTTTCTATGTTTTCGCCATTATCTATGCCGCTGGTGGTATCAAAGGTCGTTCTCCAGGAAATCCTTTCAAGGAAACTCCCTTTGCTGATGGCTTCAAAAGTATTCTAAACTCTTTTGTCTACGCCGGTGTTTACATGTCTGGTATCGAAAGTATCAGTTTAACTGTCAGTGAATCAAAAAACCCCAGAAGAGCTATTCCATTAGCTGTCAAACAAACAATGTTCAGAATCTTATTTGTCTATTTCGGTATTTGTATCAGTTACGGTATCACTGTTCCTTATGACCATCCTGCCTTGTCTTCAGAAAACAGAACAATGAAGTCCCCAATGACAATTGCATTCACCGATGCTGGTTGGGCAAATGCCGGTTACTACGTCTCAACTGTCGTTGTCATTACCTGTTTTTCCTCCATCAACTGTGCTATCTATCTTGCCAGCAGATCCTTATACAATCTTTCCCACGAAGGTTACGCTCCAAAAATCTTCCAAACACACAACAAAAGTGGTGTTCCATACGTTGCAATCCACACTGTCCATTTATTTTCCTTTTTGAACTTATTAACCCTTAGTGGTAGTGGAGCTAAAGTCTATGCCTACATGGTCAACATTTCCGGTGTCTGTACTTTTATTGTTTGGTCTGCCATCTGTTTTACTCATATCAGGTTTAGAAAAGGTTGGTTGAAACAAGGCCACACTTTGGCTGAATTACCTTATATTGCTCCTTTTTTCCCTTATCTTACATACGCTGCGCTTGCTGTCGGTATCATCTTAATGTTGGTTCAAGGATGGAGTTGTTTCGACCCATGGTCAGCTCCAGATTTCGTTGATATGTACATCTTATTGCCATTATTCCCTGTTTTCTATTACGGTTACAAATATTACTTCAAAACCAAGTATATCAGCTACGAAGACATGGACTTTGAAACAGGAAAGAGATTCACTGGAGAACAAGTTGAAATGCTCAAAATCCAAGATCAAAATGAAAAGAAGAAACCATTATTTCATAGAATGACTCATATTTTCTCTTGATTTGGAATGGTTTTTCAAGTTTATCTAGAATCAATTCCCTTTTCTTGGTTTTTTATTTATTTATTTATTGTTTACTCTTTTTTTGTTTTCTCATTTATAGTTTTTATTCATTCGTATTTACTTTAAATTACCTCTATATTAGTCAATATTTTCATTTTTTACACTATTGAATTATTTCATTACTAAGTTTTTATTCGGTTTTCAACCTTTAACAAATCTTTGTCTGAAAATTTTATAAATCACTTCAAAACAAGCTCTTCTCTCGACCTAGTCATTTCTCGTTTTCCTTAAACAGAAACATCGAACTGAAAAATAAGTCAAACGGAAAATAATCATCACAAGACATTCCAAAAAATAACTAAGACATTCTCACTGCTGTTTTTCAAAGACCTAATCTCTCTCAAAGAACCCCAGTAATATTTATTCCTCTATTATTCATTTGGGTATTGTTCATTCTGATATTCATTTTGGTAATTGTTTTTGGGTTGGTTTTAGAAGAGCTGCATGTAGCTGCAACAATATTTTGGATTCACATAATATGCCGGACTGCTTGCACTAGCTCATCTAAACGCATAAGCACACGTTTGTGCATGCCCAGAACCAGTGGTGTGGTTGGTTTCGCTTTGAAACCAGTTGTCAATGGTTGTCCAGCATTATTTATAAACATTTGGCTCACATTTTCTCGGTTCTCACTCATATTTTGCTCCACCCAGCAAAAGAACACACCAGGCCCACAAAAAGAACAGGCGGCAAAAGAAAAGGCAGCAAAAGAAAAGGCTGGAACAACACAAGCCGGTGCTTTTGCCTCGCTTTCAGATGCCGGAGAGGCAGCTTACCCGGCGGAACATGCACACCCGCTCTACGCAGAATCCCAGCGCGTCGCGCATTTTCCGCTGCCCGCGCTTCACAGCCAATCAGCAGCGAGAACGCTCATCCTAAGGTTTCAAAACGCTTTTTAACTTAGAATTCGCTCTGCTGGAAATGTTTCACTGATTCATTGCTTCTATTCCTGTTATTCCTTTACTCATAACCGCACCTGCCCATGATCCTCTTAAACTTCTGAATTTCTTTTCCCACAATTGCTACAATTCATATAAATAATGCCCAACTTCTTTTTCTCTCAGCTTAGTTTTTCAATCTCATCGCTTCTTCCTCTCGTCTTTTGCTCTCCAATTTTCGCTACAGATTGGTATTTATCACTCATTTGCTGTCTAACTCTCTTCCGCTCCTTTGTTATATTCGTACAATTATAATCCACTCTCTTTGGTTATACTTATTTATATTCTTTAGCGCAACTTCATCTCTTGTTCTGTTCTTATAGCTTCTCGCCTCACCTTACAATTTAACATTGCTAGTACCATATTTTGTCTTTTAAAATGAAATACTCAGTCTCTTTATTTTCCTCGGTTTTGCTCTTATCCTCCCTTGCTTCCGCCTCAAAAGACTCCTGTAGTGAAGTCAAGAGCTCTCAATTGGAAAACTGTGGTGGTGTTCAAGATGATTATGAATGTGTATGTCAATTGCCAAACAATGTCTATTGGAACTACTTCTTTGACTGTGTTCAAAATGGCGGTGCTTCAGTCACTGAAGAATATTTAGTTGACCTTAAATTTAGTTTGTGTGGTGACACCAGTGATATTGAAGACAAGGTCTTTTCATCCGAAGAAGTATCATCTTCGGCCTCTGAAGATGACACTGATTCCTATGGAACACTCACTCTTTCTGATGATGAGGTCTACGAGTCTGCTACTGTTTCGCACAAACATTCAGTGTCCACTGGTGCTCCAAGTAATGGTTCGTACACTGCTTCTCATTCACACTCTAACAACGGAACATATGTTAAACCAACCGTTGGTGTTATTAGTGCTAATCTTGCTGCAGGTCAAAAGGTTGCTATCTCTTCATCATTGTTGGGTTTATTAGCTCTTTTGGTCATTTAGTTTATATTATAAAGAAAAAAAAATTGCTTTCTCTCCCGTTTTTAAGTTTTTTCCGTATTTTCATTATCTTTCATTTTAATTTTGAAACTTAATTATTTATTATAATTATTACTTGCTTAATTTTCATTATGATTTTTTTCTCTTTCAATTCATTAATAACTACATTTTCATTCATTATACCTTATCTATTACCTTATATCTAATTACCTTATATCTAATTACCTTATTGTATATCTTAAATTTCGTCCACTGAATTAGTTTTATCAAATCAATAAATTGACTAATATGCTATTAAAATTATAACCCACTTCTTAATACATTTTTCATAAACCTCCATTCTTCAGCTCAACTCAGCCTGATTTCCATTCTTTCCAAATCCATAAATGTCTATTCAATAACAGTTAAAATTCACATTCTGCTGATAACTTTCTTTATTTTATCTCAGTACAAGTTCTATAAATAACATATTATTATATATTCTTAATCCATTCACTAAATATTAAAAATCACCAAAAACTATCAAAAATTATCAAAAATTATCAAAAATTATCAAAAAAATCCGTTGCTACGACAATCTTCTTTCAACCACCATAACGGATCTAATTTCAGGCTTATTCCTCAACATGAATTGTTCCTCCTGCTGCAAAATCTGCATTTATGATTACTGCAAAATATACATTTATGATTACTGTAAAACTCGAAATAGGTATTTGTATTGGATAAAGCATCGAAATGTGTTTTGATGACATATTTGTAATTTATTTTGGGCTTTTAAAAAAGAATTATTTATTATTATATTAATGCATAACAACTCGCCAAAGATAAAACGTTGTAAAAAAATCAAGAATATTAAAAATATTAAAAACATAACAATTATAGAAAAGATAAAAAAATAAATTAATTTAATAATTCAAGAAATCAAAAATGCAAATCAAATGGAAAAAAAATACTGCTGTTTAAAATAAAGGTTTAATCCCTTTTCTCAGTTTGATGACTATCATTTAAATATTAACTATAACTTTATTTTTCCAGCATTAGTTTTCCAATCTCCGAAATCTTCAATTCAAAGCATGCGTTATTCCAGATTCTGATGGAATCACAATTCGCCTTTCATCTTCTAACACGTCAAAGTCTAGAAGTATTTGTAGTTTAGCAGCTTTACAACGAGATTGAATATAAAGATGTTGTAAAGGATTTGTGATTTAAATAATTTTTTTCAATATTACTTGGAATTTCAAAAGCTTCAAAGTCTACTAATAAATTATGATTCAATCGAGTAATTTTTAGCTTAGAAAGATTTTCCATATTTTTAATAGAAAACACTTCAATTTCACTCCATGAAAAATCAAAATACTCGACTTTGTTATATAAATGTTTTTCAAGTTTTCAATTATATTTCTAAAAATGTTAATTTCTCTTAATTTTTTAAAATTTTTTTCATTTTCAGCAGAAAACAACATCTCTTTAACGTTTCTAATTCAATTGAAACTTCCTTTTAAACAAACCAAATTGTTTAATCCTGATAAATTATCAATGTTTTTAACATTATTTTTCCAAAATGATAAGTTTTTCAATGCTTTTAAATTAATTTCAAATTCAATGTTTGATATGTTGTTTCTGTTTCTGTTTATGTTTAAATCAGTTAAATAGATTAGCCTTCCTAACAAAGAAGCATCGCTGATACTATTTCTACTTAAATTTACAGTTCTCAAATCACTTAATCTTGATAGAGGTGATACGTCTTGAATTTGATTATCAGATAAATTTAAAAATTTTAAATATTTGAAGTTACTTAGAGCTCCAGTGTCAACAATCTTGCATCCAGACAAACACAATTCAGTGAATAGGGTATTATTTAAATTTTCAAGTCTTGTTAACTGGTCGCCTTGAAATACCACTGATTTGATTTTAAGAAAATGAGTGAAAGGTTTTACCTCAATTCTTGAAAAGGGGAATGAATGATTAAATCAAAGCCTCATAAACCAATTTAATTCTTTGAAAAATTTATTGTCATTAATTGTGAATTGATTCATTTCATTTATATTCCTTGAAACTTTTGAGAATTGAGTGAAAAAATTTGAATCGATTTCAAGTTTTTTAATATTTGTAGCTAATAGACTGCTATACTTTGACATTTTTTTTGAAAAATAAAGAACTTGTACCAATGAAGTCAAAAGTTAAAAAAATGTTGTGTTGTTCGTCGAGTAGGTTCTATATTTAATTTCAGTTCACTGATTGAAGAACCAAAAATAATCAGAAACGTCCACTAGAAAACCACTAACATCAATAATAATCTGTTCCAAAACACTTGAGTTGAGAAGTATTAATAATTTTGTAAATTGATTCAAAACTTCATATTTATTGTCAAAACCTTGAATGTTATTTAGCCTTAAGAACTCAAAATTGGAAATTGAGTTATTGTTATAAATAATAAGATTGATTTTTTTGCAAATCTTTGGGTTTTTTTAGAATATCAAATAATAGATCAGAGGTCGCTTCATTCAATTCAAAAACATTTAAAGATAGTGTAAGATTTCGAACTAATTTTGTGTTTTCACGGCTATCTACTAAAAATTCCAAGCCCTCAAAATACAAAGTATCTTTTGGTATACTGAATGTTATGTTATTATAAGGATCATTATCATAGTTATCCTAATGATCCTCATAAAAGTGATTATTATTAACTTCATTATCAACATTATCAGAAATAAAGTAGAATCTTGATTTAATAGAATAACTGCAATATTGATAGTCTTTGGTAAGATGTATAAAAGCAGAATTATATAACTTTGAAACAGCACTTGATCCGTTGAGTGTGAGATTTGGTAGGGTAGATGAGAATTGAATATGTTATATTAAGAGGTGAGTATATCGTAGCTATAGTTTCAATATTGAATATAGATATGAATGTAAGTGTGGACATCAATATCAATATCAACATCAATATAGATATTCACTGCATTATTTATATGAAAGAATATGAAAGAAAGTATGAATCGATTATTTCGTTATTTACATTATTAGCTAAAAGTGTTTTTAGCCATTCGGTTTGCAAATATTTTGTTGAATTCATTGTAATTTCTATTAGTATAAAGAAAACAGTGCAGTTTGCCTAATAGTTATTGATACTTTTTGAAACGAACCATTTAATATCTGGTTCTTGAAAAATATTTCCAAATATATCAAGTGTATGTATGCAGTAATATGCAATATCAAGTTGGATGTGCATATTGAATCAATTAAAGAATATGGAACAATATCAAAAATGTGATTTAGGAGCTTTATTATTTTGTAAAATGAATTAAAGTGGTAAGGTTAAAACAGAAAAGACCTCTTAATAGTGTACTTTAAAATTCTCATGGTCTAATATCTGCTTTATAAAACCCTCTAACCTGGCTTATCTTTTGGATATTCAAGTCAACATCAATAAAACTAACGTATAGTTTTATAGTTTTTTGTTTTTTGTTTTTTTTAAGTAATACTTTATATTTTAGTATAATCAAAAAATCTAATTTGTTTGACATCTGTTGAATTTCTTTCGATGTGACTTTAAATTCAGCTCAACTCAATGTTTTTATAATCAATTCTTTTTCCTTTTCTGATATATACTTTGAATTGATCCCCAGTGGTTGAAACATCCCATTGATGGTTCTATTATTACTCCATGACAAGTCTTTCTAAAACGGATCTTCTTTAAAGGCAAACCCAAAAAAGTAGAATAGTTTGTCTCTGGAAATTAAAACATGGTTGAATATCTGAAAGTGGACACAGATTGCAAGTGGTGGACTAGCATAACAAAACAGGAGTGTTACTACTAGCACTAAAACATCAATTAACATCAAGAAATCAGTACCACCAAATAGTATTCAATATTGATTTAGATTCCAAACAGAAAAGACCAAAATAAACAACGAATAATGTCAAAACCAAACCTTTCTAATGAATTTTTAAAAAATTTCCTTAACGGAAAAACATGCTGGCATTTATTCCAAAATAATTGCATATACTTGCATATACTTTCATACAATCTACCATATTTACGGAACAAGCGTTTATTGGACAATTAAATTCATCTTTTTGTTCCTCTTCTGCTTCTTTTGCTTCTTTTGTTTCTTATGCTTTCAATGCAAACACAAACAAAGTGGTTGGGAATTGAAAGCATATAAACGATAACATCTATGTACAATTGGTTCATCTTGATCTCATTTTTTGAATCAAGTATCTGCATTATATCAAGAGGATGATGGGAGCTGAAAAAGCTGCTGAATTGTTAGTATTGTGGTGGTGGCAACTGTAGCACTTGCAACAAATGCCAAAAGAGAGGTAAGCGCTAGGGTATTGGATCAAGATGGTGTGCTATTTGAGCTGAATCAATAATAACAATATCCAATTGAGCCATTTACTTAAGTGTTACTCTGAGAGATGAGGCCACCACAAGAGCTATGCTTGAATCGGAATTGCAAAGAGATGATTGAAGATGATACTTCAAAACACATCACATTGAAGTTCTATTATTTTAAACAGCTATTGAATACTTCAGATTGATTATTGAATATTTTGTCTGATTGGAATACTACTACTATTCTCTTCTCTGTTATTGTTATTTCTGAACACTGCTACTTTACAACATGATTATCACAGATTAAATAATACATTTGATATATATAGGTTTTTCATTGAACGTAGTCCAGTCAAGTCCATATTTTATTATTGATTTTATTTGATGGGAAATATGTATATATAGTATTACCCAGAACAATACTTAATTGGATAAGAAAATACATTCATCAATATGTCTTCAAATGTGCTCCTACCTGGTTATCAAAATATATAAGCATATTGAGTTATTTTTATCCATTTAAATCTTTCTTATTACCAAACTAACATAAAAATTGATTTACTTAATACAATGGACTAGTTTCACACAATTCAAGCAAAATAGAACACCTTCAGCTTTTTTTTTATATTAGTATCGATTCATTTGAAACCACACAATTGTACAATTTCAATAAAATTTGTAGATTTGGAAATTTGATACTAAATAATCCAAATGATTTAAAGGATATTACAATTTGCTTTGGATATTCAAAGTGGAATAAGTTACCAGAACACTTTAAAACACCTTGTATTAAATCTCATAATCGACATAAAATTGGCCATATATACTCTGATGATTAATATGATCGATTGTATGAAAACTTGATTGATATAAACTTAGATCGTGCTTCATACTTTCTTAAATTTAATAGAAACAATTTAAATCATATTAATATCAGAAATATTGAAACTCCATTTAAAGATTTATTAAAAATTGTTTATGATAAAGTATATATAATTGGAAACTTTAATAATTGAAATAAATCCAGCTGCACTTATGGAAAGTTCGACATTTGGGGCTTCATAGTGCTGTTGATTGTGAATTAAAACAATATTGATGGTTTTTCAGTTACATTGACTATATAAGTTTGTGTTTTGATTACGTTTTTATGGTTTGCTGGACAGATGTTTTAGTAATTAAGAATGTTTGATACTTTACTACATCAAAAACCAAACATAGCGTTATTATCAGTACGATAAATCTACTATCACTGTCACTGCTGAATAAAGTTACTTTAAAACATGGGAATCACAGATCAAATTGTCTTTTTGATATATATGAACTCTTCATTGAGTATAATCCAGCCAGGACCATATTGTCCCAGTGGTTCCATTAGATGTTCAGTATCGTCACAGGTTATTATCCATCAAGAAGTCTTCAAATATGGTCATATCTGATTATCAAAGATACATAAATACTTTGAGTATTCTTCTTCCATTTATGTCTATCACCATCATTAGATCGACACGTTGATTGATTCACTTTACACAATGGATACCTATCAACTTTATAATGGAGAATCACATAATGATTCAGACCAAAAGCAAGCCATACGGCCACACAAACACTTTAATGATATGATTCCTTCTCAGTTGCTTAATATGATATTCAGCCAATTACCAATAGATAAATTGTGGCTATTCACTTTATCAGATTATATTTCAATTAAATTTTCAGCTTTATCATTACTATTCAAAAATATATTAGTGTCCAACCAGTTGTTTTACTATAAACAATCGTATTTACAGGTTTGTTTTAATCATTTATATTTATTCAAACCTAAAATATTACGATTTTGCAGAATTTTGAAAATATTCTTTGAAGATTCGGAGGAAGTGGGTGATTTTGATATCTTAAATCAATTGCTAGAGAATTTAAACAAAATAAAAAAACTTTACATTTTTGTTGAGGCTACTATTCCATTTGAAAGCAAAGTTTTGGGAAATATTGATAAAATTAATAAAATTGGAAAAGCAATATTAAATAATTCAAAAGATTTAAAAAATGTTACTATTTTCTTTGTACATCCAAGTTGGAATAAATCACCAAAAGCCTTATGACCTACTCTTAATGAATTTCACGATTTTCATACAATTGACCATCTATATTTTAATAATGCAAATGAGAAAGTCTATAAAAACTTAATTGAGGCGAGTTTTCTTTATGATTCATATTTTTTCAAATCAAATAAAAATATTTTTAAAGATTTTAGTATAAGAAGTATAAAAAATTTATTTTTAGATATGTTCAAAGTGACTGATGGTAAAGTAGTTGCAATGAAAAATTTTAGTGAATTCACCAATCCAAAGAAATTGACAATATCAAGCACAGAAATTAGTACTATAGAACATTTAGAAAAATTGAGGGATCTAGAATATTTGGATTTATCAAATAATTGGAAAATTAAAAAGATTGAAAATTTAGGTAATTTGCAAAACCTAAAAACATTAATACTAGGAACAAATATTCAAAACATTGAAAATTTAGACGAATTGATTAATCTAGAATATTTGGATTTATCATGTAATAAGAGTATTTTGAACATTGAAAATTTAAACAAATTGACAAATCTAGTATATTTGGATTTATCACATAATTGGAATATTAAAAAGATTGAAAATTTAGATACATTAGTTAAGTTGAAGGTCTTAAATTTATCATTTGATGACATCACAGAAATTGAAAACTTGGATAGATTAGTTAATCTCACAAACCTTAACTTTTCTGGGAATAGTATCACAGAAATTAATGGATTGTCGAAATTAACTGCATTGAATGAATTAAATCTTAGTGATAATTTGATTCATAAAATTCAAAATTTGTCCACTTTGGTTCATCTAACTACACTAGAGTTGCTGAATAATAAGATTACCAAAATTCAAAATCTATCAAAACTAACAAATCTAAAAGTTCTAAAGTTGAAAGGTAATAAGATTGATAAAAAAGAAATGGAAAACATATTGAAACGCTACAGCAATTAGTTGGTGATGATTTAGATTGTTCTGATAACCAACCACATGATAAAAGGTTTAATATTATGAAAAACAGGCCAGGCTTGTTTGACAAGTTACTTGAAATTAAAGGTAAAGGATTGTTGAATTGATATTTTCAAAATGTTTGGTGATGTTGATTTGAAAAACAATACACTTTATTTTATTTTTGTTTTGACAGTAAGTATATTTATTATTAAAACAAAGTACTTATTGAATTTAGAACACCAATATCAGTTTTATAATTGGTGAAAATCAGAATTTAGTGTAGAAACGTTTTATTTGTCTTTTTCCATAAAAAAAAGCTGTTAATACAAATAAAATAGTGAAAATGACATTTTTCTAGAAAATTTATCACAAAAAAACTACAATTGAACTGGATCGTATAAAACATTATTAAAAGTGATACTACTTTATAGGTTGATTGGTTTTGATTCCATCAATCTGGTAAGTGATATCAATGAAAAATGTTTTTGATTGTTGTTTATAGTTTTTATTACTGAAATTGGAATTGAATCAAACAATGATGAAAACAACCATGTATAGCAAGACAATAAAACAGTAAGCCGTAGTTGTCAATTTTCATTACTTTATGACTGAATGGGTTAATAATTAATTCACTCCTGCTATGCTAGCATATCAATGTGATAGTACATTTAAGCATATTCTGCTTGGTCTGCTTATTTTGAATTGAATATGAGGGTTTGCAATGAATTTGTTGACTATGAATATGAATTGCTTAAATTAAAGTGGTTTCAAGAAATGTTTAAAATGGAGTAGTTCCGTGACCGTATACGGATTCACCGTACACCGTAAATCGTAAAATCCGTTAAAACATGTACATTAAGGTATAATAATGCATGTTTTACATGGAAAAACATAAATGCACTGAATTACGCACACATTTGCTTTTTGACTCAAATCATTTTTGTTTTATTTTTTTGGTTGAGATTATATTTCTAACCAATCGTTCAAAATGTTTCAAGATATTCAGGATACTCAAGAAATTCAAGCTGATAAACCTATTTTTAATCGCATTGACATTTCCAGTACTATCGTTAGTATTGGTGTTCAAAGTATTGATAATGAGATCAAGAAAAATAAAAATAACTGATTCTGATCTATATCAAATTAATGACAGAAAACAACTTTCTGATTTGTGCTTTGAGAATGTCTTTTACTATGAAAACTTCGTTCACAGATAATATTTTCAGTCAATTTTTGAATATGAAATCGTCAACACAATGTAAATGTTCAGTTTTGGGCTGTTAATTATGAATAAATTCTGGCTGGAAACTTTTGATCTAATTAATTATAGAAATTTTGATTGGAAAAATGTATATAATAAGGAGTTAACGATAAAACTTTTATTAAGGATTTTTGCTGTTCAATGTAACAAGTTCTATTTATTAGAAAAAGATTGAAAAAAAAACATAAGATGCTTTTTAATTTTGAAACAAATAAAGAATGGTTGTGTGCAATCATTTAACATTTGATAAATGAATGAATTGAAGAAGTTAAGAATTTAGTAAAATAATCTCTCAATTGCGGTATATTTAAAAGTTGTCTTGTATCTGCAGTGGTTTTGTTGAAGATTTTGGAGTTTCAATATTTTTTTGAATTAAAAATTATATTTTAACAATTGCTTCTACATTTTAAAATAGACTATTATTAATTTCATCAATCAATAATTTTGCAGTTAATTTTCTAGTAATTTCAATTTTTTGAGATTCGAATATTATTTTAATGGTGAGAAGATATTAACCTTTTGTCCCTGGAATTATCTTGATATTTTATGGTTAAAACAAAGTTTTTTTTAATAAGTTTTAGTAACGAACCAAATTAATTAAATTTAATTGCATATCAACTTCAAAAATAAATAATATTGCTTTATCTCAATTACGATTCAATTTTTACTAATCTCTTATGTTTCAGGAAACAACTAAGTTGTCTTTTATACCTTAATGTTATATTTTATTACTTGGGGTTAATTTTCTTCTATGGACTTATGACAAATACAAATATTTCCGAAAACTTTTATTTAATGGATTCTACAATGTTGTAATAATTAAATTGGTCCTTTTTTAAAAAAATTATTTTTAATGGTTTTTTTTGTTTTGCCATCAGATTTTTTACAGTCATTTTTTGAAACAGCATTTTTATTCTTTTCTTGTGTTTTATTTTCTTTTTAAGAATTCGTTGTTTTATTCTTAAGATTGGTTTTTGTTTTAGTGAAAATATCAGGCGATTCTAAATTTTAATCTAAATTATTTTAATATAATGTTCTAGATATTTCTATAGATATGGATTTAAGAAAAAATGCAGTTCGTTATTATGACTGTTCAATATTATGAATATTTTTTCAAACTATAAAAATTATAGTTATATTAGTTAAGATATTATTGGTGAACAACTCAATCAATTATTTTTTAGATTTTTTTTTCAAGATATTTTTATAATACAATTTATGGGAATCTTATATTAAATTCTCTGGTTTGTTCAAATAGGCGTCATTTTTGAACATATTTTAAATAACCATTTGTATTTGCATGTTATAACAAGGAGTTTTTGGCAATTTCAGATGGTCGTAAATTAGAAATCGAAAAATAAGAAAAAAACAATAAGGACTTTTAGCAAGTTTCACAAGTGAAAACTGAATCGCATTAACCATATATATTCCATTTTACAAATATTCTTTTTTTAAAATCTCTATTCTACTATTTAAAGAACAATGCCTACAGATAACTCGTGTTGCTTATCATAGTAAGTCCTTTATTCAATTCTATCAATGAGAACAATAACCAAAATGATAATCAAAACAAGCTTTAAAAATAAAAGCATGAAGTGTAAAAAATGAATCTAAATAATCCAATTTTAATAATAAAGCAAATTGTGTGAAACTATAGTAATTTGGATAGGTATTCCAAAACATCGAAATTAAGACAGAAGTGGTAAAGATTAAAGAAAAAAAATAGAATCATAACCCAAGAAATAGAAAAGATGCATCAAAAAAATGGTAAAAAAATAAAAATAAAAATAAAAATAAAAAATTAAACAGAAAAAAAGATGGGAAATGCCACCACAATATTTTGTTACATCATTCGTACTCATCAAATGAAGGAATATCTAGATGAAAAAATGGGAAATTGGTTGCAGTAACTGGAAGATGAGCCAATGTAGCTTCTTGGTCTAATTGTTTAATTTGATTAGTAACATTGAAATATAAAATCTCATCTCCTCTCTCTGGAACAGAAGAACGGTTTTCAGCATCGACATTTGCTTTATTTTCTTCAGAATTGTATTGAAATTTATCAATACCAAAACCTCCAGCAACTAAAGCTCTTTTAATCCAAGGTGATAAAATGTTTGCAAAATGAAATTCAACTTCATTATGATTGGTGTAAATTTCAAGAAACTTTTTGAGATCAATTAATGATTGTAAACCAGTGGAGTCAATTGAAGTGACTGAATTGAAATCAAAACAAATTGCTTTTAATAGAGGTCTTGGATCATTATCTTCTTCTAAAACCTCAGAGGCACCTGATGTTGCATCATTTTTCTTAAACTTCTTGAGAGTAACCAAATCAACAAATGCTTTTTTTCTTTCAACCCAATTGAATGGACCAGGATCATTCCATGGTCTATCGGCAGCTTTAGCATATTTTAATGATATGCCTGGTCGTGTTTTCTCTTTTGCTTCAGCAAGAAGCAAGTCTAACTGGGCAGAACAGTTTGGATAAGTAAAAGCTTCAGACGGTCTGAAGACCAAAACACCTTGAGGAGGTGGTAAAACTTCAATTTCTTTATTGATGTCTCTTTTATTGAGTGGAACCCATCTAGTGACAAATTGGACATCGGAGGAATCAAAAGATTTTGTGATTTCTGTATTATAAAAGTGAACATCGTTAGATTTGATGGTTGAAGATTTCTTATCAAGATTTAGAGAATGATTTGAGGATTCGTTTTCAATTAATACGTTTTCCTTTTCTTCGGAAAAGATTTTTGGATTGATAACTTGAGCATATTTTATTCTTCCCAAGAAAACCCCATTTGGTTTGGCGATTTTGAAAAGCAAGAAAGCCAAACTACAGCAAATTGTGAAATAGATACCATTTTCAATACTGGTAAAGATGGAAATGAGAACACCTGTAATAAAGATAAAACAATCCAAGGGGTTTGATTTCCATAAGAAAACAGGGACTTTGTATGAACTGACTAAGTCAGCAACAGCATGAATGATAATAGCACTAAGACCAGCTTTAGGAATGAAGTAGAAGGCTTCAGTCAAACAATACAAAGCTAGTAAGACGACAATACCAGTAAAGACACCAGCCAAAGGAGTTCTAACACCACATCTGTTTTTCAAAGCCGACCTTGAAAATGAACCAGTAGCTGGGTAAGCCATAAAGGCAGTACCGATTAAATTGTTGATACCAATAGCAATAATTTCTTGATCAGGATTGATTTTATAGTTGTTAACTCTACCAAATGATTTTGCAATTGAAATATGTTCCAATAGTAAAATAATGGTAGAGACAGGGATATCAGCACCCATATCAGCAACCACATCGGGATAGAATTTGAACTTTCCAACACCCTTTAAACCACTTGGAACTTCTCCTAAAAGTTTCAATTCAGAGCCTGGATGGGTTCTATTGACAGCCCATGCAAATAAGGTTGCAAAAATAATAACAACAGCATTTCTCAAAGTTTGGATATAAAAAAAGGTTCTTTCCTTTTTGGGGTATCTTTTTGAAAGATAGGCACAGGAATATTTCCAAAAGTACAATATGAATAGAGAAACCAAACCAAAAGCAGCATTGATATTTGTCAAACCCAAATGTTTTAGTGTTTTAATGATCAACATATAGGTTGAGTCTTTGTTGGAGACCTTGCTGCTGTAACCCAACAAACCCGCACATTGACCGGAAACAATGTTGATGGCACTGGCAGTCATGAAACTGAGAATGGAAGAAGTATTGATAAATTCAAGAACAAAACCCACTCTTAAGAGACCAAGAGCAGCACATATGATACCGGTAATAAGCGAGAAAGTAGTTGCAACAATTTCTGGATGCTCGCTATAAATTAGATTGTTGGGATGGTGATCTTGAAGACGAGAAATGACCTTACCGATTTGCAACGACATGACTGCAACAGGACCAATACTGACATCTTTACTAGTTGCAAAGAAGCAATAAATCATAACACCGACAAAAGAAGAGTATAAACCATACTCTGGGGTCAAGCCTGCCAATTGAGCATAGGACATGGACTGAGGAACAATAACAGAACCTACAGTGATACCGGCAATCAAGTCAGAATAAAGCCATGTTGAGTTGTAATGCAAGATCCATCTGGAAATAGGAAACAACGAGATAAGATAGTCCTTAACAGCAGTGCCGAAAGATCTTCCGCTAGAAAGGTTATGGAACCAATCTGGTATTGTTATGGGGCTTTCGCTGTACTCCAAAACATTTAAATTGTGGCCTTCTCCAGCCTCACTTGGTTTTCCTGCTGAAACCTCTTGGACCTCATCCACCTTAGACATCTTGCAGTTGTGTTTGAACGAGCTAGAGAGTGTTTTTTGCAATGCACTTTTCGAAGGAAAGAAAACAGATAGAAACGGTTATTCAGCAATGTTCTTTGCTTCTTTTGCTTCAAGAAAACCAGAGAAAACAGGAAGAAACGAATTGTTTTTTATAGTAAAAATTTCAAAAGAACTAACAAAAATTGGAATCATACCTTTTAACAGCCACTTTTATAAAAATTCATCGCCATACACCACTGAATTCAGCATCCCAATTTTCGCTTATGAAGAAATTGGCAATAATGCACCACACATAGTACGACTTCACGTGTCCTTGTGGTATTTTCGAGGAGAAACAGCCACAGCTATGCTGGTTTTGCTCCGACCTGACACATAAACGCGGGTACATGCTGGTTAACGGCAGCTGTAAGCAGAAGAATGCAGCTGTTTTTTCCAGAGACGCTTTTGGTGGAGCCCACAACAGCAGCTGTAGCTGGGGATGGAACAGCAATAGAATCAGCTTGATCCACACCTTCACAGCATTGCTCGATCGGCCATCAAATTAGCACTGTTTTAAAAGAGTGTTAGTGAAACTAGCCCAAAAAAAGACTTTGGCAAGCTTTTTGCGAAACGCCGAATGGAAAGGATTTCGATGGCAAAGGTGCACTCTTTGCTCTTACCTAGAAGTATTTTCGTTCTTCTTTTTGAATATCCGCCTGGTGATATCCCTGTTTCCTGATATCGATATCGATTTGACAGATGCTTGATGCTTGTTTGTTTGAGTTTCAAGTAAATAATACCCATTTACCAGTCAAGCTTTACGGAGAAAACCTGAGAATTCTGGGCAAGTCAATTGTCTTATCCATCCTATGCCACAACACTATTTCAGCTCAAGACACACTAGCCATCTTGTAACAAAATATTTGTAATTCATCAGCCAATTCAATTACCAGAATGGGATGATCTTCTGACAAGCGTGCCATTTATTGCCCTTTTCAAAGCAGCTTCACCACAATCTTGAACTTTCATGGTATATTTTGGGAGTGTATGAGGCTAAAATTATATGATCTAAAAGATCCCTGTGGCTCATGCAATCCACAGTTGACACAGTTTTTCAGGAACAGTCTCCTGTCCTGATCTTCGCTTTCTATCTCCCCAGTTGATGGAAACAGCATTGTGTTTATTGTCACCACTCTCTAAACACTTAATGGCTGCCACCGAGCACAGCCATACCACTATCTATTGGCCTACTTGTTGGATAGCTATTGTTCCCAAGTAGACCCTACTTGAATTATGTCAAAAAAAATGATGAAAAAACACAATACCATTTGAATTGTAATATTAATTTTTCCACTATTCGGATTTGTTGAACAAGTTTTTTTTCATAAGAGAAAAAGAAAATTTTTGGTAAACTAATTTCACCTCATTAGAGCTGGAAATCATAACCCTCAATAGTTTACCACCAGTATCCACTCCCATGGAAACTATATATGCATGGCACTGCAAAACCAAACCACAACTGGGCTTTTAGTCTGGTGATATGGTCACGTTTAGAGTTAGACATGCCGGAAATTCTTGAAATATATAAAGGCAGCAGAAGCAGCTGATTGGTGAGGTTTTGATTGTTGGGGTAAAATTCTAGAGTTTAAAGAGCAAGTGGGATCGAATAAAAAAACAGTTGATCAAAAAGATTAATTAATAAAAATTGGAATTTGAACAGCTTATTGAATAAATATTTAACTATATTCTAATTGAATCGTTTATTTAGTTCTGTTTTGCATTCAAGTTTACAATTGGTACTGCACATAATTTCAATGAAGGAAACTGGTCTTTTGATAGTTGGACAGCTTTCTTACAAGATGATTGCTCTCAAATAAAATCTAACCCACTATCGACTTTACACTAAAATAATTCATTCAAGTGCAATATCACCAAAACAAGCAATCAGTTTAAATAAAGCTTGGAACATTCGCTAAAAAGAAAAATTCGGCTATTTTTTATTTCAAATTAACTAAAAACAATTTTAAGAACCAATAATTGCTTTCAATTGGTCTTCATGGTATATATATATCATTCTTCCTCCACTTTCCGCTTACTCTTCCATATTTTCACTATCTTTCTTTGTCTCACATGAATGATGGTTGAAATAGAAAAATTGCGACAAATTGAATTTTATTTGCAGTTAAAAGCCTTTTGTAAATTCTAAAATAACCTTGGATCTAATATCTTATTAGCGTAGAAATCTGGGTTTTCCTTCTGCTGTTGATGTTCTTGATAATCGATTTTCTATGGAGAAGTTCATCAAGGAAAACTTGAGCATTATGCATTTGTGCATAAATCATACATCAATATACCTTCAATTCTAAGGTTTCAACTATACATCAGTATGCTTCTAGTGCATACAATCACGTGCCTGAATGAGGCCCAACTGTAAATGGAAGAGAACTGTCGATTTTGCTGTGAAAACTATCTTCGAATCGGAGCATATCAATTGATAAACACTAATACTCCTCTCATTCATCAATATATTGATCTCTTACATCTACGATTATTAACAAAATGATGAATGTCAGAGGATTAAATCTTATTAGAAATACCTTGTTGAAAAATAATTACTCAAAGTTGGTCTATATAAATCATCACTTCATAAAGACCGATTTAAATGTAAGATCAATCTCAACCACTTCAATTGTCTTTGATAATAATAATGATAATGATAATAAAAATCATGAAAAAAATCATCAAATAAACTCAAATAAATTCAAGAGATTAGCTGCTTTAACAAATTACGTAAACAATATAATATCTAAAGATTCAAAAAATGAAATAATTCAGGATTCTTTAATTATTGAAACAATTAAAATTTGTAACGACCAAATTAATTCAGATTCAACGAACTCAAATGATGAATTGATTTTAAACGACTTTATTACTAAATTGCTTAATTTAAAATCCCTTGATTTAAATCTTATAAATTTCAAAAAATTGGTATTGCTAAACAACGTTATTGAAAACTATCACAATAAAAATTTTAAAGTCAACTACACTTTTATTAACCAGTTAATTACCAGCTACCAAAAGCAAAATCCTACAAGGCCTTTACCCAATAATCTCATTACAATGATAATAAGATTTTCCTTGTTTGAAAATAATATCGAAGAGTCATTGAAAATTGTCGACAAAATTACAACCGAAAAAAATTACATCAACACACGTAAAACTAAAATGTGGAATAGCGTTGGAATAACTGTTGGTGGGTTGTTTGGTGTTAGCACAACCATTGAACTAGTTGCAAATGCGTTCTTCAAGGAATATTTTTTCGGTGTTCATAATACTATTTTAATGCTTGTTCCATATCTCCTAAATATTAGTATTTTATATTCAATAATGAAAATCAATAGAAATCATAGCACTGGTAATGTCAGTGTCTTGAAATACAAAGATGGTACAGCACCTACTTATAGTTACATTTACTTAAATCAAATGAAATTTTACTCAATAATCTTTGAGAATGATAGAAAAATTAACAGTGGTCTTGACAAAGATCCTCGAAAAGCCATTGTTAATAGATTGGTTAAAAACAACTTTGTTCCTTTGCCCAACGAAGAAGACTTATTAGTTGATGAATATTGGATCACAAAAGGCGAGAACTTCGAGTGGATGGACCCAGATCAAGATCCTGCTGAAATCATTTACAGAAATTATTTAAAAGATCGAAAATTGGCCTTTTTGCCCAATAACACTTCCACTGATAATAAAAGTTTGGACTGGACTAGAGAATTGTTGATTGAGACTCCAAAGACCCAATAAACGCCAAGTTGTCAAAACAGCAATCCCTCCACCACTGTATATACAACCAATAGACAAATTTTCAATAAATACATTATATAATCCCATAAAAACCCAAAATGCTTTACTTTACTTCTTCAGCACACTTTATTCTCTGTGAATATTCTCCAAATTCAGATTCAATGAACCAAAACCCACACGTGACCTACAGGTCAATTTTAAGGGAAAATTTTCTTCTGGAATTGTTCACTCCATTTGACATTTCACATCCACAGAGGTTAAATATAGACTAGATACTACATCTTCACATAAAAATGGCTAGAGTTTTTCTTTCTTCTATTACTAGAGCTGCACAGTGTGCTAACAGATCCTTTATTGCACCAAGAGCTGCTTTGGTGCCAACCTTCAGATCCTTCCCTCAATTGAGTTATAGACAATCTTTGCAGCTCTCCAAAAGACACTATTCTAGCCAAACTGATAATCAACAAAAAGCAGATGCCACAACTGCTGAAAAGGAAACCACGGGATCCTCTGAAACCACAGAATCTGGAAAACCTGCTGAATCTACTGAATCTGCTGAGAAACCAGCTGAAGAAGCAAAAACCGACGAAGCACCCAAAGCCGAGCCAAATGAAGATGCTAGTGACGAGCTTTCTACACTATCAGTTGAAGAATTGGTCATCAAGTATAAAGACTGCGAAGGTAAATATTTGAAGAAAGATAAAGATTTTGCCACCTTAAGAGATCATTACATGAGATCTTTAGCTGACTTTAAAAACTTGCAAGAAACTACAAAGAAAGAAATTCAAAATGCCAAAGATTTTGCCTTACAGAAACTTTGTAAAGATCTTGTTGAGAGTATCGATAATTTTGGACATGCTCTTAATGGTGTCGACCTCAAATCTCTTGATTCAAATCAAGAAATGAAAGATTTTTATGACGGTGTTAAAATGACAAGTGATATATTTGATAAAACTTTAGCTAAATACGGTTTGCTTAAAATGGATCCTGTTGGCGAGAAATTTGATCCAAATAAACATGAAGCTGTTTTTGAGTTTGTTCAACCTGATAAAGAACCAGGTACTGTTTTTCATGTTCAACAAATTGGCTTTTCTTTAAATGGTAGGGTGATTAGAGCTCCAAAAGTTGGAATTGTTAAAGCAGAGCCAAAACCAAAAAATAAAAGTACTGAAAGTACTGAAAATACTGAAAATACTGAAAATACTGAAAAAAAAAATAAACTTTCTTGAGTAAATTCTCTGATGATTAATTTGTTATTCTTTTTTAAACAGCATTTGTGATTGTTGTTATTGTTCTATTTAGCAATTATTCCCTTTTTTTTCTATTGAAACGATTTTTTTGATGACTTATATTTTTATATTGAAAAATAACTTTACTTGTAAATACATATTATACTACGTCTTGTTAGTTTTTTCTATATTTTAGAATACTTTTCTGGAAAAAACAACAACTTCTATTTAAAATCATTTATTAGCTCATTTTTACATTGAAATGTTATTCGGCTTTTTTTACTTCAATAACTAATCTATAAAGTGTAGATGAGTAACTACTTTTTTTTTTTGAATGAAAAACAATAATAAAGGAAACAAGAAATAAAAATCAAATTAAAAAAAAATTGAGAACTCAAAAAAATTAAAAAAAAAATTAGAAACAAATAAATGTGTTTTGAGAAACAAAAGCAAGTAAAAATCAAGTAAAAATCAAGAAATGAAATATAGTGAAAATCAAAAAAAATTTCAGCAAATAAATCAAAAATAGAACTGTCATCAATTATCTTTTTTATATAATTAATATTGGTTTAAAAAAAAAAGTCATGAACGAGTTAGAATTTTAATTGAATGGATTTTTTTTCTTTAAAAAACTTTAGAATGTGTTTCTTTAACTTTTAACTTTTTTCAAAAAAAATCAAAAAAAACAAAGATGCTAACAACAAGAATATGGATACGATAAAAAAAAAAGAAAGAAAAAATAAAACAACTGTTATTGTTTTGTTTAAGACCAAAAACTAATTTGCCAGTTAGTTCACTGAAAAATTTCTCAAGATAAGATGTTCAAACTGACTATATAATATTTGAATATTTTGTCCCCAATCACCGATTATATTCATGTCGACATCCTTTTCTAATTCTTCCAAATTTAAAATATCTTTGTGATCTGCGACAGAAGAGTAATCTCTTCTTAGTTCATTCAATAACTCAACCAAATTATCTCTAATAAATGTTTCAGGGTATCTTGTAATATCATTCATAGACAGGTATAGTAATGAATTAAAACTGGAGTTAATAAAATCAATAATTGTGTTTGTTCTTTCAATCTGACTTTGTGAATTGGCAATTATGTCTGATAATTTTGCAAAATCGATATTAATATGATTTAAGCCTGAAGAAAATCTTAAGTCAGGCATATTTGGTTGAACAATCATATTAAAACGAGGGGTTTGTTGTTGAAAAGTTACGTTTCCAGGAGAAAAATCATAACTTCTCCGTTTGTGACTGGGTCTTCTATTTGTGTTTCCATGAGGTTGGTTACCATGAATTGAGTTGCCACGATTATTATTATTATTATTGCTGTTGTTGTTATTGTTATTATTGTCATTATTGTTATTGTTATTATTAGTAAACCTTGGAGGGTTTGGAGGTAAGACTTGCATTCCCATTGAATTATAGGGAAAGTGGCTATATGGTAAAGCAATTGGGATTGCATTTGGCGGGATATTGGGATATGGAACAGAATAGCTGTTTGAACGCGAATAAGTTTGAGGTGGAAGAAGAGGTGGACCAGGAGCAGATGGAAAATTAATTGGAACCTGGGGAGTTTGTGGCAGGTCATTAGGAGGATTCATGATAATAGAAGAGGGAGAAGAAGAAGGCTCTTGTTCTAATGGTGGTGGAGGGTATGAAGCAGGATATGGATTGAGTGGGTAGTAAATGGGAGGATAAAAAGATTGAAAAGAATTTGAGTTTCCAGTGATTGAGCTTGTAACACTGCTAACACTATCTCTTCTAGCCATTTCGTTATCTCTAATTCCGAGAGAAGATCTACGACGTTGAGCAAAAGAAACATGGATTTTCGAACTTTCGACAGAAGCTTTATCCATTTCATTTAAAGCTAGATAGGCACTTTCTCTACTTTTAAAGCAAACAAAACCATAACCTTTACTTGAACCGTCATCTTCAGTCATAATTTTTGCAGATACGATTTCACCAAATGGTTCGAATAGTTGAGATAATTTTTGGTCATCGATAGATAGAGGCAAATTTTTGATATACAAATTATTTAATTGGTATTCCGATTCAATAGGTTTGAAAATTGGAAGAGCGAACTGAGGATGGATTTGTTGATTTGAAATAAATCTTTGGTTTTGAAGATTAGCTAATGGGTTAAAAATGACATTATTAGATCTTGGAACAAAAGAGTTATCGACTAGAATTTGAGAATGAGTGGTGGTGGTGGTGTTGTTGTTCTTATTGGGAGTTGGAGTATTTGTGATATTGTTATTGAAGGGGTCATTTGAGGATATAGATAGTGGGTCGTCTAAATTTTGAATTGAGATTGGGCTTTGAAGCTTCGAGTTTCTTTCTTCACGGCTTTGGGCTCTTGAGACAGAAATAGTGGAGCCATCTATTACAGAGTTGTTCAAGTTGTGTAGAGCATTAACAGCATCTTGGTGGGATTCGAACTTTATAAAGCCAAAGCCTTTTAAGAAGTGGTTATTTTCGATGGTTGGAAGATGAACTGATTTAATTGGGCCAAATTTGGAGAAGATTTTGATAATTTCATGTTCAGTTTTGTTTTCAGGCAAGTTTTTGATGTATAAATTTTTGAAGTTTTTTTTTTCAACTTGGTATTTCAATTGTCTTTCCTTTTTTGAGATGTGATGGTTTAGGTATAGTCTTTCGTTGGTTGAAGGATCTAGGATTTTGTTTGTGAGGTTTGCTATTGCATCCTTTGCAGCCTTTCCACTTGAGAAGTTGACAAAGCCGAATTTTTTGCTGATGCCCTTGTCGTCCTTCATGATTTTACAGGAGAGGATTGAGCCAAAGGGGCTACATAAGTCGTCAAGGTCGAATTTAGTAAAGTTTAGAGGGAGGTTTTTGATGTAGATATTACCTGGGTGAGAAGCAGTTTCGTAGTCGAGAGTTATTTTAAAGTCGTCGTCAGAGTTTTTTGATTTTATGAGTTTTTGAATTTGTTCTTCAGCGGATTCAGCGTCATCTTGGTTGAAGAATTTGATTTTTGATATTTTTCTTGATAGTTTTTGAGGTTCATTGGTTGTGTTTTTTGTAGGGGAGGGGATTATATAGGGGTCGATAATGTCGTTTGAATAGATTGAGTGTTTATCGTAGTTCAAGTCAAAGGGGGGGTTTTCATTTGAGATGATTTTGTTGATGATTTTGTTATCGTTGTATGTATTTTCATAGATATCTTTGTTATCATTATTAGCGTTATCATTATTGTCGTTGTTATCATTATTATCGTTATTATTGTTATTATCGTTATTGTCGTTATTGTCGTTGTTATTATTGTTGTTATTATTATCGTTATTATTATCGTTATTATTATCGTTATTATTGTCAATGTAGTAGATTGGGTTAAATCTTTTCAATATATCTTTAATTTCTAAGTCGTGTTGGTCATCTATGGTATTTGATTCAATGGTTAGGATGACAGATGAGTTTGTAGGAGTTATTTCAGTTGTGGGGGTTGAGAATCTAGGGGGGGAGTCGTTATCATTAGTGGTAGTGGTTGTGTTGTTGGAAGAGATTTTGGGATGGTTTAGATTAAGATGGTTGAAGGAGGAGTTTAGATTTATGGTTAAATTTGAGGAAGAAGAGGTAGAAGAAGAGGGATGATTTGAGTTTGAATTTGAGTTTGGAATTGGAAGTGGAAATGAATTGGAAGCAGGTAATGTTTTATCATTATCATTATCATTATTGTTGTCAATGTGATTGTCATTATCATTTTCATTATTATTATCAAAGTCGTTGTTTTTAATGTTTTTTTTATTGTTGTTAATAGTATTATTAATATGATTTTGATTTTTATTTTTATTTTCGATAGGATTTTTCGATTTGGACATAATTAAAAGGCTCAATTTTGTTAGTAAATTTATTAGCAATTTAATAGTGATTTTAGTAGTGTTTTGTTAGTGTTTTGTTAGTGTTTTGTTAGTGTTTTGTTAGTGTTTTATTAGTAATTTTAATAGTAAAATTTGTTTGATAATCAAATTAATATTGATAAATATATATATGGATTTTAATTGAATTGAAACCAGGTAGAAATAAGTTTTAATGCGAGCAAAACTAGAAGGAGAAGTTTAAAACGAGCTTCGAACCCAGTAAGAATAGCAGAATTGGTGAGGATTATAGAATATTGCAAAAGGTGATGGAACCAAGAGAGTCAATAGAACCAATAGGAAGAATTGGAAATAAGAGGAAAAAAAAGAGATAAAAGAATCAGCCAAAAAACACTGGAGAATCAGTAAACAATCGATGGAAAAAAAGGAAAGAAAGAAACCAAAAAAAAACAACAAAAAAACAAAAAAACAAAAATGAGAACCAACAGGCAAAAAGACAAGAGGAAATAATATTATAGTAGATATAATATTGCGATTGGATATCAAATGGAAGAGAATCGAGAATTGAATTGAGTGTATATCCCCTTGTGAGATAGGTGAGAGATGCACTATAAGCTCTGGGAGCGATGATTGTTTCGTATTTGTTTGGGCAAAGTTTAAATCTTCTTTCGGACGAGGGAAACGAGAACCTGGGCAGAAAAAGCCCAGGAACAAAGGCAGCAGCGGCAGCACAGGAAGCACGAGCAGCAGAAGCAGCAGCAGAGCCAGCAGCAGCAGACTGGGGAAGCGCTGGAGAGCCAATGAGCAGCAGCAGCAGCAGTGGCAGCTCAAGCATCTTGCGCGTCTCCGCCACCATCGAACTGCGGTTGTTGCTGCTGCTGCTTCTGCTGCTTCTGCTGCTCTTGCGCGTGGCGAGTGCTGGGTCCGAGCAGCAACACACCGCCACAGCAGCACAAACAGCACACGCACCACACGCACCTTGCTCTTGGCCAATCGCAGCCCGCAAAAAACCCGCTGCGTCTCGGCTGCCCCTGCGCAGGCCCCGCCATATTCAAACGTTGCACACCAGAAGCGGAAGGGCCCTTTCAAAGCGCCGTCGTTCCGGGCATTGTTCTGCGTGATGAGAGCATGATGAATGCGTAATGAATGCGTTTGCTGGGCGATAGGCGTGAGAAACGGAACTTTAGAAAGATTGTCGTTAAACAAAACAAGAAATACAAAACTTTGCTGCGAAAACACACAGCAATTCGATGCCAGCCAAAGACTACAATCCCAAACAAAAGCAAAACTAGAACAAGAACAAAAACAAAAACCTGGCATCTCATTCAAAACCAGAGGAGCTTGCACTCGCAAAAACTCACTAATCTACCACTTAAAAGACAACAAGTCCCATACCTGCGACAAAACACAGCATTAGCAACCCAGTGATTGTCATCTCGGCCAACGACTGTTTCTTGAAGGGCAACAAAATCACTGCTTCGTTGCTAGAGCTTGCTGATTCACTGGCTGAGGCATTGGTAGCTGTTGAGTCTCCACTGTTGGATCTGGATGACCTTGCTGTGCTTGTTTTTGATGATGCACTGATAGTGCCCAATCCATCTGTTCCTGCTGCTGATAAAATAGACTTGCATCCTGATTCTGTTGTTGCATCGCTGTTAATGCTGGCAGATCCATCAAACAGACAGGCTGACTTGGACTTGTCGTTCTCAACATAATACAAGTTCAAAATAAACGATAGCTTCTCCTTTGCTGAACAAAACGAATATGATCCATACTGTCCTGTGGTACCATTGCCTGTTACTCCATCGCATGCAATTTGCCCACACACATAATCAAACAATTCCTCATAATCGCTCTCATCAACATCTTCACTCACAACACATGATAATGATTTGGACATACAATCGCATGTATCTTGATCTGGTGTAGGTGGGATTTGAGTATTAGCCTTCCAATTTGAATCCTGCGTGGGACATGACAACTCAACTGATGTTGGTGTATATTCACTGGATTTGTACGTCACCATTGTTAAATCGTCTATTTGGCTCTTCAAATTGTTAAAGTCACTCAATGTAGACACCTTATCATTCTTTATTGTAACCAACCCATAGTTATTAGTCTCCTCAAAATACATATAGACAATACCTCCTGACCAAATATCCGTCATATCTTCACCATAAATAGTTGGAACTTCTTCGAATTTTCTGGGAGTAACCTCATTACACCCATATTCTGAGAAAAATATTGGCACTGACAAGTTCTTAAACTCATCGGTTCTATCAGAGTATCCTGATTCCTTGAACGACGAACTACCACACCATTCGTACATGTTGATTCCATAAAAGTCAGACTTCTCATCCTCGTCCCCACAGAGAAAATAATTTGCTATTTGAACTCGAGTGTCAGCATCATCATTCGACGAATATCCAACTGGAATCTCTCTGTATCCTGCTGACTTAATATACGCTTTAGTGTCTCGAACTGCTGCCTTGACAAACGCTGATGCATCAGTATTAGTATTATCATTAGTAACTTCATTTCCAGCAAAATAACCCAAAACATTCGAATATCCAGACAATTGATCAACAACAGCTTTATACCTCTCAAACAATTCAATGTTCCATGATGGATTCGATCTATCAACCGAAACACCAGGCTCTGATAAATCCGCAATAACATAAATACCTGCTTCATCTAAAAGCGACATACACTCGTCATGGTCTAATGTTGTATTAACAGCATACACTCTAATAACATTTGTGCCCAATTCTTCTAAATATGGAATATCTCGCTTGCAAACATCAACGTCTGCTAATGGATCAATAATAGTTTGTCCGGTTGTAATATTTGCTGTGTCGGCTTGATATGCAATCCCTTTCATCAAGAATTGAGATCCATTGGGATAAAAAAATTTATTACCATAAATACTGATCTCTGGTAGTTCAGCTAATGTTAAACCAGTTAGCATAGCCAATGAGTATAAAACTTTAGTGAAAATCATTTTTAATGATGACAATAATAATAATATTAATATAAAATAACTTAATTAAAGAAATTTGATTAAAAGAATTTGATTATGTTGTTTTTTTTTAGTATATTTTTATATTTTTAGTCTTTTTCGTATGGAATTTCTTTTTCAACAAAAAGAAAAAAACAACCAAATATAGTGATTAAAGGAATTAAAGTATTTGTAATAAAAGCACTTGTAATAAATTTAATATATTTCAATCGACAAATGCCAATCTAAATAATTAAGACTTTTTAACAATAAAACAAGACTTGTCAAGAAATAAACTATCTTTTTAACAAAGACTGCCTGATTAATAAGAAAACGCCAAGGGATGATTATAATAAAAACGAATGTACCCAAGAGATGCAAAAATTTTACCAAGCGAAATGAAGTGCGTGTTACCTTTTTAACGTTCAATCCTAACTTATTTAGATATTTAATAAAATTGTTTTCAATATATTGAGTAGAAAAACAATAAATCGTGTAAAAGAAAATGAATAAATAAATCAAAAAAAAATAAAAAAAATGGGTTCTTTTTCACTAATTATATCTGTCACCAGTCCTCTTGTGTTGCTTTTTCACTTCTTGTAGAAGCCATCTTTTTGTTTTATTATTAGCACTTTCCTGTTTTTCCAGTCAATTGCAGTTTTCATTTTGCGAAAACCGTTCGATAAAGAGATCGGTAACGTCTGCACCAGTGAAACAAGCTTTTTCCACTCAAAGAATGCAGCCCAAAACGCATTTGGCAGCAATTGGTGGCTGTGGACGCTCTGAGATCGTTGGCGAACACCCACAAGAACCAAAAACAGCTCTTCCAGCGATGGCTTTAATATAGAAGCCTTCAACGAGAAAAATGATACCAAGAACTGCTTCATATTCATCAGATTCCATCAGAGTTTCAAACAGATTTCAAAACCATTTCAATGATCTCAATATTCAAATTCAATAAAATGATGATCTGATTTTAGCAAGATTTCCCAAATCTCGTTCACCTATTTTTCAATTCCTGTTCACTTATTTCCCAAATTCCTCAAACCGTTTCACTTCCGGGCTTAAATTCAAATTCTACCCCAATCAACTCAAAACACGCTACGAATTACCGCGCTAAACAACTGAGAGCCGCCCATTCCTGATCCGACATCCGTAGTCACGTTGTATATTGAGCTGATCACATGATGTATAAATAATTGAGACCATTATGATGGTGGCTTTTGCAACTCTAGATTAGCCAATCAAAGGACCCGTTTCCGTCGACGTGGAAGCTCAGCGCTGGAATTGTTTGGAATTTTTATGGTTTGTTTTTTGGGCATGTCTGCACCGGGTAACGCCTCTGGGTTTCTCCTCTCAAAGTATATATTTTCATCCTTCCACTTTTATTCACCTCCATACAGAAGACTTTAAGATTGTTCAACTATATTATATCTTGCGCAACAACTCAATTCCCATCCAAAGTATCAACAATGTCTGAAGAAAGAACTTTTATTGCTATTAAACCAGATGGTGTTCAAAGAGGTTTAATCTCTAACATCTTGGGCAGATTCGAAAACAGAGGTTACAAGTTAGTCGGTATCAAATTAGTCCAACCAACTGAATCTTTATTAAAGACTCATTACAGTGACTTGACTGAAAAACCATTTTTCCCAAAATTGTTATCCTACATGTTATCTGGTCCTGTCTTAGCTACTGTCTGGGAAGGTAAAGATGTTGTCAAACAAGGTAGAGCTATTTTAGGTGCCACCAACCCATTAAACTCTGCTCCAGGTACCATCAGAGGTGATTTTGCCATCGACATGGGTAGAAACGTTTGTCATGGCTCCGATTCTGTTCCTTCTGCTGACAAAGAAATCTCTTTATGGTTCAAAAAAGAAGAGTTAGTTGACTATCAATCTCACTCATTCAACTGGATCTACGAGTAAATTATATTTAAATATATTTACAACTCAATTGTTATTCTCAATTATTTGTCTCAAGTTCCTGATTTCAGACTAATAATTATACATTTATTTAGTAACTTATATTTTCACATTTACAATTCTCTTTAAATATCATAACCTTTAGTGTCTATTCCAATTGAAAAAATTTTCATTTGTAGAACTGCAACTTTTTTTCAAACAGTAAAATTCAAATTGGTTCATTCTCTCGTTCTCAGTCCCTGTGAAATTGTAATTTTTCATTTTTTTTTATTACAAACTTTGTTTGGTCCATTTTTAAATATACTGAAATTGTTTAAACAGATAATATAATAGTCAAGTAATTAATGAAATTAATAAATGGAAACTCGACCTTTTAATTTACCTGATTTATTAATTCCAGCTGCTGATCAAAAGCTATTGATATCTGAACTTGATATTTTATCTCATATTTATAAAAGAAATAAAAATCAGCATTCTTCTTCGAATTATTGGTCACATATTAATATAATTTATAGAAATTTGAGAAAAATTATAAATAGTTTAAGTTCTCTTAATAAAATTATCAATAAGGATAGTAATAAAGATAATCGTAAAGATATTAGTAAAGTGATACACAAGTATAATAAAATCAATGACAATCTAATAAACCAGGTCTTATTTTTTAAAAAAAAGCTAATCCCTTCTTCTTATATCAGATTCCATGGTGTAATTAATTTAGGTCAATTTATTACTCTCGGTTTAACTTTAATAGCCATCTTGTCAAGATTATCACATATTTTCAATAAAATTCCTTTATTTAAATTCCTTTCTTCAAACTCAACCAATTTAATTAATAAAGTTGATCAAATTAACCAAGATAATCAGATTAATCAAACTGTTAATAATAATGATGACATTGGTGAAGTTCTATCTCCAAATGATTTGCAAAATATAAAATCAATTTCACATTCTAACATCTCAAATATTCCTGCTATTCCTGCTATTCCTGGCGAAACTGTTAGAAGTAGGAAAAGAAAGCTTGAATCTGTCTCTAAATCTGATGACATTGGTTCAAAAAAAGTTAAAATTGCATCCTCCTCAATTCTACCCCAAAATTCAAAAACTCCTTCAATTTCTTCAAAGAAAGATAAACAGAAATTGAAAAAAAAGAAATCAAAATCAAAGTCCAAAAATGTAATGGATGATATCTTCGGGTTTTAAAAGATTCTGTTTTTTCTTTTTTAATGTTTTCCATTTGTACTACAGTTATTTATGGTATGATAAATAAATTAAAAGAAAACTTCATTTTTGTGTATTTTCGTTATGTTCAAAAAAAAAACCAAAAAAAACAAGTATAAATATCAATTGAGATATAATTGAGCTCCAATTTGAATAAGATACTTGACACTATTTTGCTATTAAATTTTATATCCATTCTTCAATATTTTTATAATTAATTAAATATATTAATTATAACACTTTTTATTCCAACATGCTTTCATTTGGTTTTAAGTTTATAAGTTTTCTCTTTTTTTCAAATGCATTATTAACAGTGGCAAATGCTCAAATTCGTATTGATTCCTCAGATGATATTGGATCAGAAAGATTATTAAAAAGTAATCTTGGAATATATAATATCGGTAATAATAATAATAATGGAAATGGAAATGAAAAGATTGTTTATATAACTGTTTCAGAAAGGAAAACTATTACTGTAACCAAGACTGTTACAGCCCATATTGAAATCCCAACTATTACTCAAAATAAGAATCTAAATTCAAGACATGAATTAACTTATATCACAACCACTTCAATTTCAAATAGTTATGATGATGATCGTAAAAACATTAATTATGATGATAATGATTATGAAAGAGGATTTGATAATAATAATAATAATAATAATAATGAAAACGGTAATGGTAATGGTAATGGTGATAATATTAATAATAATAATAATAATTTATTTATATCAAGTTTAAAAGATCCATCATTGTCGACTGATTTGAATTCAATTCCATCGACCACAGAAAATGAAATAAATACTCCCACAGTTAAACAGCCAGATGTATTTCATGGGTTTCCTGATGAATTTCCTAAGCAAAATCCTATTTTAAAACCTATTGAATTTAATCACTCCCAACCAACACATCCTGAACCAATTAAATCTGTTCCAATTGAAACAAATCCAGTCGATTCTAATCCTGATTCAAATTTTGATTCAAATCCTATTGATTCAAATCCTGATTCAAATCCTAAATTGGATAAACCAGATTATCCTGCCCCACAGGTCCCACTTCCAATTTACAAAAATAAACAGGTTATTAATTCAAATACTTTAGCAGGAAATAACCAAACTGCTGGTAGGTTATATCGTTCAGGAAATTATCCAGCAGGATCCGAAATTCCTGTAGGCTCAAATAAAATAAGTGATAAAGACAAAAATGAAAACAAAAACAAAGACAAAAACAAAGACAAAGACGAAAACGAAAACAAAAGTAACGAAAATAACATTGATAACAACAACGAAACCGATAAACAAGCTGGTAACGGTTCGGAAAACGATGATAGCAGAAATTTGAGAAATATTGAACAAATTAACGCTGATATCATAGACAGTGGAGGCAATAGTCTTACGATTGGGCCCAATGTTGCAATTGGATTTGCCATCAGCTTGGTGATTGGTTTTCTAACCATTTAAAGTGGATATATACTTTATCTATAGTTTATCTTTAATCTCTTTTTGTTAAGTATACTGATTGTGGAATCAATCTGAGCTGCAGTTACAGAAGCACGAGAAGAAGAAAAGGAAGAAGAAGCACCATCTCTTTTCCTGCACGTGCCCGAGATGGTGGAGATGCTTCCGAAAGCAGTGTCATCGCATCTCCAGAGGTTATCACCTCTTTCTTCCCCATTTGCGCCATAGTTTGATCTAGCCATTGAGAGCTGTTCTAGAAAGCAACTGTGGGCCTTTGGTTTTGCGAAATTCTCTGTGCTATGAGCGAGAGCTGGTGGGGATTTTCTATTGGACAAGGGCTGCTGGTGGGCTCAGAACAATAATGTGTGTTGCACGATATCGACCTTGAAGTAAGGGTTTCTCTTAACTGGCGCTGCTGATTAGCGATGTGCTATCTCCAGAGATGTGTCGAGAAAGCTTCAGATCACTCTGGGATGGGCTGGAGCAGGCTATATAAGAAGCCTGGCAAGTTCTTGTGTTTTCAGAGAAGATGGTTGTTGGTCTCTGCAAAGTAGTTCGGTGAAGATGGTTTACGTAGAGCAGGATGTTCCAATTGATACTGATATCGCTGTCTTGCGAAACAAATTTGTCCCAGATCTCAATGTCAAGGAAATCGATGCCAAATATAATCTTCGTCAATTTCCAAATCTGCCACCTACTCAGGAAAAGCTAGATGTGTTAAAACTCGAGGTTATTGATTTAAGCAAATACAAAGAGGGTTCTGAGGGGCTTGAAGCAAGAAAGGAACTAGCTAGTACATTGGAAAAGGCCTTGACAACCTTAGGCTTTTTCAATATCATCAACTTTGGGTATCTGGATGAGGATTACGATTATCTTGCCTCCATCTCCCAGGGGATTTTGGAACTACCTCAAGAGGACAAATTGAAATACAGATCAGGCGCACTAAGATCCGATGAGGAAGATCGAACAAAATCTCCTGGTGCAGAAAAAGGCTTTGGTTTCAAACCAAAGGGCTATTGGAACGTTAATGCAAAGGTTCGAGACAATATCGAGTTTTACAATATCACAGATCTCGTCCAAGATCATTTAATACTCGATCCCAAAAAGAAATATCCCGAATTAGTCAAAGCCCATCTCCCAGAAATATTAAACTATTATCGTTTTTTGCATTTCAATGTATTAAGAAAGGTTTGCAGTTTGTGTGATATAATCTTACAATTAAAAGAAGGAACGCTATGGGAAACCCATTTCAAAGTGTTTCAAGGTGACAGCTACAATTCTAGTGGGGGATTTGGTAGATTAATGGTATACCATGGCTTGACAAAAGAAGAATACAAGTCCACTCACAACCAACAGTTAAGAGGACATTCTGATGGAACAGGATTCACTTTTATCAAGGGATTCGCCGAGGTTTATGGGTTGCAAATCAGAGACTATTATTCTGGACAATGGAAGTATGTCAAACCAATTAAGGAAGCCTTGTGTGTTAACATTGGAGACTCGATGGAGTTCATTACAGGTGCATATTTCAAGTCTTCCATCCATAGAGTTGTTGCACCTCCAGACGACCAAAAACAATTCAAAAGAATGATGGCAATATATTTCTGTGGGCCCTCGTATTCCTCGATTCTTGATCCAGAGCACTTGAACTCACCCAAGTTGAAAGCCTTGGGCATCAACAAACCTGAGGAGTGGGAAAGAATCAACTACTATAAATGGTGGGATGAGAAAGGAAGGTTGTTTGGCAAGAAAAGTATCAACGACGTTGAGGGAGACGAGCCCAAGCCCTTCAAGATGTTTGGGAGACTAGCAGAAAGATGGCACCAAGTCGACAAGAGCCAGGGAATTGTGGTTTGAAGCTATGATTTGAAGCTATGATTGAGGTATGTAGTCTGAAACAGTATGTAGAGCAAATTCAGTACCTGCCTCAGTAGAGGAGTAATGCGATATTTCCTTCCCGAATAACCCAGTGTAGAGCAGTTTCAGAAGCAGTTTCAGAAGCAACTTGAAGAAGAGCATCGTCGAGTAGCCTCCAGCAGCGTTTTGAGGTTGAGGAAGCGACTGCTTGAAGCACACAGTAAAGTGGGTTTTGCTTTGCCATTTGTAAAAGAAAAGAGAGTCGTTTTGATGAAGATTTCTTTGGGCGTAGTTAGCTATTTATTGGATGTGCTACCAGTCTCCAGTTGTTCATACTCTTCTACACTCTTCATTAGTTTCTGTTGATTGATTAAGAGTTTTTCATTCTCACAGAAATTTTCTCGTTTTTTTTCTCCTTTCATTTGTACTTGGGTGCCTTCTTTACCTTTATTTTCTCTAGAATTGACCACCAATTCTTAGACTTACCTTTTTCTTTCTAATCAATATTAATTTGGAATTATTCACTGATTGGTTGCGATTTTTGTTTTTTTTATAACTTTTTGACGTTTTTTTTTATCCCTTCACTGTTCTACTGCACAAATAAGTTAAGGGTTTACAAAGCAGCAACAATCACAAGAAAAAAAAACAGCAGAAAAAAAAAAGGAAGATTCATAGGATTGCAAAATAATAAAACAATCAAATTATATTCAAAATGGCTGAAGTAAGTATACAAAACAAAATTATATATGGGAATTGAATTTCAATTCAAAATCATTATGATCACAATAAAGATACATATTAACATTTTGATTACTTTTTTTTTAAAAAAAAAAATAGGTTAAAAGAACAGTTAGAATAACTACTACTCAAAATATCATTGCTGAAAAAACTACAGCAGAGGTAGATTATCCATTAAGAAGATGGTCAATTGAAATTACACTCTTAGATCTTAATGGCAACGAAATGTCTGCCAATATATTTGATAAAGTCACCTATGTTTTGCATCCAACTTTTGACAATCCAACTAGAAACTTCAAGAAACCACCTTTCAGAATTGAAGAACAAGGATGGGGAGAATTTGATATGAAAATCATATTTCATTTATCTGACAAAGCTGGTGAAAAAAAGATCAACCATGATTTAAATTTCAAACAAAATAAATATATAAATGATCATATTTTCAATCTTCCTATTTCAAAACCAAAATTTGCAAGACTTTTGTTAGACAGTGGTCCAGTTCCAGGCTACGATAGTAATGGCCATAATATCAGCAATAATACCAACAGTTCTTTCAATAATAACAGCATTAATAACAAAATTGGAAATCCGCTGATTAATAATGGAAGTTCAGCTATCAACAACAGTTTAGCTGATTTCACTACTGTTGGTGAAAAGAGAAAGAATAATACATCTGACTTGAAAAACAAAAAACAAAAGACATCAGCATCATCATCAAGCAATTTTAATAGCAATAATGATATGTACAAATTAACAGCAATGAAAGGTTCTGTTAATTTGGAAAAATTGGCAAATGGTTTAACTAAACTAACTGAAGATGAGTTGCTCAGTGTTGTTCAAATGGTTACGGATAATAGAACTCAAGAGATGACTGTCAATAACAACACTGCTGAAGGCGAATTTACAATGGATCTATACACATTTCCTGATGCTTTATTAAAGAGTTTGTGGGAATATATTAAAAAGAGAACTGACGTTTAACTGAAATGAAATGAAATAAAATAAAATAAAATAAAAAATTAAATAAAATGAAAAAGAAAAACGAAATACCATCGTTTTCACTATTATTATTAGTAATGTTACTTAATACCTATTGATTGATATCTATCTATTTTCTATTATCTAATTATATCTTATATCTTATTACTACTTATATCTTATATCTTATTATGACTGATTTATTACATCTAAAATTTGTCTTGTTCTTTACTTTATATTTTATTCTTTTTATATATAATGTTTTTTCGTTTTTTGATTTTTTCTTTATATAAAATACAAAATGTTTAATAATGTAATTTTTTTGCTTCTTCTGTTTCTTCTGTTTCTTCTGTTTCTTCTGTTTCTTCTGCTTCTTTTGCTTCTTTTGCTTCTTTTGCTTCTTTTGCTTCTTCTGCTTCCCGAAATGGACAGCAGCAACAAAATGGTTTACCGTTGAAAAAAACAACGCACTTATCAAAGCGTCTTCAAAATCAGCGCTCTCACGCACGTACCTTTTGACGCATTTCTACACGCACCTTCTCTCAGAACCAAAAACAGAAAAAAACATCTACTAAACTTCAAAATCGGCAGTGACATCATTTTCTCTGCTGACTCACTGTTTCAAATGACAAAAAAAAAAGTTTTCCAGCTGATTTTTCGAATTTATATTATTATTAATGATTAATATTCATTAATATTTGACTGTAATTTCATTATCATATCATTATAGATTGAATCTGGCTGTTTTAAACTGTATTTTTGATAAGCAAGTTTTCTTGAACTGATATCGGTCTTGTTTATTATCGTGTTAATTACAGTAGATACAGCAATTGTGGTGATTGTGATAATCGTTTTAATCATATTAATGTTTGTAGCAAAAAGTATAAAAAGAATAAATAATAAACAACTTTTTTACAATAGGTTTTCTATTAGAAGAATATCCAAGATTATAAAACCATCCCTCAATAGTGAATATAATATGAATAGTGTTAATAAAGATCTTAATAACAAGAATATCGATAAGAATATGAATATGAATATGAAAATGAGTGCAAATGAAAATGAAAATGGAAATGAAAATGAAAAAAAAAATGAGAATAACAATGCAACCTTACAATACGGATTGAACGAAAATTCAAGTATTAATGATTATTTAAGATTGAATAGAAAATGGTCAATAAGCAAAAGAGAGGTTACAAATGATTTGTTATTCAAGACAACAGCAAAGGGTCAGTCACCACATACGTTATGGATTGGATGCTCAGATTCTAGATATAACGAGGATTGTTTCGAAGGAGTGTTGCCTGGAGAGATTTTTACATTTCGAAATATTGCCAATATATTGAACCATCCGGAAGATATTTCGACAAATTCCATGTTAAGTTTTGCCATAAACAAATTGAAAATCAAGAAGATACTCATAGTTGGGCATACTGATTGTGGAGGAGTTTGGGCATCATTAATGACACATAAACATGCCAACAACAATTTATCGGTACATTTGAACAAATGGTTAAAACCATTAATTGAATTGAAGTTTGAAAATGAAAAAAAACTAGACGAAATTAAAGACCCAAATGACAGATGTGCTAAACTAGTCGAACTAAACATTAAAAGCCAGTTGAAGTACTTGATCCATGAAAACCATGATTCAAAACTGGCATACAATGAAAGAAGAATCGAGATTCATGGATTGATATTCGATGTATCAACTGGATTGTTATCGCCAGTTTATCTATAAATATGAAAAAAAAATAAGGAAAATAGGAATTAGAATAGAGAAAATACAAAGTTTAGTCAAGCAGCATCTACAGTAGGCCTTGAATTAAAACTGCTTAAAAATGATGACTACTGGAAGAAGATCAAAAACTATAGTTTGTTGTCGTCTGTTTTTTGCAAAGTTCGGGCTTTTACAAATTGGTGGTTTTCTTTTTCCTGTTCAGCTCCCCATGTATAGTCGACCAAAAATCAAAAGGTTTCCACAGCGTTCAATGATCAAGTCGCTGATTAGCTTTGGTTTCTTTTATTTTGCAGTTTTGACAGAATAACAAAACGGCTTGGAAAGATTCTCTCTGTCTTTTTTTATGTGTACTGTCTACTTTTTGTCTATTTTTTTGTCTGCTTTCTGTCTATTTTCGTTTTCCTTTTTCTTTTGTAATTACTAATATTCCCTTCTTATTCGATAAAATCGAAAAATGACTTAAGGCCAGCACAGCGGATACTGTTGCGCGTTCTGCATTAGGAAGCAGCAGCAGCAGCAGCGCGACGGTATTTTTGCCTTTCAGATCCCGCCAAGAGTGGTGTCTGGACAAAAGGGATTTGAGGTCAGAGCTTTGCCGCGCAATACTAGCCACAGTAGCGCAAAAGCAGTTTATCCGGCTGACACAATAGTGGGTCTGGTGACGGCACCTATTATTTCGGAGTATGAAAACACACGCCAGAAGACATGTGATTGCATCTGTTCTGCACAACAACGCTGTGATCAGTATAGACACGAAAAAGCTCCCGGTCGCAGCCGACGGCGAGGCCTTGTGTGATACTCTCTTAGGTGCTTCTGCCATTTGGTGATACCTTCTTAAGGACTCAACGTCTTTGCTCAAGCACTGCAGCAGATTTGGTTACAACTGCCATGATCAAACTGGCTAATTTAACTCTTCTATTTCCTTCAAATCCCTATTAATGGCTTGTTTGACGAGTAAAGAGTAGCTCCAACAGCCAGTGAACTTGAGACTGTGTGCTCTAAATATAACAAGACTGTAGTGGTTGAGGTTGATTATAGTTGCTTGTTCCGTTTTATTTCGAGAATGATATTAACTCAATGTCCTATTTGGTTCAATCTCCATTTATCAATTTCAATGGTGGGAATTTGAAAAGTGGATTGAAATAATGAAATAGCTTTGATGATTATAACCATGAATACCTGTGTAGAAGAGTTTGGTATAAATATCTTTGATTATTCTCTTAATTATTTGAATTTTTTGTTGTTGTTTTTCTTCATTTTATTCTCTTATACAGTATCAATCAAATTACTTATTTAAAATGCTTTCAATTTATTCAAACCAATTGATGGCCAATCAATTGCCATTGATTCTCAAAACAGTTTCAATCAGCTCATTGAAATCGATAAACCATTTGCCCATTCGATTATCGAAATACGATGTTTCTGGTAAAAGATTCACAACTATTATTGCTGAACCACAAGCTAGTTTCAAAGGCACGTCTAAAGATTGTATTAAACACGATTCAGTTCACTCATTAAACAGTCAAAACCCGGATGTTTTAGTTAATCAAAATGAAGAAATATTAACTCCTCCTGCTTTCGACCATCCCGCTTTCACTAAACAGCAAATGGAGTCAATCACATTTGAACATCGACCAGCAAAGACAATTCGTGATAAAATAGCTTTATTAGGTATTAAGACTCTTCGAACTGGATTTGATATTGTCACAGGGTATAAGCATCCTAAAAATAAAGAAGAACAATTAAACCCAGGCATATTTGCGATGACACCTGAAAAATGGTTGACTAGATTTATCTTTTTAGAGAGTATAGCAGGAATTCCAGGTATGGTTGCAGGTTTTTTAAGACATTTGCATTCATTGAGATTATTGAAAAGAGACAAGGCGTGGGTTGAAACATTGTTGGACGAAGCGTATAATGAAAGAATGCATTTGTTAACATTTATTAAAATTGGGAAACCGGGGTTGATTACTAGAAGCATTCTTTACGTTGGACAGGGAGTATTTTGCAATATCTTCTTTTTATGTTATTTGTTTTCTCCATTGACATGTCATAGATTTGTTGGGTATTTGGAGGAAGAAGCAGTGGCCACATACAGTAGGTGCATTGAAGATATTGACTATGGATTGTTGAAAGATTTTGAGAATTATAAAGTTCCTGAGATTGCAAAGAGTTATTGGCATATGGGAGAGAATCCAACCATGAGAGATTTAATATTATATATTAGAGCAGATGAAGCCAAACATAGAGAGGTGAATCATACATTGGCTAATTTGAAGATTCAAACAGGAAAAGATAGAAATCCCTTTGCATTAAAAGTGAAATGTGATAGACCTCAGCCAAGTCATAATTTGGAGACCCATAAGGGTAAAGGGTGGGAAAGAGATGAAATAGTCTTATAAAATTGATTATTAATACTAACATTAATTTTTGTTATTTTGTTTATTTGTTTTATAAAATTTTATGATTTTGATGATTATACATAGCTAGTTTTTTTAAAAAAAATTAATTCATTCATACATTAGTACATACATATATAGGTACATCTTTATAAAAATTTCTTTTTTATTATTATTATTATTATTATTATATATTCAATATATATTGAATAATATATAGAGTTATATATATATATCTTTAATTGATAATTGATTTACATATCTCATATCTTTGATTAATGTAGGTGAACCTAAAAACAAACATTGAGAAACAATTAATAAAGTTTGACCAATCAGACGGATAGAACCAGGTTTGTGGAAACAATGGAAATGAAAAACCAAAACCGGAGTAAATTTTTATTAATAGTTAGAGTATTAAGGGCATTACTGTTGAATGAATGCGATAGATTGAATAGGATGTTTTCATTAAGAGTAGTTAAATTTAATAGGAATCAATTTCTTAAACTTGGAAATTTGAGAATTGCTAGATATGAATCCAACGGAACTTACAATGAAACAATTAGCAGATTTAAAGAAGATTTAAAGAAATCAATGATCAAGAAGGATGCATTAAGGAAAACAGTTATTAAGAATTTGTTATCGGACATTAAGAATAATGAGATTAACAACAACGAGAAAAACAAGATGAATAATGAATTTCAAATATACGACGTGATTCAAAAGAGTATAAAGAATCATGAAGACTCGATTTTGGAGTTTGAAAAAAGTAAAAGAGAAGATTTGAAAGAAGTTGAAATGAACGAGTTGAAAGTTTTGAGTGAATATTTGGAGTCTCTCCCGGTTGCTAAGAAAGAGGATATTGATTTAAAGCTTCGAAAAATCATTGAAGATTTGGCAGCTGAGGATAAAAGTGGGAAGTTTCATATTGGGAAAATCTTCAGCAGCAAGGCAATTCCATGGAAAAATCTTGAGGAAGAGTGGAAGGCATCTTTGAAAGCTGTTCAACACAGTGTTGTTGAAATTCACAAAGAAATGTTCCCCGGTAAACCCAAAGGCAGTGCCTGAGTGGTTAGGTGCTGGCAGAAGAAGCTGTGGTGTAGATTTTATTGAAACTGGGCCAAACCCAACACTGTTTATAGATGTCAAATGTATATAGGAAGCAGAACCAGGATCCTTCTCGTGAGTCGAACTGCCCACAAACCCCTCCACCACACACCAGTACCACTGCGCCACAGAAGCTAGGCCAGTGCAGCACAGTGCATTCTGATGGTGAGATGCTCGCAAAAAGCCGCTTTACCCCAGGTTTTTGCTGTTTCTTTTTGGTGCAAAAGCTGGAGAAGCAGAGATAGCAGAGACAGCAGAAGCAGTGCTGGAAAGCTGGTTCCAGGGCTGACGCTGCAATTGGCCGCAGAAGAAACAGCTGCGTGGACGAAAACCGAGACTCAGGGCCTGGGGTAGAGGTGGGGCTGGAGAAGAGGTCCAAACCCTTCTTTCTTTACACGGCGAGACTTCGAATTTGCTTTTTTTTCATTTGAGTAGAAAACAATTAAGTCTCAAATGCGAAAGTGCTGAAAAGTGCTGGAAAGTGCAAAGTGGTGCTAAAAATTGATCCACCTCAGGAAGAACCTCCAATCTCGTTTTATGTCCAGCTCTGAGTGGTGGATTTGCTGATCTTCTGCTGTTTATCGTCCTGTTCACTCTGGAAATATTCTTTTCTGCAAACCACTCCATCGAATAATTATCTACCCATTATTAATTATTCTTTCTGCTGTCTGAGAAGCAAATCGTTTTGGTTGTTTCGTTATTGTTTTTTGATTTGGCTTTTCTTTTTATTTTATTTTATTTTATTTTATTTTAATCTCATCTCATTCCTTTATCAGTTCCATTCTGCTTCCTTCACTTTTTTATACTTTATCACCTATATATTTTTAATACCACTCCGATACCTATACCCATCCTGTTTTTTTTTTTTTTTTTTTACTTTTACTTTTTGTTTTATTTTTTTTTATTCAATCCTGTTTAT